CGCTTCCATTTACGTTGGTCAATAGCTCGCCATCAGCTGATGACCGCAAGCGCGGCGGTTGGTTTCCTCCTTTCGTCGGCGGCCTTCTTTGTCGTCCGACCGGTGCCACGCTCGTGGTGAATAACGGCATCCATCGTCGGTGCGGCTCGTTGGTCACTGACGATGGCAATAACAATGTATTAGGTATTTCTGTCCCCGAATACAACACCCTGTGTCGTCTGAAAAAGAGGCCTGCGACCGTCTCGGATGAGGGAGCGCTGTTTCCAGCCAAGCAGGCGAGCCGAGTATTTTTGGGCCTTCGGTGCTTGGGGTGACCGGACGGGACAAGACTGTCCTGTTTTGAGAAACAAGCCGCCAAGTACTCCCGTACCTGATGCCACGGGCAAAGCACCCGTCCAACCGTCATACTGGAGATACACTTCCAGGCGACTAGGTAGAGATAGGATGGTTGACAGGACACGGGAGATGCCTGGTGCCCGATTGACAGGGGAAAGGGCAAAAGAGTGACAAGCCTTCCACCCTTTGCATCCAAGGCTCCATGCCTACCAAGATAGTCGAGACCGATTGCTAGGAGAGGCAGAAAGCGAAAGAGACACCCGGCACGGAGTGGAGACGTGGATGCGATGGCGGCCTCGGATGCTCCGATAAGCGCATACCCCGTAATTTGATAACAACATGGAGCCGGCCCAGGAATAACGCACGACGGGATGCAGCCCAGCTCGTCATTTCCGTAGGCCGCCCCGAAGCGTGGCAATCAACCATGCGCTTAACCGAGCGACTCCCCTCCACTTTTTCAACTCGCGTGTGGAATACTCGACACAAGTGGCATCCGTGGCACCTAACCCTCGATAGGCGGGGGGCGGCACACTCGGTGAGAGGGGCAGGTGACTTTCGGGTGACGGGGGGGATGCTGGAGTCTCTGACAACGTTTTGGGGCAATGCCCAAGAGCCAAAAGAAGCTTTCCGCTCCTCTCTTCTTGGCCACTCCGCCGCAGCCAAGACTGCCAAGACCTTAGCGCCAAGGGCTACGCGCAATCCAAATCCCCTCGCCTGTTGTGACCCCCTCTTCTCGACATGTCCGCGATACAGTCGCCGCTCCCCTATGGCCAGCAGAAGCCGTCCAAACCGGCTCGTCCAGAAAGTGTTGCGCAATACCGCCTGTTGTGGCCCACGCAGGGAAGCCGATGTGCCGGGTGTTGGTAATGGCGTTCGGTACGGGAGAGAAGCGGTGGGGTTCGCCAAGACTTTAAATACGTGAAGGATGGACCACTTTCGCCAGCTGAGAGCCTGTGTCTGCGAAATCAAAGACTGGGTGGGCGAGGGTGCGGCGTGGGTGAGTAGGGTAGGGAGAGATGCCGTGGGCCAAAACGACGCAGCTGTCGGGGTCCGTGGATACGTACTCTTGCATGCCTCGAGTCGACACCAACCTCGATCCGCCAAGACTCATTTCTAGTAATGGCAGGTACCTCTCGACCCCCTTCCCAAGATCATCCCGTCCCTGACCAGCCCTTCCATAGATTCCTTCACCTTCTCTTCCCACCATACATTTTTGCCTTCGCACTACCTACAATGTAATTTGCCTTCTCGTTGTCGGGTTCCAACACGGCACCGCGTCGCAAACGCACCGACACAACCATCTTGGTCGATCCAGCCAGTTGTCACCCCGTCATTTACCTTAAAACATGGACCCAATGTGTTTGAGGCCGACGCCCGTCCATAGTGCCAAAGGTATTCAGGTGAGCGGGTCGCTCAGTCTTGGCAGTTCGACCCACGCTGGCGGTATGCCATTTGGTGTCAGAATCCTCCACTCGAGCAGTATTGTTGACAGTCGACTTGGCCTCTTTTCCTCCTGGCGACGGCGCCAAGCCTGCTCGACAAAAGAAGAAATGAGTCCAAGGATGACGAACCGTCTCACAAACCAGGCCATCGCATCATAACTGACCCCGCTGCCCACGGGATCCCGCACTGGCACGGTGTGTTCGCTGCAGACCATTCCCAACACTCGAGAATCAGCCAAACCTGAGAATTTGCCGCTTCAAAGCCCAGCCAGACAAAGGCTGGGCGTTCTTGGCTGCAGATACCAAGCACCTTCAGCCTGTATCCCATCCAATCCGCCCTGCGCCCGCCGCTTCGCCGTTCAATGAGGCTGTGCAAGCATTGCTTAGACCTGCGAGGATGGGTGGTTTCGTCTTGGCTTCAACTTTCGCCGGTCCAGGGGGGTAGCCACCTCGCCAGCACCGTACCCTCAATCAGAGGAGTAGCAATCAAATCGAGGCCTTTAACAAGTCTTGGCATTGCTCCTTTCACATTGTTTGGCCGCACACACGCATTTCATTTGCGCGATTTGTGAGTTTGGCTAGGCCGTCTCAACGACTCTTACCACATCCTCGTCAATCACCAGACTGACTTTCACTTTCTCTACCCGAATCGGTCATCGCTCGTCCCACATTCTCACTGACATGGCTCGAAGAATTAAGGTTCCAGGAGGAATACCCGCACACTTTGTGCCGTCCTGCATAGTCATCAACCATTGGCTGTGCCGCAAGAAGGCTCACCGATGTGCCACGAGCTCGATGAGCTTGCCAATGCCACGAAAATCTACCAAGCTTTCCGGCAAAATCTTGGATGCACGACACCCGAGCGAGAAAACGACCGCGTGCACCAATAGCAACAAGACTACCGGCACACCGTGATGCAGCCACAGACTACAACACGTCTTCCGAGTTCTGGGCCATCATCCACACCGGAACTGACCACGCTTGGTCGCAGTTCTCCCGGGCTCTGTTCAGACCATCATGTTCGCCTCCCCAGACGATCACGACAACCCCGGCAGCTCAGAGACGGGAGGGCCACTGAAAAGCCCCAGATTCGGAGGGTCGACTGGGGTGGCTTGTGTTCGGACGCCAGGCCGAGATTAGGAAGGACTCTGCAGGTGGTGCAGATAGTTCAAGAGGGTGATCACTGCAGGCGTTGCTCGGCGGGATCAGGCCAAGATGCCAGCAGGGCTTGTTGCAGAGCACGCTTTGCTCCTTTCTCACAGAACTCTTGCGCTCTTGGCCTCCTCTTACGGGCTCCGAACTTTGGAGGATCATCTTGGCCTCCGACCATGCGCCTAAAGGCGGCATACCAGCCCGCAAAACACGTCAGCAAGGGACCGCGTTGTGCAACAACTCTTTGGAATCTCTCGGCGTCTTGGCCATTAGCTTGAGCGCTTTCTGTGGCCTTGGATTACATCAAGTCTCGGCGCCAAATGGCTCACGGGTGTGGTGGCCAAGGCCCACAACCATCTTCCAATTCCACTCTCCCCTCTATCTACCGCAGGTGATGGTAATGCAGGAGAGGGAGCGTAGAATGAGGCCGCTTCAGTTGCGTATCAACCTCCGTTATCCAGAGGACCCGGGATCACAGCGCAACCCTCCGGAAACAGCCGAGAAACTCGAGCGATTTGTAAAGTAGCCGGAGCCTCTCAGTTCCAAGACGGCAAAGACTTGAATTGGCCCTTGGCTCTATTTTCGCCGGGCGATTGTGACGACGATCAAGTGCATGCCTTGGGTTTCGGGGGACTGAAACGGCTGTACGCGGGTGAACGGAAGGAGGCGAACGTCAAGCAGAGGGCGGCGCTGTCGACTGGCGATTACACGTGTCATCAAATTGGATAGCAGCGACCTGTCTCTTCTTGGCGTTTACCTACCAAACGACGATCTCTTTTACCACCTGTTCGCCAAGAACCCTCGCCATCGTTCTGTTAAGCGACGCAGCCGCTTGCTAATGCTTCAGGCGAAGCAGCTATCACTTCAAGTCGGACCAGATGCTCGTAATCAGAAACGGAATTTTGGTGAGCAGCTGCGACCAAGATCCGACAAGAGCTGCCGCAGCTCGATGGAGACGATGACAATTTCTGGAGAGGTAAGTTCGAGCCCACGACATTTTCCCCTGGACAAGTTCCGATTCAACAAGCCTGCTATCGTCGCACTGGAATTCATATTGACAAAGGTCAAGAAATCATCCCCACTTGCTGAAAATAGCTGCCACCCCCTACCCCCTTTCTCCTCATCGCCGTCTTGTTCGTTTCCGTTGCTGTTTCCAGCTATTTCTGTTTCTCGGCGTTCATTTATCACATTGGCCAATCGACCCTCCGAAATGACCCGGCGGCTCACACCGCATGAGACGCCAAGAATACGGAATTGCTTCGCTGTTTTCCCAGCAAACTTACCTACTGATGGAGACTTCGCAACTATCCTCCTACGAAATTTCCCTCATTCAGCAAACTCGAATTCGAGAGGCCCGGCGGGTCATTAGCTCGGGCATGCCGCAGGCCCTCGTCACCCTCATCGGTAAACTCGTCCCATACTTGGAGTACGGCATGATGCAATCCTAGGGCACGGCTGCTTCTCAGTGAGGCCTCCTATGTCTCTCTTCCGTGACGTAAGCAATGTACAATTTGTCGTGTCTTCAAAAGACCAAATCTTGTGATTCGCTTCCGGGGGTGAATGAATAACCGGACAAAAAAATGGCTCTGAAGCGGCAGGTTCGCTGCTTGTACGGATTCGACGCGGCAGGGAGAACGGTTCAACTCGTTCGGAAAGAATTAGTAGAATATTGGAGCGTCTGTCACATCGGCGCTGGTAGTCTGGCGGACCTCAAGGTGATGTACCACATTCGCTGATGCCATCTATTGCGGGCTGTCAAGTTTGCTCAACTAGCATCTGGCTAGAATCGCTACTGCCAGTGTTGCCAACTTTGGTCGCCGGCTCACTTCGAAGGTGTCAGACTGTCGTCCAAGGCCCCTCTAGACCTTGCTGTTATAAATTTGCCTGGAAAAGCCATTCTGCTCACTTCGTAGATGCGGAAGACCATACTGAGCTGATGATATCCTCCGCTGTACATCATGTTAGCTGGTTTTCGACGAAGCACAAACAGTGAATGTGAAGCAAAGTACCAACAAGTCCCTTTCGTCATACTGATGTGTTGTTCCCGCCGCTATACTAGGCTACTGAGATATGCGGAGAAGCTACGCTGAGCTCGCCCTGCCGGCGACCTCATCGCGAACGCCTCAATGCCAGCCAACTTCGGACCTCTGCCTCTTTGTGATCAAGGGGTAACTTTGAAGCTCGTAAGGGCTTCTGTCGACCTCTTCTTCGAAAGGATATAGGTATGACCTGGCAGCTGATGGAGGCAGCGAGAGCGGGCTGGTGGTCACATAGGTCGCTGGCTCTGATCAGTGTATTCCGTTCGCGACAGATGGCAAGATGCTTGTGTTCTCAATAGAGAACACTCTCCCTTTCTTCAATCACCTTTGTTGGAACTAAAGGCGAGCCATCATCTTTCGTCGCGACCACGAGCGCGGCGCCGCCCATGGCCTTGAGCTCCGGCGCGGGATCTTGAACGCTGCTATCGATGTAATGGCGCGCGCCCAGCTCGAACGCGAACCTCTCCTTTGCGGGCCCGGAGCTGATGGCCGCGACGCATTAGCCCATCTTGTTGGCGTATTGCATAGCGACGAGGCCGCCCCGCTCGATTTCCATCTTGTGGATGCCGTTGAAGACGGTGACGCCGGCGCAGTGGAGGGGCGCCGTCTCGGCGGGGTCTAGTTCGGACGGGACGCCGACGACAGCTTCTAAACGTTACTTTAACTCTGGCCATGTCGACATGTCTCCAGCTGTGTGCATCGAATTCGATGGATACCTTTGTATTCTATGGGGTGCCATCTCCTCTCCACGTCTGAATTAGCTTCGGAGATACCAAGCCTCGCCATTATCCGTAGCTTTGGGCTCATTTTGATCCCGTCGACCGATCCCGTCGACCGATCCCGGTGTGTTTAATAATCGTCTCTGCGAGTGGAGATTCTCCGGCGCCGACGCGAAGGCAGCCGCCCCGTCAATGTGGGTCTCTCTTTCTGATGCGCTTAGTCCGTCCGTCTCCACAACAGCGACGACACTCTTGATTCGTAACGGCGTGTCGTGACGGCAAAATGCGCTTACTAATGCTCTGTCTTAGGTTTCAGTATGAGAAAGCATGCGGAGAAAGAGAGTAGTATAAATGACAATTGAGGGACCAAACATACTCCTATATTGCGTTCTAGTACAAAAGAAATCACAAATAATCTCCTCTCCAATTTGGGCCACCATCATTTTCACGCAAATATGTCTTCCAACCACGCCATCGTCATCCAGGGGGCCGGCAAGGCCCAGGTCGTAGAAGCCTCCGTCCCCAAACTTCGTGACGACTACCTCATCGTCAAAGTCGTTGCCGTCGCCTTGAACCCCACCGACGTCGCCCACATTGACCTCTTTGCGGTCACAGGGGCACGCGTCGGCTGCGACTACGCCGGCATCGTCGAGGAGGTCGGCTCCAAGGTCACAAAGGCCTTCAAGAAGGGCGACCGCGTCGCCGGCGTCGCCCACGGCTCCAACGCCGTGTACCATGAGGACGGCACTTTCGCCGAGTTCATCACCGTCAAGGGTGACCTGCAGATCCGCATCCCGGACAACGTCAGCTTCGAAGAGGCCGCCACCCTCGGCGTCAGCGTGACGACGGTCGGCCAGAGCCTGTACCAGAGTCTCGGCCTGCCCTACTTTGACAAGCCCAGCACCGAGAAGCTGCCCGTCCTCATCTACGGCGGAAGCACGGCTACGGGAGCCTTGGCTATCCAGTACGCGAAGCTCTCTGGTCTGCACGTGATTACGACTGCTTCGCCTCACAACTTTGAGTACCTCAAGAAGTTGGGCGCCGACGTGATTTTGGATTACCGCTCCGAGACTGTCGTGGAGGACATCAAGAAGAGTGCGGGAGGCCAGCTGAAGCATGCCTTGGACTGCATATCTTCAGAATCGTCTGCAAACATTAGCGTGAAGGCGATCGCCGAAGACGGTGGCAATTACTCCTCGCTGCGGGCCGTATCGGCGGAGCTTGTCTCCGCGATCAACAGTCACGTCACGCCAAAGGTGACTCTTGCGTACACGGCTCTCGGCGAGCCGTTCCAGTTTGGCCCCAAGGCCCTGCCGGCGATCCCGGCGGATTTGGAATTTGGCAGCAAGTTTTGGTCTGATACTGAGCGGCTGCTGGAAGAAGGAAAGGTTGTGGCTCACAAGGCGACTGTGAACGAGGGTGGAAGTGGCCTGGAGGGCGTCCTCAAAGGTCTTGATCTTGTTAGACAGGGCAAGGTTAGCGGGACAAAGTTGGTTTATACCCTGTCGCAGTAGGTCAAAAGTTAGCGGCAGCGATTGCGGACTTGCAAATATGATTGGGAACAGTCGAAATGAATACCAAAGCTCCGAAGACACCCGTACGTGAAACCATGAATATCTGTGGAATAAGCATCTTTAGAGCGTCGAGCAATCTGGAAGGTCTCATGGTTACCTATAGGCTAGCACTCAACATCCGCAAAAATGAAGTCCTAGATTGATTGCGAGCCTCTTAGTTTTCGCATTGTGCTAACGTCGTGAATTTGATATTGCCTATCGAAAACCAAGCAACAAGTATTTGTCTCAAGGCAATCAGCATTCGGGCCATCGAGGACTGGTTTTACGAAGGCCGGGTAACCATTCAACCTTCCAACGTTGGGAATGGAGTCGGGGGCCAGGGGTCCCGGAGCCGGATGCTACAGGGATGTGGTCTCCCGAACCCGAGCGCCACTTGCCTGATTCGTACGTTGACGAGAGCCCATTGGCAGCCAAGACAGAGTGTCGATACTGATCAAAGATCTGACTCGCATCCTTCATGGTAGTGAGGCTGAAGAGGCAATGATAGCATAGAGAAGTCCTCTATAAGTCTACAGCAAGCCGCCGATGTTGAGTCAAACGTAATAGCGCTCCTGTACCCAATGAAACTTTGCACATGGCACCATAGTCGAGGAGTCAAAATTCAGGTTTTTCAACATTTGAGGACACACGAAAATTGATAGAATATAAGGTAGAAGTGGCTGTTCAAGGGACCAACCATTGTGTGGCGCCGGGTACACTTTCTCTATGCTACTCTAAATTTTCTGACCTGGTCTTGCATTGCTATCCACTTGACAGAGTCAAAAGAACTATAGGTTGAGTTGTACCCTCGAAACCGCGCCTCCAGCCGCACTGGAAGCTCAAGTGTATAACACGGAGATAGTCCGTGATGGAGGACCTCGGCTCTCAACCACTAGACTGAGTCCAAAGGGGACCTCTGCTCGTCCTTAACATCGTCGATTTCTCACCGATATCTTCCAAAGTCATGCATGGCGAGTCTGAGGGAAATTATGCTCACCCCTTGAGGGATCGATTGATTGATAAGACAACCTAACATGATATAACGTCATGCAACAGACTCGATTATCGGTAGCTTATAGGGGAGGGGCGGGCTACCATATCCAACCCCAGTCCACTGTTCGCACTATTAAATTTTTCTTCATTGGAGGCTCAGGATGGACTCATATGGAAGAACTTACAAGTTGGTGAAACTTTCATCACTACCTAGGGGGCACCCAGAAAGAAGGTCCTTCCTCATGCGGTGTTTGATCAACCAAAATGCAATCGACTCCATAGGACAGGTCTGTTCCCAAGAGTTAAGTTTCGGGAGCTATCCGAGTTACCCTTGGTGGGGCAAGTCCGATCAAATAGAAATCTGCTCAGGAACCCAGGATGTCAACGGATACGACTCTCCAAAACAAGCTCTGGAACACCCGCGAAGACTCTGAGCCGTTGTCCGTGACGGAAAGCGGCAATTGAACCGGGAGGAAGCATCACAATCGTCACGGAAACTAATCGATTTCTCTCCTGAGAGGGCTCAGAAAAGGTGTTCTGGGCTCGAGTGCCGATCTCCAGAGCCCACGTTTATTGCTGTGGAAGCTCCATCTATCCCTATGCCTCCTCGGACTTCAACCAAAGCGAGGGGCGGTGATGCCAAAGTCGAGCTATCCACGAACAAGACAAATACCAAATGAAATAATCTAGATACCCTCGAGTCCTCTCTCTCCCACCCCCTCTTCTCGCTCATTTCCCACTAAGCGGTGCCTCCCACCTTTAGGATGCGGTCATCACTCCCTGCCTCCCTCCTCTGCCACCGCCAACACGACGACCGCATGATCAAACTTGGAGGAGCTCATCGCCACGCCCTCTGTCGAAGACGCCGGCGCCCTGTCCCCGGGCGGTAGCAAAATCGCCTACATCTCCACCTAGAACGGACACTGCGCCAACGTCTGGGTGAAAGGCGGGTTCCTGTCTCGGCTCGCCAACGTGGAGCCCAGACGGGAGGCACCTCCTGTACCGCGAGATCACCACCGAGCAGACGCGGGACGCGCACCGGCCCGAGTAGTCCCTCGCCGCCGCCATATCCCAGATCGTCTCGGTCAATTTCGAGACCGGAACGAACCGCGTCGAGCGTACCTCCGGCGCCAGCGTCAAGATGTTCCCGCAGTTGCTGGCTGGTGATGGCTCCGCTCCTCGGACGGAGGATCCAGCAACAACATCGCCTGCCCGATCAATGGCGGCGATAACGAAGGGTACAACTATACCTCGGGTGCCCACCCAGCCCTTAAGGCCGCGATCCGCTCGCCCGCATGGTCCCCGGACGGCCGCTTCGTCGTCTACAAAAAGCTAGACTTCACCGCCCGGCCGATGGAGAAGCCCCTCTGGAGCTGGAGCGCGGACTGGGAGTACCGCCACACCGACGTCTTCCCCCGGCTCTCCCTTCAAGGCCGCCTGGTCATCACCCAGAAGCAGCTTGGCAACGCCTCCATCGTCTCCATGAGCCCTCATGGCACAGTCCACGCCTGATTTCCCCAGCTACAGCCCCGACGGCCGCAGCATCATCTTCTGCGAATGGGGCGTCCGCTACGGCGTCCGCATCATCAAAATCAAGACCAAGACGGTGCGCAGCTTGACCAATGCGACGAACAACCTCCCCTTTTGGTCGCCCGGCGGCGAGCACATCGTCTTCACCCGCAAGACGTCGGCCACCAATATTGACGTCTGCACCATCCGGCCCGACGGCATGGACCTGCAAATGCTCACGTCGAACGGTGCCAACGACGCGCACGCGGTGTGGTCGCACGATGGGCGGATCCTGTACTCGAGCGGCATGTACGGGTTCCTGGACGAGGCGGCCATCTACAACCAGACGTTCCAGTCGTACGGGCAGATTGCCGTCATGGATGCGGATGGGTCGAACAAGCGGATGCTCACTGACAGTCTGTTGGAGGATTCCATGCCGCTCAATATGCCAAGCGAGTTTCTCGTGTACTACTACTTGGTGGCTCGAAAAAAGTCCGTGACTGTAAATGAATGGCGCGTAAATCCTAGAGTTTTTTTATGCGCCAACTATCTAATTACCCATGTATACGTTCTCAAATCCTCTACCTTAGGGAGGAACATTTGTTTCCCTTGACGTCAAGGTCTGCCATGCGAATTCACTGAGCGAAGACATTGACCAAAACCTCACACACAGTCACTCCAAGGTCAAACCGTCCCTGGCAGATGGTACTTCACGAGAGGAACATTTTAAGTGAAGCTCAGGAGAAGAGGTGCTCGCAAGTATTCATGTCTCAGAACCAGACTATGACCGTGGTTCTAACATGGTAGCTGTGCTGGCGTTTGATACCTTTCCTTCTTCATGGCCAAGAGACCAGAGCTGAGAAGAGTGAAAAGAGAGTCGTCATTATCTTCGTGGACTATCTCAAAGTCTCAGGTTGCTCGATGCCTTCCTACTTTGGAAACATCTGCAGCAGATGTAGTACCCCAAGAAGCTCCGTAGAGCAGTCGTGAGACATCTTACCACCTCATCCTGATCTTACAGTGTCAAGTAGGTTCTTTTCTCCAGCGGCCATCTTCAAAGTAGGTTGGGCGGCGGACCAGTCTGAAGCAATGCCATACACAGCCCCATGACCAGCAACCGTCTCTGGTAGTGACTCACCTGTTGAGTACACAGACAGCCGCACAGGAACGCTTAGCCATGATCAACCCAAAGACGAAAACCATCATCATTGGCGAGGTCAAGTCGTTGTATCTGTCAGGCTTTGAGGCGCATCAACTTGAGAGCTGCATGATTCAGTGCCGGCAGAGGAGACTCGAATTCGACAACGGTGCTGTTTTGCATCCTTGAAAGGACCACGGCAGAATCAATTGGTCACAGGAATGCACAAAGTGATCACATATGGTCAGATGGCAATCAACACTATGAGGATGGGACGGAACAGTCAAGATTCCATTCTTTGAGAGCTAGACCTAGCTGCCCAATCCCGGAAAACCCAGTTCTCACCGTCCACCAAAACGTGGAGGGAGGTGATTCTTTATTTTTTTTCCTTCCTCTTCTTCTTCTTAATTTTGGCTTTGAATTCCTCTGCTCTTCCTCATGTCCCAAAAGACATAGTGATAGTGCTTCAAAGACGATCAAAGTAGGCAATATCAGCGAGCCAAGCATCACCTAGGGTTTTCTTTCGAACTGCGCGTCCTGTCCTCCGCGTGAGTTGCCAAACAGCCAAGCTCAAGCTGACTCTTCCAGTTTGCAGACACAAAATGATGTGTCACGTGTATTCAGTGCTCATGCCACATGAATATCCATACGTTTCCGTCGCCTTGGTCAACCCCAAAACTAATTAAACAGGTGATGTTGAGAAGTGCGCAAACAGGGGCGCGTAGTGTGATGGCTGTCGAGGTGAAGCTCGCCCAGCGCTAGATGATGTGATCCTCCACGGCGTGTTGAAGTGGGGTGATGCAGATGTGTAACAAAAAACAAAAGGGTATGTGCAAAATGTGGTATACGCATGAATGGGCGAGAATCGAAGAGTGAGTTTTTGAGGAGGTGGTGTTGTCAGGCCAGCCCATTCCAACCTGTCGTCGATGCCACCGTGTGCCCTGGTCTCAAACAGGCCGATGCTTGGAAAAGCCCAACTGCACTTGTTGCAAGGCCTCAAAGTCTTCGCAAAAGGTACCAAGACGAGGCCACGCGGGCAAAGGCGGGGAGATGAGACAACAGTCCCCTAGATAGCCAGCCGGCCCAAGTAGTAGTTTGTCGAAACGTGTTGTTGACCAAAATGTGTCGGGGTATCCTCCAATAGAGCCATGATCGTAATGCAGAGTGGTGCCCAAGTCCACAATGATTGCCCTTCGCGCGAGGGCGTAATTTGCCGTTCCAAATGCCAGGAACGCCGAACCCGTGTAATGTAGATCCGCCGTGTCATGACGATTACCAGCGAGTGGTGGTGCATGATCCAGAGCGCGCCGGCCCGGTCAGTGAGGTCATGACACAGTATCCTTGGCTCAGCCAACCCAGCCAACCAGTCCGAATCCAATGAAAAAAGGAGGTATGCTTTCTCATCAGTCAAACAGACTGATCGCACAGCGCAATCCTTCCATCCCCAAACGCCGTGCTATGCAAAAAAAAGGTATTATACAGAACCCAATCGCAACAGAGCCTCAACCGCCTCACGCTCCTGCGCATCAGACGGGCCCTGGAGCGCCGAGAAGTCGAAGGGCAGAGGTTGGAGCGAGCGCGCCATGCCAGTTGAGACGGTTCGCAGGCCTCCCGAGTTATATACACTGGCGGAGAGGAAGCTGCGTCCGGCAGACTGGGCGGTTGCGCCGGCTGTGTTGTATGACTCGGCGCGTAGAGCGGCAGCTCCAACGGCGGCCCAGTCTTCATCGTCGGTGGCGTCCTCAGGGTCATCATTCATGGCGATATCGTCGTCATCCGGAGCCTCGGAACACGAGGCGGAGGCCGAGCCATCCAGGGACATCTTGTCCGCTTCGCATTCCATCATCATGGCATCGCGGTCGTCGTGAGAGAAGACGATGGAATCGCCAGCGCTGGACGAGGCAAGGTTCAGGCGAGATCTGTCCGCACCGCGTCCGCCGCTGGTGTTAATGGGAATGCCGGATCGGTAGTCAGTGGGTGGTGTAGACCCGCGCGCTGCCTGACCACGTCGTCGGGCATCCCACCGACCCCAGCCCACCTTTTCAAATTCCACGTCGCCGTCCGGTCCACCACCCTCGCCTCCGCGGCCCTCCAAGGCTCCCACCACCAGGCGTCGTGCCTTGGTCGGCGGGATTCCTGCGAAGCCCGGTACAGACGTTGTCAGGTAGCCCATGATGTGACGGATAGCTAGAGGACCGTGGTTGAGGAGGATTTCAGGGAGGTGATGCTTGGCCAGCAGGGTGGTGCTGATGGCACCGGTCGCGTCGTAGGACGGCGATCGCGACGCTTGTCTGTGACCAGTCGGATCGTCGTGCAAGTCCAGGTCCGAGTCGATGGGCTCGAGCCTGGCCTTCTGGAGCTGAGCTTTGAGGCCGTGAGGCGGCAGGGCGGGAGAGATGGAGTTGGGAGGGGTGGGGAGGGGGTGAGATCGTGTCACAGTCGCAGGAACACTCCGAGCCGCTACAACAGTCAAGTTGTCTCGGCTCATATCGGAGGCCAGGTGGATATCGCAAGCAGCAGCTGCCATGGTCGCCATGATGTCGTTTAGACGTGTCTTTGGCTTCTAGACGTGTCTGTACGCGATTGCGATGATTAGCTATGGATGCTGAATATAGTGAGACTGGTAAGGCACGGAATAGAAGAGTGCCACGATGGGAGTTTGTGGTGTTGAGTCACCAGGGTGCGGTGGGATAAGGTAGGGTTTGCTATTGACGTACTGCTAGAAGCGGAAGGGATGCGATGCAAGTGTGGAACTGTGCGGGTAGGCTCAGTTCGACGGGTCGGCTAATAGACGGGTTGGCAGATCAGGCTGGCGTTGCTGTGGCTGTTGCGATTATCGTGACTGTGACAAGAGAATCTCGTCAATATTGGGTTGTGGTTCTTCGTGATATTGTATTTGCGTTGAAGAAGAGAAGAGAGGAAAGGAGAAGGAAGGGTGAGATGAGTGCGACGGCCAGGGCTAAAGTAAAAGGGACCGTGGTGGACGGATACGGAGATGGGATGGATGGATGGGAGTGACAGACTCATACCTGACTGACTGTCTGTTGAATGACTGAGAGCGACACACACATGCACACACACACACAAGTCTCTCACCTCGTTCCTCTTTGCTGGCTGGAAGGTGTGTGTAGGAGAAAGAGGTACATGGGGTACATTGCAAGACCTGGGGCATGTCAAGAGATGGCGACCAGGGGGAGGAGGTACCCACGGTACCGGACGGATGCAACCCTGGATCCAAGGTATCCGCAGTTAAACGCGGTACACCCATGTACCTCGCTCGCACTCTTGCTTCCTCGGTATCTACTCCGTACCTCCCGCGCCGACTCCTCTCGCTCTCTGTGGCGGGCCAGTCTGTTTGGGTCAAGGCATGCCCCAAAGAGAGGAGCACCTGAGGAGAAGGAGAAGGAGAGATACGTTGACTGTACGCCTGGTTGCTGCAGTGCATCATGACTTACACAGGCGCAAGCCCGGGCTTTCTCCAGCAACACGCAGCCGAAGCCCGTACCAAACTCAACCGCCTGCAGAAACAAAGGGCTGCGGCGGCGAAGGCAAGGGAAGGCGATGGATGGCCGGATGGATGGGCAAGGCCAAACAAGCACTAAGCACCAAGCAAGCAAGACAAGGCCCGACAACGCAACAACGACTACGGCGACAACAGGAAAGGAGGAAGAGACGGGCGCCGCTGGCGTTGGCCCAGGCGATGATGGTAGGAAGTGGGAGAGGGGCGATGGGCAAGGACGACAGCGCACACCCTGGGCGTGGGAGCTGAGGCCACGGGTGTCGAGTGTTGGTCACCAGGTGTTGACTGACGGAAGTGTGTGTCTGTCCCTGGAGGTATGTGTGGCTGGGTTGCTGATACCAAAAAAAGGAGTCCCCGGCCGGGAGAGGAGATGGGAGCCCGGCTAGAGAGGGCGTGCGGTTATCCTCACACTTTCTCCCACACTCCCACCTTCGCCTTGCTGCAGTATGGCAGCACATACTCCGTACTGGACCTACCTTATCCGTATAGAGGCCTACAATTGCCCACCCACACTGGTCAGAAGGAAAGGGACGAAGCAATGCTCCAAGGCACACGCCAGGTCTTGTACACAGTGTGTCGCACATCATATCTCCCAAACTGTGCTTCCGTCTGTTCCTTTTCCTTTGGTTCTAGCGCCCCATGCCCCCCCTATGGGTTGGAGTCATCGCTCTTGCTGGCGACAAGCCGCTGAGGAGTTGAGGTAATTGCCTGCCTAGCGCAACACCTTATTGCTTGCCTCTTATGCGCTTATCACCAAAGAGATCTTTATCAACCTTTGATCTGATTTTCTTTATAATCAATGCCTCTACCCTCCTGATAGTCCAGTTGTGTGTAAGGGGAGAACGGACAACTCAATCATCCTCTGCTAGAACTTGGGGTGTCCTGGACTGGACGGACGACCTTTTCATCCAACCGATTACTTTTTCATTGATCAAGGTTCAGAGTACCGTCAGAATACCAGATTCTAACTACCTACCAATACAGCTTCAACACACACCGCACACAAACCGCAAACCCCATCAAAAATATATCCACCCATGGGCCACCGCCAGCTCCAAACCCCGTCCCAGACCTCCAAACAATCCACATGGACGGAGCTTGGGCGGGCTCCATCTCGTTGTCCCGTTCCTGTCCCCAAGCTTGACCGCCGAACCGGCCACCGATATGGATGCCTCGAAATACAGTTGAGTTGAGCCCAGGTTCAAGCCTTCAAGGTCCAAGGCCCCATACAGACGATCCATGAATGATTCGAAGCGTCCGCGACAAGTTTCCACGGCGGACCCATCAAGACACGTCCCCATGCGTCGGTCAGTCGGTCGTCGTTTCCCTCCTGGTGCACTCACCCACATAGCAACTGCCCAAACCCATACCCATGCCGAACCCGAAGCTACTGAAACCAAGTTCCCACCTCGTTGCCTTCCCCGGACTGCCGATAGGGTCGGCCGGTAAGTGTGATGATCCAAAGCCTGGGAAAGGCCCCAAAAGCCCAGGGCAGGGGGGAGGGGGACAGCAACCCGTGGCCTTCCGGAATTGCAGTCGAGCCCACGCACTTGATCCCCGGCCAAGCCCACACGCGGTTCTCCGTTCTAATAACCAACTGGCAACTGTCCAGCGTCCAGACCCTCTCTTGTTCTCTAGACAGGTCCATAATTAGCTCGATACAAGGATCGAGAAACGACGGTGAAAAAGAAGAGCGCAAGAACACCCGATCCTCTTGTCAAACGCCGCACTATCAAGAGCCCGCGCAAGGACTCCAAGTTTAAGGAGACGATGAATTGCCAGTGACAAACCCGTCGCGTATCAAGCCGCAAAGTCACCGATTCCCTGCCAGGGCATCAATGTTGACGAAACGCCCACACAGCCACGCAACCACACCATTCGACCAGCCCTTGAAATTGCCGCCTCCCACCCCTTCCATTCACCCATGAACCAAGGGTGCGCTTCTAGATGTGCATCAAATCCGCGTCGCCGGCGCCCGCGTCAACAATAACATCACCACCAAACCCACCGCGCAAAGTGGTATCCCAACCGGTGATCCCGTCCCATGGCACGCTGGGCGCGGTAGAATGGAAACCTTCGTCCCGGGTACAGCGTGCAGCGTGAGAGCTGACCAATCTGTTGAGGATCCCTCCCGCCCTCTCTCAAGTCTCTCATCTGTCTTTTCTGTCACGATACCTTATTACTATACAGTCTCCTTACGGCGTCGAGCACGCTCAGGCTGTGGAGCTCTGCTTCCCAAGTGTCCCTGTTTCCATTTCCGTTTGTCCCGTCCCATCCCTACCTATGGCATCCAAGCCCCCTCGTTGGAGATCCACCATCGATAACACAAACTCCGACTCATGGCACTTTGACTCTTTACTTTCCCCCCCTTCCATTAAATGACAACTGCGGTTGGGATGTTGGTGGTGATAGGGTTCGAAAACCCCAATCGACATCACCCTCCTCTCCCACATCGCACACACACACACATATATATTCACATATATCTCATTATCGTCAACCTTCATCAACTTTGATCCATTGCCCATCCGTACCCGCTAATAAACCCACCCGCTTCCTTTGTCCGGGTCCCGTGCCTATGCCATTGCCCCCTGTCAAGTGCTCATGTCCCCATGTCCCCATGTCCCCATGTCCCATCCATGTCTGAGTCTTTCCCGCCAGCCAGCCGCTGGGATACGCGACCACGGGACCGGTGTCCACTGAAGCAACAATACCTACCTAGCTTTGAGTCTTTGCGGGCAAAGCAATGCGCGCAGTTTGACTTGGTGGAGAGCTGTGGGAGTGTGGGCTTCCTTCTGCTGCTGCTCAAGCTGCTGCAACCGCTGCTATCCCAGACGGAAATAATAAAACGGACGGACGGACGGGGTTTGAAGTAAATATCTCGGCGGCCGTCAAGCTTGCTGCTGCCGGAGACTGGAGAATGCGACATGTGTCGTCATCAATCGCAAACCTGCAGGTTCGCTCTCTCATCCTTTCTTTCCTACTGTGGTAAGTAAGAATACTTTCAGCCCAGCAACCAGCAAACGTGCGACCATTCATCCATACATACCAACACAGACCAGGGGCCTTGTCAAAACAACAAGGGGTTCCGAAGCTGAGAGGGCCTTTCATCACCGCACAGAACACACATAGAGACACAGACACACATTTTCTTGTTGTATTTTTGTGGTCATTATCATGCTCCCCTATTTTTGAACGTTGCAATTTTGATTATCAAGGAGGTGGAAATTCCCAAAAGCTATGGTCAACACAAATGGTCGAGATCATTCGAAAAAGAAAGCGAGAAAAATAAAAATAAAAACTCTTCTCTTTGGCGAAATTGGCATTCCTCGAGGGGGGAAGAAAACCACTCTTACAAATTCAGATACCCCTTTGCCTTGAAAACCCCCTTTCTCTGGACATGGCCGTGGAATGGAAGTGGTGGAATCCGAAAGGAATCCCTTCTCCCATGCCCTTACACCATATACCAGGGTCAGGAGTAGGTCAAGATGCGAGGGGGCGTATAAGTCGACCGAACATCTGGCAACCAAAATTTCGTGCAGATTTTCATCAACAGCAGCAGCAGCAGCAGCAGCAGCAGCAGTGACAGGCCAGAACTGTCCAGTTCCTGTATTTCTTCTTGTGTATTTCTTCACGTTTCCCCCTCCCTCATCTTTGGTTCGGCGCGATGAGTGCCGGCGGGACGATCCAGACCGGAAATGTCTGAGACACGCGCGCTCACCCAAACTTCCAAAAAAGGAACAAGAAAAAGGACTCGACCGTCATCGTCCATTTCTCCCCCGTTTCTCTTGCAAGACCAAGATCGAGAAAACGAAGCTAGTCTCACGCACCATCTTGCAGTGAACAACAAGCACTAGGTATATCCTTACAAAGTCAAAAGACATCCCTTTACCTAGTAGGAAACCCGCCGACGCGACGACGTGTCCTCTTACACCAAACTGAACCATAATGTTGTAGATTACCTACCTAAGGTACCCAACCAACACTCAAGACCTGGCATACGATAGACCTTGCCAAGGTAAGGACCAAAAGGCTTCCATTGAGAAATCCCCCCCATGATCACTACCTAGCCCTGCCCTGCAGCATCGCACCTCTTCTTCCAACGCGGTTCTTTTTCGAACATTTTATTTTACTTTTGACCTCGCACAATGCGCAGCCAGAGATGCCAAGACCACTATCCGGACGGTGGACCACACGAAGCACCTTGACTGTGGACTGGACTACTGTAGACCGAAGGGGGCGTATCTCTAACAGTCAGCTGCTCTTGGATCTTGGGATAGCGAACGTGTATCCGTACTCGTAGCTGCCTTGTACCCCGCGGTACAGCTGGAATCCGCGCAGCGCATCCCGCTCTTTCGCCCTGTGCCGCCCTGCCCTCTGGCTCTCCACACAAAGATACACAAAAGAAATAAAAAAACAAAAAAAACCGGACGCAATTTTGTACACTGTGGCGGAACCCTCTCCATCATTTCCAGGTTGGCCATCGACCGCCAAAACCATGGCGATGCGGTATACCTTAGCTTATCTCTACCCGTCCGTGAGAGCCTGCCTCAACTCTGGTCCCGGTTGAGGCGCCTGTCCCTCACTGTGTAATGTACCTCGCTGTGATCCCCCTCGTCCAATGTCGCCCCGGATTCCCGTGGCCCAATGACTTCGACAAAGACTCTTGCAACTTGGTTTCCGGTTACCCTCCTTCCCCCTTCGTGATGAGCGGCAGGCTGGCGACCTTCTTCAGCAATCGCCGCGCCCCCCTGCCCGTCGAATCTGTCCATGTTTTTCCCGCCTCACTTCTCGTGGATCCAAACTCATCGCATCTCTTCTCATCTGATTCCAACGTCTGCATTCCATGCCCCTCTCTCTCCTCCCAATGACTAACTACCCAATGTCTATAACCAACGCACCCCTTTCCCAAACCCCCTATCGTCTCTTTCTCATCATGCAACGGTGATGTGCTGATATGCCATGCATCCCATACCCTATCTGTTGCGGGTTCGGCGTCCAGGACCTTGGTTGCGGTTGACGACTTGACGTACGGAGCACAGGGCAGGTGTCAAACCACACAGCTCACAGCTCGCATGTAGCGACATCCGAATGGAGATATCGTGGGGTTCAGCAGAGAGCCGTGCTACCCATCAATACCTGGTTACTCCTCTCCTCTCTTCTCCTCAACCCTTCTCCCTCAGACCAGGCACGACGTCGTTGGCTGGCTGCAGCAAGCTTGAGCCTGGAATGGCAGATTCATCTTGACGCAAAAGTCAGGCCTCTCCCCCGGAATTCGCGCAACACCTCGTCGTACGTCGACGAGCGCACCCATCACGTTGCGCCCAGGCCCTGATCTGATTGGTCTGCGCCAGATCGACTTTGTGTGAGAACCACGCCCCAGACGACCCTCTCTGAGGCTACAGCAGCTACAGGCACCACTTTCTTCCTGGAGAAATGCGAGCAATCCAGAAAGCCAAATACATTCAACAAGAAATGCCCGTTTCCAGGTGTGCATGTACCCCGTGGTACCTCGTCTCGTCGTTGTGGACACATTTTTTCTTGTTCCCAATTGCCTTGCCTATTCACAAAGAGGTAGTTACGTCAATGTCGTCGTCGAATCAGGCTCCCCCATCGCGAGCCGTGGTCGTCACTCATCCACTTATGAAACCCCACGTTGTGACATGCTGCATCGTCGAGGCTTCGGGCTCTAAACTCGTTCCCAGGCGCCCCTCTCCTGATGCTGCCCATCTTTGTTCACCCTCGGGTGTCTGTGGGTCGTCAATCCGCCGCCGCAACTCCTCCTTTCGCGACTTTCGGCTTCAGATCCCTGGGAAATCCTCCGCCTTTGGGCCGATTTCTGCCCGGGTTGCCCCCTCCTCGCGGCGGCACCACTGCAGTCGCTGCAGTAGCCGCTCACCCCGCTTCTCGTCCAAGATATCGCGGCGGGGTTCATCACACCCTCGTTACTGCGCCTTCCCGACCTCTTCCGTTGTCTTGCTTAGTCCCGAACGGCCGGTTGACCAAGAGCGCTGGCGTGCAGCGTGCTGTTGATCTAAGCCGCCATGAGTCGGCATTAGAATTTGAGATATGTCGCGCAGCTTCGTGAAGCTGACTAGGTGACTAGCCAACGGAGCCGATTCTCGGAACGGGTGGCCTTTCCATGCGCCAGTCGTCACACCCACGTTTGGATTCCTGTGGACACCATCGATAAGGAAATCTCGCCCCGTGGTCCTTGTTACCTATGGAGCCATGCTACCGCGACGACGATGTTTGGGATCATCCCACTTCATTTCGACACTCTCGCGTCTCGCATACCACAAGGGCTGTGCCCTTATCTGCATCACCAATGTCGAATGTCAAGCTCAGTCGCGAATCGACATGTATTCGCGACATGCCTAGTAAAGTCAGCGCGTGTGGACGTCTTAGTGATGGAGCCCCGACTTACCGCCTTCAGAACGTTGAGCCGTTCTTGCGAGTCCCGAAATACCTGTCGGTACTGACCTAGACTTTCCCGCAAGACGGCCTCCTTGGTCATACGCCCGTCGCAGATTGCTTTCATCTTGTTCTCCATCTCTTTCCGCAGGAAAGGCTTACCCAGACTAGTCTCGAATTCCATTCGATCAAATCCCGTGATGAGGGCCACGCCGAGTTGGGTCGGGATGAAGACCTTGAGCCCACTCCGTCCCGCCGACGACGCGCCGCGGCCTCCTCTGCCACCGCGACCACCGCGGTTGCCGCGGCCGCCTCGACCGCCTCTAGCTGGCGGCGAGTGAGGTCTATCCCGGTCGTCATCATCATCGTCACCATCCTGGCCACGTTGACCCCCATCAGCTAGCTGGACATATTCTCTGTCTTGAATCTTTTGAATGTGCTCCGCCATGGTGGCATCTGTACCGATCCCGTTGGCATCCATGAGAGCAATGAGATCTGCTTCCGTGAGGTATCCCGGCGGACTTGTCTTGCCATCCGTCATCAGAGCTTCTGTTGGCTGGAACGTCTCCCCTAGCGTGAATTTTGGTAGCTGCGCAGAGTCGTTCCACTTCTCGTAGATGAATACGTCAAGATAGTTGCGCTCCAGGACAACTAGTCCACGGGTATGGAAGGTCTCTTCGCCATAGAGTATTTCCACGTCGGTTGCAAGACCCTTGGCATCTTCTGAGCAGCAAGCAAGGAACCGTCGCACGACGTATTCGTACAACTGCTTCTCATCCGCACTCAATACTGTGGGCGCCGCATATGTGACTGGGTGAATGGGTGGATGGGCCTTGTCATCATGTTTTCCCTCTCGCGGCTGGCTGAAGCCCCCATCCAGAAGAGTCTGCGCATATTCGCCCCACCTCTGGTCGGGCGTCTGCTTCCTGCATAGCGCTTTTAGATCCATGCCTTTGTCAAAACGGTCTGTTTCAGTTCTGGGATAGCTGATGAACCCCTTGTTGTAGAGACCCTCCGCGACTGTCATGGCCTGTTGACCACTCATCCGGAGGAGACGAGTTGCTGCCTTTTGCAGCTCGACGGTGGTCAAAGGTAGAGGTTTCCATTTCCTCGTTGGCTTCTCCTGAACCTTTGTGACTTTGGCCTTTTTCGCATTGATGCAACGTTCGTAGAGGATAACAACAGACATCCGATCAAAGAGACGATTCCGTGACCAGTTGAAGTTGACTTTTTTGCCTTCGCGAGACTGCATGACCTTTATGCTCCAGAACGGCTCGGGAACGAAGTTCTGGACCCGAAAGTACCGATCTACGACGAAGCCTAGAGTCGGGAACTGACAAGAGCCTAGACATTTGATTAGAATAGGTATGGTACACCGCGTGCAAGCTTACCATAACTGATTGTTCGTTCCTGCAGCGCGCCTCCTAGGGGACGAAGGCTGATGGTCAGGAATCTCGTAAAGGCATACCCGATCCTAAGATCCAGCTCTATCCTCGCATCCACGGCATCGACTTGCTTCTGGTCGAGGTCGGTCAGGCGCCGGGCAGCAGTTAGAATGTGGCTGCAAACTGTCAGAGAGATCCTCGACTCTGACGGAAAAGGGGGCAGGCCTACGCTCGCTCGATGTTGCTGAAAGTAGCACGCTTGACGGTAATTCGATTATTACCCTTCTTGGCGGCATTTACAATCTCCTTTCCAATGTGTTCACCCTCTCGATCACAATCAGTCCAGATGACGAGAAGCTGGCAGTACCGAGCTTGCCGTTCAATGTTCTCGGCCACGGTTTTCTTGTCCTGCGCATGCGGCTATCAGTATGCGTGGAAGCAAGAGGGAGAAGATGAGGACGCACCTGTGGCACAACGGTCACAACTGGTGCACTGAACAAGCTCTCTGGGGGCGGATGCGACCAGTTCTTGTTCTCTGCCGTGAACTCGAGTCCCGTGAGGTGGCCCAGAACGGCTGTCATGGTGACACCACACGGACCCCAAGGGGCACCAAAGTCGAAGTCGAAGCCATAGTTCTTGATGTATTGAGAACGTGTGTTGTGCTGAGGAAGGTAAGCTATTACAAGAAAGGCATGACTTTGTTGATCTGATACTTACAACTTCAGGATTTCGTCCTGCCAAATGGCCGGCGACGGCTTTGGAAATGGACGGTTTCTCAGCAACGCAGAGGACCTTCATCTTCTCAATGTGTGAAGGCGAATGCTGCCCATAGAAATGACGTTGAACTCAGCAATTTTTCGTGCGGCTGGCACTTTCCGCAAGTGCAGTCACGACTGTTATTGCCGGAAGAGCAGGAGCATCTTGCGATTTCTACCTACGTTCCTGCTTCAGAGACGCGTCTTCACGAACTTAGGCGCGTCAAATCTTCATACACGGACTTTCCAGTGTCTCTGACACGCGCATTCAATACAGCTGGGTTGGAAGAGCCCAGCGTATGTAACCACTGAAAAAGATTGGTCCCTTTATCCAGCTGCTTTGCCCAACGTAAACATAAGAAATCGACTTACTGAAGATTTTGAGGTGCTCGTCGTTGAAGTGAGGTCTAGGCTCTGTCTCCCTCCCTACCTAGGCCTGGTGCAACCCCACAGCGGGGCTGCCACGCTGATTCGCACCGCGCTTTCAGGCTTCAGCTCCGGGGGTCCCTAGGCAGGTTGGTGAGCTAAAAGTACGGTTACTTACCTAATACAGGATGTCGAGATGGTGGCCACCACCTCATATGCAATACCAAACTGACGTAAGCCATCGACATCCAGCAATGCATCTCAACGAAGGAGATTTTACAGATTGATCGACGCTATTGCACAGATCTGAGATCGTATGTGCTAAAGTACAAAGTCCCGTTTCCCTGGCACGGTTACTCTCATGAAAAGGGTAAGCAACAGCTTTCCATTTCTACCGCAAGGGACGAATCATCGGTGGTCGAAACGGCCGAAGACCCCTGCACTACGTCGGAGATCGGAGCTTGTAGCGGGGACCTGAGCTCTCTGCATATCTATGACGCGCTTTGTTTGCACCACCTACATTAGGAGCTGCTCGCATTTGCATTACTGCAGCTACACAGCCAAGTAAGGCGACTCTTGGGACAACTCTTCGCAGGCCACCCGTAGATGATACGCCCTTGCAGCGAACACTGTTGACACAACCATTGACTTCCGACCAAGCCGATCACCACAACGTCGCAATGGCGCTGCCCTCTGTCAAGTCTCTAGAAGAGTGCTCTGAGTGGGCCAAGGCCGTCGAGCCCTTCATCCCACAGCTCCTCGAGCTCCCCCGCAAGATCATCGCGAGTCCGCAGTCCCTGCCTCAAATCTACCTCGAGACGAACCCCCTCGTTTCCGGCTTCGCCTTCTCCTTGCTGATCGCGGTCGTCACTCTCGGCGTGTCGGAATACCACAGGAACTTTTCACAAATCGACCGGCTGTGGAGTCTCCTACCCAACTGGTATGTCCTGCACACGGCAGCCTGGGCATACTTAAATGGCGAGCCGTCGCAAAGAGTCGCTCTGGCCGGAGCCGCGACCACTCTCTGGAGCGTAAGGAACAACAAAGTTTACCATGGATCTCGAGAGCAGTGCTGACACAACCCTGCCAATAGTCCCGGTTGACATTCAATTATTGGCGCAAAGGAGGCTACGAGCGCGGAAGTGAAGATTACAGATGGTACGAGCCACTTCCCCCCCCCCTTGACCACTGTTCCTGCGGTGATTGTTCTAACCCGCCCGTTCACAGGGAGATTGTCCGCAAATACGTCCCCGCCTGGGTCTTCTTCCTCTTTAATGTGACCTTCATCTCCTTTATCCAATCCATCCTCCTCTTCGCCCTCTCCGCCGCCCCGGCCTACTCCCTCCTCCTCGCCAGCCGCCTCGAACCCGAGGTCACCGCCTCCGACTGGTCCTTCTTCGCCATCACGGCCGGCCTTGTCCTTAGCGAGTACATCAGCGACGGCCAGCAGTGGGAGTACCAGACCGCCAAAGCCGCCTACAAGAAGGACGGCACGGTGCAGCGCGGCTGGGCGGAGGCGGACCTCGAGCGCGGCTTCGTGACCAACGGCTTGTGGGCATACAGCCGGCACCCCAACTTCTTCGCCGAGCAGATGGTCTGGTTCGTGCTCTACCAGTGGAGCTGCTACGCCACGAAAGTGCTGTACAGCTACACCTTTGCGGGTTCCGCATTTCTCGTTCTGCTCTTCCAGGGCTCGACTTGGCTCACTGAGCTCATCACCGCTGGCAAGTACCACGAGTACGGTGAGTATCAGAACCAGGTCGGTATGTTTATGCCCAAGTCGCTGTTTCCGTACAAGAAGCCCGCGCCCAAGGTCATCCGCACAAGCGAGCTTGCCAAGCGCCAGAGCAAGAAGGACAAATAGAGCAGAACTTTACTGCCAATACTGGAAGACGGGCTTTTGCCTTGTCATCGCCTAATTTGTGATGCGCTCTCACCGAGGAAAACTAGAATAGACGGTCATCGCATCTGTGTATTCATCTAGGGAATTTACTTTAGTTTCTAATGAGGTCGTTGTGGAATTCATCTATGCATCCGGAGCATGTAGTCATGGGAAAATCATAAACTCTTTCAACATGGCCACAGCCATCCATCTCTCACGCATCAAGCTTCAAGCTGGCGAGGCTGTCAACGTAGTACGCCGGAACAGCCGCGGCGCCCTCCTTCTCCCAGTCCTCCTTCTTGTGAACGCCAGTCAACACGGCGAGCGTGCCGCCCAGCTTCCCCTCGATGCCAAACTTGATGTCGGTGTCGAGGCGGTCGCCAATCATGCACGTCCGCTCGCGGTTCAGCTGGAACTTGCCCTCGACGGCGTCCATCATGGCCTGCGACGGCTTGCCCAGAGCCACGGGCTGCTGCTGCGACATGTTGATGAGCGGGATCGAGATGGAGCCCGCGCCGGGAAAGAAGGTATGCGACATGGGCAGGGTGCTGTCCGTGTTGGTGGCGAGGAACACGGCGCCGCGGCGCAGGTACTGGTAGCCGAGCGACAGCTTGAGGTAGTTGATGTGGAAGTCCAGCCCCGCGAGCACGACGCCGACTTCCGGGTCGAGGGCGGAGCCGTCGGCGATGGCGGCAAAGTCCTCGGGGGTGATGTCGCGGCGTAAATTCGGGTCGGTGCCGCCGATGAAGTCGACGCCCTCGGCGCGGAGCTCGGCTTCGATGCCGGCCTCGCCGATGACAAAGACTTTGCGCTTGCCGGCGGGGAGGTCGAGGATGCGGGAGACGTAGACGGCCGAGGAGTAGGCTGAGCCAAAGATGTCTTCCACATCCGAAGGGATGTCTAGGGCGGCGAATTTCTTGTGGTAGTCGGGGCGGGACTTTGTAGAGTTGTTTGTTACGAAGACGGTGCGCTTGCCTGTTGTTGGGGGAAAGAGGAGACTCAAGAGGTTAGGGGCCAAAAAAAGAATACAGAAAAGATGTGGAATATGCGGGTTATAGCAGAGGGGGGGCTTCAGGGTGAACAACCTCTTGAGCGAAGAAAGGCGAGCGTCTCGCGGATGCCGTCGAACAGGTGGTCTCCGGACCAGAGTACGCCTGTTTGCGGAGAGGGCGAAGAGTTGTTAGATATGCCCGGACGAAGAAGAAGCACTTGCTAATTCGGAATGAAGACGGCGAAATTTACCATCGCAGTCGATCAGAAAGACCTGCGTCTCATGATCAGCAAGGCTCGTCTCATCTTTGACTTGAAGAACATCGTGAGATCCTCCATGGTGAAAATGACTCAATGAGGTGGGGTGGTATGGGGGCGCTAGCTGCTCACGTCAAACTTATCGAGGAATTCCTGAATGGCGGAAGGGTCGCCAGTGAGGTATTTGGGCTGCTGTTGTTGAGACATCGTGACTTAAGCTTTGAGCTTGGTGGTTGGATTTCAACAGAATATCGGACAGAGCTAGGTGAGGATGAGTTGCAGTTAGATCTCAAGGTGAGTTTCGGGAGATGGGACAAGGGTGCGGAAGCGGGTTTCTGGCATGCGGCGCTGATGACGGAGTGGGCCATCGTCCGATTGGTCGGGTGGGTGCTGAGGATGCTTAGCGGGCCTTGCAAGTGAAGACTCTGGATGGGGGTCGTTGGCATGAGACTTTTGAAATCTGGGGAGGAAGGTATGAAACCAAGGGGAGATTCAGAGACATGTCTGCGGCTTTCTGGTCTGGATGCGACGGGCCAAGGCTTTGTTCTCCGAGCCTATTAGATCTTCCAAGTGTTGACACAGGCAGGCGTTGAGGCAAGGTACCGACTACTATTCGATAAGATGCAAGACTTCATCGCCGAGTTAAGGTAAGGGAGTGTTGTGTTCCCCAAGCTCGTCTTACTTCCCCAGATTTTGTCAACTGCATTCAAGACAATCTTAAAACTTACGGTCAATATTCGCTTTCATCACAAGCGAGTAATAATTTGTTCAATTTCACACTCCCATCATGTCAGCAAAACCGGAGCACTGTAGCATCTACAATGCAAGCCCGCATTCTTGACTAAGAGCGGCAACATGGCGCTCACAGGCATTTCAACAGAAATGAGAGCCCCCCCCAATGGGCCGGAATGATTAAGGAATGCGACTCGACTGAAATTGAACTTGCCCCAGTATTTTCAGCAGTTCAACCTCAGAGCAACCTCGTGAATGGGGTAGATGGAATGCATGAAGACAACAAGCGCCATGCAAAGTCTTCCTGCTAGCGGTCGCGGTGGTCGCGGTGGTCGAACGGCCCCCACGCCGAGGAAGGAGCAAGTAAACGCTCCGAGTGCGGAATTTCTACATTTTATCGGGCCTGAATTGCAACCATGTCAGCACCTCTGCTTACCTCCTGTGTCCATCTGTAATCGCTCTCCTATCGCCTGCACTTCTGCAAGAAAACATGCATCTGACCCTGCTGGCGGCGGTGATGCTGATTACCAACATGATTAAGCCTTGTGACGTCAGGCGGGGAGCTGTGGCCGCATGGCATAATGAGTCGTTGAACGGGGTGGCCGGGAGTGGTGGCGTCGAGAACGGATTTTCCATGTGCTAATTTTCTTAATTCCCCATCGCGTTGCTTTTTCGGGTGACAAGGGTATCCGAACCGTAAATACGGACGGCGCCAACGGGTGCATCTGACAGTTGACGTCTGCCGATCTCCTTTAGCAGATTGGATTGAAGTGTACCCGTATGAGTGCCCGCCGTGTCCGCCTGCCATCCTTCAAGTTTCCAAGCGTTGGAAATAATAGCGTCGAAGCCCCGGAACCTCCGTGGGAGCCGGGCAGGATGCCGTCGCAGGTGCAAAAGTCCGACTTGGGTGGTATGGCGGATCGTAGATTCGTGATTGTCTGGATGGGGCCATTGTGCCGATCAGCGGCAACGGACCAGAATAAGCGGCGGACCCTGCAAGTGTTAGTCCCTGACAATCAATCAATTTGAATTTGGCTTGGCTCTGCTGCATGTCCGTCACCACCGCGGCTCTCTTCCGTTCGCAACGTCGTTTGAACCTCCGACTACGGCGTCACATCTGACATCCACCCCCCCGGCCCCCTTCACCACGCAATTCGGTCTTTCACCACACAATCCGACGCCGAATTGCGTGCGCGGCATGCCCTGGACCTTCTCTTGCTTCCTAAGCTGACCGGGATGAGTAAGTTGCCCGAAGCGGCCGACCGCGGCAAGCACAATGGTCCATTCCTTGGGCGGTGTAGATGAATGACCGTCTCACCGCTTTCACATGTTTCACCGACCAGGCAGAGACCCTGAGGGATGGGGGTGGGTGTCGAAAAATCTCACAAGGAAAGGAATTCAGCTGCAGCATCGCAGAGGCCCTCGTCCGGGGAAAGAAACGGATCGTGAGTATTGGGACGTTTGGGTGTGGTTGGTTGGCTGGCGGGCTGGCGGGCTGGCCACGTTCGGCGCGGTAAGCTAAGCCAGGTGAAGTATGGCAAAGGTCCCGTGTAAGGAAGGTGAAGCAGACAGCCGGCTAGTACCTAATTAATAACCTGGGCGGAAAAAAAAAGTTCACTAGTCTAATCCGTCTCAATGGACCCTTCCCAGTTTAAAATTGCAACTCACCGAGGCACTTGATAAACGATTTTTCATCGCTCTTTCTCTTTCGTGTGCTTCGGACGGAAGGTATTATAAATCTGCTCCTCCCCGCTCGCCACACACTTCGGACTTAACGGTCGCAAGGCCAGCCAAAACGATAGCGCCTCGAGATTTAGCTTTCTTTCCCTCGTCACGATCACTCAAGGTTCCCTCGGCCGCCGTCCCTTCGTACCGAAGACAGCATAACCAGTATCGATACACAGCTCTCATCCGTCCACCTACAGCGTCAAACACAACCACACGACACGGTTCCCTGGCTCGTCCGTACCTCGCTGCTCTTTTCTCCATAACCTTGTCCAAATTAATCCCTAATTCCCTCCCACCCACTCAAAATCGTCCCGAGGAACCTGACTCTTCCCTACGGCCTACGTTATCTTTCTCCACTGCCACAAACAATCGTCTCATCAGCATTGGACCAAAAAAAGCGGCAAATCAGACTCCACCGGAGACTACTTTTCGATCCCATACTTAACAGCAGCCATGGCCTCCGTCTCCCTTTCTCAGGAGCAACTGCTCAGCCTGCACTCTCTTCCATCCTACGACTACACAATGGCTTCTCAGGCACACAACATCCAGACGCCCGTCACGGGTTCCACCGACAGCTCTGCTCAGGTTGACTACTTCACCTCCACCCTGAGTTCTACCACCACCTCTTCTCGCACATCCGTCGAGATCCAGGATCGTACCGTCGTGACTCCTGGCGGCACCGTCACAACCTCTTCCGCCCACCTGACCAAAAATCCCCTGCCGCCCCTGTCCCGCGACTTCCCCAAGCCCACCGCGGAGATCGACGTCGAGGAAGCCCTTTCCCGCAAGCCCGGCCGTTGGACTGTCAGAGGCGCCATTGCCGTCGAGAGACCCGTCCAGGTTGTCGATGAGGAGAAAATCAAGGCCCAGCGCCGCAAGGCTCTCGAGGATGCTAAGAAGGAGCTCTTCGCCGCCAGCGAAGCTCTCAAGAACGTTCCCCTCCCGCCGCGCAAGAACAATTTCTAGGCGACGACTAATCACGGCCAATTGGGACAAAACGTCGCCGGCTGCGGTGACATGACAACCCACGAGATACCGCCGGCAACGATTGCATTTCGGTGTTCTTGCATTTTCAGTACATTTCGACACACGGCCTGTTCGGCACGCGAACGGACTCGCGTCGGGCACCAGGCCCTAGTCGAACACGATACCCAGGCGTAAAATCGGATTGACGGACGGACGGAGGAAGCGCTAGCAGTGTGGGAGAGAGAGCGAGAGGCGTCGGATTGTGGAACATCTCGGCAATCACTAGCGCACAGAGATGAATGTCTTTGCACCTCACAAAACGGCGTTGCAATCGAGGTTGAGCAATTTCTTACTTTTGGGGTCATTTGATGAACATGATTAAAAGGGATGGGAAAAGTGACAACGTACTGCGTTTTGCAGTAATCTGCCAACCTGTACATACCTGCTATGAGCTAAATCCTAATACACGGTTTCGACTAAACCAACCAGTTATACGATCTTTCTTCTTACACTATAATACATGTACATGACCTTAGTCAAGACGCGCTGCTAACGAAAAGCCGTACTGGATCATGGCAATGAAGCCGGCGAGGTTGATGAGGGTAGAGATGCCGTGCAGCTTGCCGAACGAACTGTTGAGGGCCTGCATCTCCTGGGAATGCGGCGCGGCGTCGTAGCTCTTCTTTCCATCCTTTTTCTCTGCGTCCACCAGTCAGCACCTCTCTTCACCCCAGAGTTCGACCGACGGCGTCATCATCGGTTTCGCTTACCTTGAGCATATCGAGCCTTCATGACCGTAACAGTCTTGGGCAAGACGACGGCGAGGTTGACGAGGCCGGTGACGAACATGGTGGCGATGGGCAGCAGGGCGCTGTAGCGGTTCGACTCCTGGAGGAGACCGCTGAGGCTGCTGGCCTGTTCGCCGAGAAGGCTCCGGCTCCCCGGGTAGGTGAGGGCCATGATGGCGGGGAGGGCCGTCTGGATCGTGAAGTAGATGGGGAACAGGGCGTTCTGGGCGGTTGCAAAGGCCGGTCGCTCGAGGACGCGGAACATTGTGATGCCGTTCACAAATGACTTTTAAAGCGGTGTCGGTCATTCAAGGTTCATTCATCTTGCGTGACGCTTGAAGATAAATTCGTTTTGATAGCATCGTGACTTACATGGAAGAATGTCGTTCCTAGGAGAGCTCCATAGCTAAGTCGAGAACAAACAGGTTAGGTATCGGCGACAACAGATGATCTGACTCGGTGCACTTGAGAGAGGGGAAGGCTTACGAGATGATGTGGTAGGGACCCGGGGAGAATGCAATCGAGTCTGACATGATGGGTAACGGTGGTCACTGAAGCAGGTGTTCGGCACTGTTGGGATTCTTTTGGAGTGAGGTTGATTGAAGAGAGGTGGTTACATTGGGAATCTACAGAATGATGCGGTGCCATCTGGAACGAGCCGCTGGTGAGGAGTACAGGGGTCGAATGTATGAGGTCACCTCGGCCTAGCTCCATTCCTTACACCAGCCGACGGCAGCTTGGGGATGGAACCTTACTCGCGAGTCTAGCGTATAGAGTTCATGCACAAAGCTCGACATTCATAATTTCTGGGTGTTTTGGAATTCATTTCGTTAATCCGACTCTTTCGTGCGCCAAAGACATTTTGAGATGCTAACTTGGACGAGGTCGATCCAAAAGCTGACGAGCCAAAGATGACTGTTTCTGGATTTCTTATCGCTATCCTCACGTGACTTCGTGTTTGCGACGTCTACCAACCTACCTACCTACCTTAAGCTGGAGCTGTAGCGCGCTTCCCCAGGTCGCGCCGGAGCCTGGAGCTCGATGGACCTCATCTGCCTAATTTGAGCCAGGATCTAAATCCAAGTCTCCGTGCGCCGACGTCCTTCTATCTCCTCATCTGAACCTCTTGTAAATTTTACTAGGCCCCATACCGATTTCAATGCATAGCCTTTTAAGACGTATTTAAAAAACAAGTTCCGCTTCCCATCGTCCTCAAGATGGCCGACAAGGAGGCATCAGTCTACATAGTCGACCTCGGGTCCTCCATGGCCGACTGCCACAACGGCCGCACCGAGTCGGATCTGGACTGGAGCATGCGATATGTATGGGACAAGATCTCAACCACAGTCGCCGCCTCACGAAAAACATGGACCGTTGGAGTCATTGGTCTCAACACAGATGAGACCAAAAACGCGATGCAAGAAGAAGAGGGATACGAGAACATTTCAGTCTTGCAGGAGCTCGGCCCAATGACCATGACATCTCTGAGGGATCTCAAGGATAGAGTCCGGCCGAGCGAGACGGAGACGGGCGATGCGGTCTCCGCGGTGGTCCTCGCGGTGGACATGATTGAGACGTTTACCAAGAAGCTCAAGTATAAGCGGCGCGTGTACCTTGTCACCGACGCCTTGGCTCCAATTGACGCCGACGATATCGACTCGATTGCCAAGAAGATTAACCAGGACGGAATTGAGCTGATTGTTCTGTGAGTTTGTCCTTTGCATTATGATGTATAGGCTCCGCAATAACACCCTCAGGGGCGTGGACTTTGACGATGCAGAGTACGGCTTCAAGGAAGAGGACAAGCCGTCAATCAAGGTTCGATATCACACTCCACGCTCTACTTCATACGACTGACATTCCCTTGCAGAAAAAGAATGAGGCAGTTCTCAGGGATCTTGTCTCAAAATGCGATAACGCCCAATTCGCCACCATTGCAGAGGCAATCGACGAGCTCGACACGCCGCGCCTCAAACCCGTCAAGCCCTACAAGACCTACGATGGACCCCTGACCCTCGGTCTCGCCGACCCGCCCGAGGATCTCAAAATTCCGCCCACCCCCGCAATCATCAATGTCGAGCGCTACTTCAAGACCAAGCAAGCAAAGGCCCCGACTGCCTCCACCGTCGTGGTATCGGCCGAGCCCGGTCCCTCGCAGGTCGAAGGCGACCCCATGGAAGGTGTCGAGTCGACGTCCGGCTTCGCGGCGGTCAAGTCCGCGCGGGCGTACAAGATCAACGACCCGGATGCACCGGGCGGCAAGCGCGACGTCGAGTTTGAGTCCTTGGCCAAGGGGTACCAGTACGGCCGAACGGCGGTTGCAATCAGCGAATCCGAGTGGAATGTTACCAAGCTCGAGACGATCAAGACCTTTAGCATCATCGGCTTCATTCCCTGTGAAAAGGTATGCTTCTGCGGACAATTTTCCCACATGCAAACCCCCCCTTTTACTCTGACAACAAAACCCCACTGCAGTATGAACCGTTTCTCAATATGGGCGAAACATGCGTGACGGTCGGCCGCAAATTTGACGAAAAGTCACAGCTCGCCCTGTCGTCCCTCATCCACGCCCTATACGAACTCGAGTCCTATGCCGTCGCCCGGCTCGTGGTCAAGGAAAAGAAGGACCCCGTTCTCGTCCTCCTGGCCCCACGCATCGAGCCGGACATGGAATGCCTGTACGACGTGCCCCTCCCCTTTGCGGAGGATGTGCGCGGATACCAGTTCCCGCCCCTTGATAGAGTCATCACCGTCAGCGGGCAAAAGATTACGACAAATCATCGATTGCTCCCCAGCGACGAGCTCACAGACGCGATGAGCAACTATGTCGACTCTATGGACCTAGGTACCTTTGGAACTGATGACGATGGGTAAGCATTTCAACATGGAAACCTCCTGTCTAATTCTTACTGACGTACTCTGATGAAGAAATCCGTCAGAGTACGCTGCCATAGACGACGTGTACAACCCGATTATCCACAGAATCAACCAAGCCATCCGCCAAAGGGCAGTCAACCCCGAAGGCCAGATAGATCCAGTCCCTCCGATTCTAGTTCGCTACGCCGCGCCCCCAGAGGATCTAGTCGAGAAATCCAAATCCCAAATCGAGAGCCTTATCTCAGCAGCACAAGTGAAGAAGGGTAAAGACACATCCCCTCCCCCTTTTTACTCTCAACTTCTTTTCTCCCCATCTCCAAGACTCTATTCCGCTAACAGAACAACGTAACCACCCAGTTCCCCCAAAGGCAAAAGGAAAACGCAAATTCGAAACGACGAAACCCCTCTCGGGCCTCGACGTCGACGCCCTCCTGGGTACGCAACCCAAGCGCCCCAAAATCACACCCGAAAACGCCATCCCAGACTTCAAACGCGCCCTCGCCGTCGCCGAAGACGAGTCCGAGATCCGCGACGCCGCGAAGCAAATGGCCTCCATTGTCGCGCAGCTCGTGACGGACAGCTTCGGCGACAGCCAGTACGCCCGCGCGTCCGAGAACCTGAGCGTCCTGCGCCGCGGTCTCGTCGAGCTCGAAGAACCGGGTCTCTACAACGATCTGATCAAAGACCTCAAGAAGAAGATGCTATCTGGCGAGCTGGGCGGGGACCGCAGGGAGATGTGGTGGCGGGTGCGGACGTCGAGGCTGGGACTTATTGACCAGGCGACGTCTGAGGTTTCGAACGTCAAGAGCGAAGAGGCTGATGAGGTTCGTCTCTTGATGTTGTTTTGGATTTCGAGGTCGTATTGCTAACCTTGTTGCAGTTCTTCAAGTCAAAGTGAATGATAAATGAAGCAAGCGGGCGTTGGCAAAATCATGAAAGTCAAGAGGCATATCTCATGTAGACTCTAAATGAGTAAAGACTACTTCCTTTCCATGTTCATCTATCCATCCTCCAAACGTGCGTGTATACTCGTGTGCGTAGAGAAAGATTCCCCTCTACATGCCCGTCCAAGCAAATGACTTCACCCCAACCGATTCCTCCTCAGCCTTCCCCTGGCTCTTTTCGACTCTCTCCTTGACGGCGACACCCAGCATCGCCTGCATAGTGTATGCCGCATCGTTGCCCGCGTTGTGGAGGTTGCTGTGCGCGATGCCCAGGTCAGTCAGCACCATGCCCAAGCTTCGGCCCTGCGACTCGGCGCGCCAGGCCTGGTGCATGTCCTTGGAGTCGAGTGTACGGCTCGCGACGCCGCTGATGCTCCACAACTCCACGCCCATCTTTTTCATGTATCCGAGATCGGCTCCGAGGTCGTGGCCGAGGAGGACGATGTTGCGGGGGCGCTTGTCTGCCTCGGCGACGTCCTCATGACCGTCGAAGGAGAGGTCACTGACGGCGGTGCGGACCTCATGAGCGAGTTCGCTAAGCTTGGGGTACTCGCTCTTGCTATCCCAGATTAGTCTACGCCTATTCTCGGGGAATGGTAATAGGAATGGCAGTGTATAGCCTACCCAAAGTTGAAGAGTTCGGGGCAGCCCTTGATATACTTGCGGTTGCGAATGTGACGATAGTCCTCGGTGATGAAATGGCGGGTCTTGATGAACGGAACCCAGTTGCAGCCGTTCTCACCAGGCGGGACGCCAACGAGGTAGTTCGTGTCCAGAATCGACACACCAATCTCCAAGACGGTTCCATGGTGCTCCTCTGCGACTTCAATGTCGATGCACACGAAGACCACATTCTGCTCTAGTGCATGGGGGACCGGCCTGTCCAGCTCAACCTTCTTGTCCTTCTCGTTAACATCGCTAGCCTTGGGCCGAAGACCGAGGTACAGCTGCGCATCAAAGATGGACTCAGCTCGGTTCAGCGCCTTGTCCTGCTTCTTCCTCTTGCTCTTGTTCTTGACGTCCTTGAAGTTACTGTGCATGTTGAGCAGGGTCAGGAGCATCTCCATCCCAAAGGCGGTGGCGTCGGCACACGCGTCGTCCTCTTCGGGCGGGGGAATCGTGTCGCTGAGGGTGCGGTACTCGTTGTGCGAGGCGGAGCGGGCGATGTACTTGGGCCGGATGGTGCAGCTGGAGCCGAACATGAGGTAGAACATCTCGCCCGCCTTGCCGGTAGGGATGGTGAACTTCGTCTGGATCGAAGCGTTGACAACGTCCAGGAAGTGCTGGAACTGTTTTGTCGGGACGAAGATGTACGGCATCTGGTCCAGGGCCTTGGGGTGGTAGACGTAAAAGCTAGGGGTGTTATTCTCTCTCACTTCGCACAAAAACCTGTCGAAATCACACCGATCACTTACAAGTCCCATGTCTGCTCCTCCGTTATGGCATCAAAGAAGGGAGCTGCCTATAACTAGTGTTAGCTAGAGAGTTGAGATATCTATACGCAAGGTACTCACCCTAGGTCGGTTGGTCTTGCCGATGAAGCTGATAGGGTATCTCTGGACGACATCCCAAGATACGAAGGTCATGTTCTCCGCCGAGAGGTGGCCCGCCTTCATTCCCTCGAACTCGGGGAAGTCCTTCTGCATTAGGGCGTTGAAATCCGCAGCAGCCAACTCCTGGGACGTGGAAGGCTCAAGCGGCGGTCCAATGTAGTGGCGGCTTCGCTTCTCGATTGGCTTAGCGATGGACTTGCCTTGAATAGCGGCCTTCTTGGCTGCAACTTGACGATCTAGAAGGAGAGGGTCCAGCACTATTTCCTCTGGGGTCTCTTCCACTTCTTGAGAAGCGCCTTTCTCGAAGGAAATATCGTCGCCAAATGCCTCTAACAGACGCTCGAGCTGCTCAGCCTGGTTAAGAGCCATTGTGAAGTCAGTGTGTGGAAGGTGTAGGAAATGAGGTATGATGCATTTGGAAACGGTAATTCGAAAGGCGGAACAGAAAGTTTGAATCGGCCAGGAAGTGCTCCTGTGGTCGAGTATGTGGGAGTGAAGCTCACCTGCTGGGGAGGTATGGTTGATGGGGTTGGGTGGGTTGAATGGGTTGAGCTTGGCAGAAGTAGAAGGGGGACCTCCAAGCATGGGCACCTTTTAAGGCCTTCAAGGGAGATTCAACTACAGCGGAGGGTGACCGGATCAAGAAGAAAGAGGAAGAAGCAGCGATAGGAATGGACTTTCCTGTTGGTTCTTCTCTTCGTAGAATACTCAGACGACATCCGATTAGGACGGCAAAATTATTGAGACAAAGTGTACAACAAGAATGGCAAAAACCGCTAGGAAATGGGATGGTAACAATAAGGGATCTGGAACGAATCAAAACAGCGGAACAACAGCAATAGAGCCCCTTAAAGATGGCACCATGGGCTTCTGTGAGTGTTACTGCCATGAACATGATTGTGTGGGTTTTCCAATCCCATCGGTAGCTTTCACTAGATGCTGTTAGTTATTCGGTGAAGATTATTACACTGTGGACGTTATCGATTGAAATCTTACTCATGTTCCTTCGGCATGCAAGGCGTCTGTTAGAACTAGTGCTTTGTCACTGTGCCGCTACTGAAATGTCTTTGAGAAGTTGCACACTGGTAAATGCAGAGGGTTGGGGATAGGGAAGTATGAATATTTGAATACATCTTTTCAGTGTACAGGACTTGCAACTTATAATGAATCTTTGCTAATTGACTGCCCCTGAGAAGGAAAGATTCAGATGATTGAACTTTGTGGCAGATTGCGAGACTTACCCTAAGTCTAGTTTCCTGCATTGAGGCGAAACTGGAATAGGTAATTAGACACGGAGTATTAGCACAATCTAATCATTTTGCTGATCTTCAGGGACACTGAGCAATTAATCACATCTCAGGCAGGTGAGAGCTTGAACTCATGTTCGCGGAATGTTTCTCTAAGTTTTTACTTACAAACATGCCATGAGCCGACTGTTTGAGGTGTCAAAAGCTTCAGCGGTGAAATCAGTGCTATGAGTTCAGTTGAAGTGGTATGCTGCCATTTAGTGCGTCATACAAACCCTTGAAAAGCATCGCGGCAGTCTGACTTTGGCGATGGATGTATCGGTACAATGAAGATAACATCAATATAGGAAGCCAGTTTGCGGTCGGATCAGATTTCAGTTCCCAGCATCTTCTCACACAACAGCCGCGGTTCAACAAACTTGTCTTAGCCCAAAATAGCTCACCCTAGTAGGGAGAGCATTCTCTCCCTCAACTTACTTAGAGAGTCCAGGTAGACCCACTCCAGTCTTCCTCAATTTGGAACGCTTGCTTCCCCAGTGCCTGCTCATCTTACACTTCAGAGAGTTGGAGGATTCAAGCTCACATAATGGAGACGAATGTGATAATATCATAAAGTAGATGGGAGAGAAGAGAGACGAGAGGGCCTCATGCCATTAAACATAATGTTACAACAGGCCCCGATACCCAAAGGCCAGACCAGCCCAGCCCAGCCATACGCAACCCCGTCTTTTTAACCCCGTCAAGGAGGTTCCTGTCGTCGCCCATAAAACGCCCTCGCTATGAAGAACGACCAATCTGTTATTACAAAACCATCTAGTCACGGCGTTCGTACTTGGGCACAGAAGAGCCCGCCCGCTCGTCAGTGTAGAACCATGGCATCTTGTTTTCGTTCGTTTGTTTTTCGTACTTGTTATTGTTACATTCCGGGTTTCCGGACGCTGAGAAGGACGGCTAGTGTCAAGACGTCGTCTTCTCGAGTAGCTCCTTGGCCTCGTTGACCTTGGTAGCGAGGTACGGGCTGCCGCCGCGATCGGGGTGGTTCAGCAGCATCAGAGTGCGATGCTGCTTGCGGATCTTGTCGCGAGTGACGCCGCTCTCTCTATAACACAGACACAGGGAGGTTAGAATTTTTTTACCCACAGATCCAGATTATATCGTGTCCAAATGCTTCGCAGGTTTTCGTCCGCGGGTTCGTCGCTTACTGGAGAGACAGAATGAGACACGCCTCCTTCTTGTTCATCTTGGGCTCGAAGCCGCCCTTATAGAAAGCCTTGCCCATCGCGCCTACGCCGCCGCGTGATCGGCGCCATGCGACCAGACCGGCTCGGCCCTGCAGGAATCTCTGTGTTAGTCGTGGATTCTATCCTTTAACCGAGTAAATGCGCTTTTGCTGGTCGAAGAGCATACCAAGAAAGCTGCGACGGCAGCACCGCCTCCGATAGCAAGAACAGAAGCCATAGTCGCGGTGGGTTTCGTATTATGTCGTCGGTAGTTGTTGGGGATTGTGGATGACTGCGGAAAAAAGCGGATGGTATCGTGACGAAAGTCTTCGGAGTCGGAGGAGAGCTTTTTTTGGACTGAAGTCGCCGCTGCCCAGAGAGCAAGCCGCGATGCGCCGGTCTTGGTCCGTGCTCAACCGTTGTTCGGAAGGTGTGTTGGACCGCTCCGACAAGCCAAATCATGGAAGGGACTCGGGGAGAGTACCTACCTAAGGTAAGCAGGTTTCTTGGTTCCACCAATCCCGCTGCAATCTTATCGAACCTGGCACGGCGAAGAATCAATCCCCCCCAGCCCCACCACAATCGATAAGCGGTGCCTCGGAGCGGCAGAAGAAAAATTTCTAAAAAACTTTTGGAGGCGAGGCTTCGATCACCGCCTTCTGAACCCCCCGTATGTGTTTGGAAGAGTCGTCGAAACCAACACCAACAACCAACCTTGTGACTACTCCCGTGATACCCGTGAAGGTATCAACGCTGTCACAATGAGGTGTGTTCTTGTCTATTATTCCATTCTTTTATAGTCAACCCTTTGGTCCACGGTTTACTTCAAATTATTGGTATGCAAGCTTTCTAACTCGTGATGCTTCTAGAATCGAGACGTGCTACTTTTGCAGTCGCCCTGCCTACCCGAGCAAAGGCATCACCTTTGTTCGCAATGACTCCAAGGTCTTCCGCTTCTGCCGCAGCAAGTGCCACAAGAACGTACGTCTCTGACGTCCCTCGGACTGTTTTGCGAAAATCCCCTCCCGCAATGGCTAACTGCCCCCCGGGAAAACAGTTCAAGATGAAGCGCAACCCCCGCAAGCTCAAATGGACAAAGGCCTACCGCGCCTCGGCGCACAAGGAGATGACGGTCGACAGCACCCTCCAGTTCGGCGCCCGGCGCAACGTCCCCGTCCGCTACGACCGCGACCTCGTCGCCAAGACCCTCAAGGCCATGGAGCGCGTCTCCGAGATCCGCTCCCGCCGCGAGCGCGTCTTTTACAAGAAGCGCATGCAAGGGAAGCGCGAGCGCGAGATTGCCGCCGCCCGCAAGCTTGTCGCCGAGAACGAGCACCTCCTCCCCCGCATGCGCGGCTCCGAGAAGAAGAGGCTCGCCGCCGAAGGCGCCACCGAGGAGGAGATTGCCGCGCTCGAGGCCGAGGGCCGCTTGTCAAAGAGCAAGGCCGGCAAGGTCTTTGGCCGCGAGAAGATTCGCCAGCGGGTCACTGTCGACGGCGAAGTCGTTGAGGAGCGCGAGGGCGTCATGCAGGAGGATGACGGCGAATGGGACGACGAGGATGCGGAGGAGGACGATGACGATGAGGACGCCGACGTTGACATGGAGGATTGAGGACGACGATGAGGGACGTTGTCACGCGTTACGAACGACCAAAAGGAGGGGTCCCCCCCCTATCAAGGTGGAAGGAGAAGGTGGAAAAAAACAACAAAACGGACGAAGAGAAAGAAAGACAAAATGCTAATCGAAAGGACCTCTCTCTCCGCTCTTCTTCTGAAGAGCCGAGGAGACTAGAGATGGTTGTTGGGCTATGTTTTTTTTACGGGCGTTCAGGGATACAAAGGGCGATTAGCATCGACGGCGTTTGGTGGCTCTGAGAAGGAATACCAAAAAAGTGATCCAAGGTCCAGATTCAGTTCGGTCCCCCGTCGTCTCAGCCGCCACCTTTCTTCCCGTCTTGTGGATGCCGTATCCTCGCGGTCTGTGTTATCTGGAATAGCCATCCGGATGCACTCGCGATCTCGAGGGTGTCGGATAATGTCTCGAGCGAAGAGTGGCACATGACCCGAAAGTGCGCCGTCCTCCTGTTGGCGCATGTCTCTCTCAGAAAAGGAGCAAGCCAAATAGATGTTACGAATGCAAGCTTACATGTTAAACCTCCCAAGTTCACGCGGAACTGCCCAGATTGAGCGCTGCGGGTATCAATGCTTTAATGTTGTACAAACGAAACCCCTAACTCCAAGTGTCCCGTGTATCTCAGTCCAATCAATGGTCGCAGCATGCTGTGATAACGTACACACCAGTCGGGTGTGTTGCTTTCAAGCACCCTCCTCTTCCTTCTTCGTAGTGTGTTGATAAGCTTTGGGCGGCATGGGCAGGCCAGCCTCGACATCCTCAATGATCTTCTTCTCGAGCGCCTCCTTGCGCTTCACCTCCTCATCGGTCGCCTCAGCGTCAGGTAGGCTGCCCGTGTAATTGCCGGCGCCGCCGCGTCCAGAAGCACCCCTCGCCGACCGCGCAATGCTGGCACTCACAGCCGCCTGCGTCTTGCTCGCGAGCTCCTCTTGCTGCTTGGCGCCGGGCAGAGAAGAGGGATCCACGTAGTTGCCCGAACCCCCTCTGCCGGCGCGCACGTAGCCGCTCGTCGTCGGCGATGTGGAGGAAGCGGCGACTACGTCGGCTGTCTTTTGGGCCTCGATGTCCTATTGCCATGGCGTTTCCAGTGAGCAATTGCTGCTCTGGAAAAGGACGTCTTGTTCTCGCACATTACCTCTGGCTTAGCCTTTTCGGCGTCTTCTACGTCTTTTTTCGAAAAGAAGTTACCTGAGCCTCCTCTTCCTACTTTACGGAATACATCAGACATGGTCGTCGTCGCGGGTGTCTTCGGGCTTGATGACTACGGCGAGATGGATTCGTGATGCGGCTGGGTTTGTCCGAATATTACGCGAGTTCGGGGTGATGTGCGAGACTGCCAGCGTAAGATGGAGACGAGATAGTTGAAAACGTGAAAGCCTAAGACGGAAATGTTGAAAGGAAAAATCCGTGAATGCTGGCAGGTATTTTTAGGCAATGGGCAACTCAACCAAAAGTGACGTTCGGTTTTGGTGTAATTGACACTCCCTCACGGCTAGCCACTTGCATAGTGTGGCGCCGCGGGGTTAATCAAAGCTGCGTGGGATGGATGGGCCCCAACACCAATCAGTCGGTGTCCGCATTCGGGCTTCCGAGGAAAGGGAAACATTCCAGTCCATCGACGGTAGACATTCCTGAACACCAGGTTGCTGTGCGCCGGCTGCCCGAGTTTGTCGTATGGCTTCCTTTTCTGACAATATATTCCTCGGGCAGAACTCGTGCACCTCAATAGGGGTAAAGAGCTCAAGTATTGCAGCACGCGCCTGTCGATCGCTGCATCCGGACAGGTCCTGCCCTCACTCATCCTGGATCTTCCATGTGCTGCCGTCAAGGGATGAATGACTCTGCTCTGCTTCGGGCAGATTCAGACAGGGATCGACAGGCACGCCGACTAGGACCCATGATTTTCGGTTGCTTCAACAGGAGCAACCAGCGCCTGAAGAAACATCTTGAAGGCATCTTCATAGTCGGACCGAGACCGCTGCTATTACTCCAAATCTTAAGCTGGCACCCATCCCTGAAGGTAGTTGCCGCGAGACTTTCTCATTGCAGCTCTGGCGATGAGCTCTGCTAATTAATCCAAGGGTCCAACACCCCCCTCCCTCAAATTTGTATGTGAAGGGGGAGCGGAACGCACGGGTGCGGCAGCACCAAAAACCTTCTCCCGATCCCCGATGAACCTTCCGTATGATCCGGAGCTTCTCTGATACAAAGAGAGAAGAAATCCAAACCAAGGAAAGAGCATCATCCCACGTGGAATGCCTTTCCTGACGCAGGTACGCTGAAAATTGACTGGCAAAAGCAAAACTGCGAGCCCTCGGGTTGGGGATGTCGTGGGCGTCCCTCATAGGTCTCCCCAATGATAACACGCCCAGATCTGGAAAGATACTTCCCGGTACGAATGTCTACCTGGGTGGTATCCACTCTGGTAGACAGAGTTTCTGATAACGACACGCATCCGATTGCGACTGGAGGGGTGATGTGCAGCTGCGGCAAGAGGGGCGAGCTGGCCAGACGCGCTGATCGTCCTAGTCCGTTTCTGAAAGTGGCATCCGCAGGTATCTCCGCTGTTCTTCTGTTCTTGTCATGACGGCACGGGAATGACAGCGGAGCGACAACACGCTTGGCCGTTTCCGAGAGGAGCTGATGTGATGAATCCTAGGCATCCGTATTTTGGTGGAGAGAAAGGGAAAAAGAGAAATACCATACTCACGTAAGACGGGGCGCAGCGCAACTCTGTCTTTCTCGCGCTTAGTCCTATGACCCGTAGAAACAGGCATCTGCTTGTTCCGTGTCTCGATTCTTCCAAGGCGCGAGGTCGGCCGCGAAGCTGTCACCTTGCCTGATAAACCTTATCTCCCTCGCGTGCAGGGCGACGACGCCTTTGCAGAGTCCGCCGGCACAACCGTTTTGTGCAATTGTGCGGCCGGCGACGATCGGCGGGGGTTGTAACCTCGATGGGAGAGCTTTATGCATGGAGAAACCAGCTTCGGGATGGCATGGCACTGTTCAGAGAGTGAGGGGTGCAGCTGCAAAACAACAGGGCAGGACCCTGGCACACTTGTCTCGACTCCCCTACTGCCGGGCTGCTGAAGTTTTTGGAGCAATCGACGATTTGGCTGGTGGCGCCCTTTCAACCCGCTCTATGTGCTGTACTAGGACAGCCCTGTAAAAGTCAAAGACCGAAGTGTGATAAAGTTGGCGATCGACAACACGTTGACAGTTTCGTGGTGGAGTTGCTATTGGGGCGTTGCCCTTAGTGCGCTTCTGTTCTGCGCAAACCAGCTTCTGAGTCTGAAAAAAAATACGGAGTATTCGGAGTGTGCGCCGATGCGCTTGTATCCTATGATTTGTCGAACAGCATGTTGGGAGAATGCTTGGCCGTTCCTATCCGTCTGGTGGGAACCTGTTGTCGATCACGGATCATGGGTAGGGGACGGCGAGCTGATGTCGATGTGGTTCTTGCGTCAATCAGACGCAGATGAAGTTGTAGTCGAGATGCGACGATGGACAATTGTCTTCTTCAGTCGACAGCCACCAAGGCATCCCCGTGATGTTCTGGTGTAGAAGATGAGACTATTCCCTCTCAGTCTGCTAGGGAGGTCATTTGCATTTGTCAGACAGCATTGTTGCTGTCGATTATTGGTGTGCCGTTCAACAATGTTTCTTCCATTCCAAGTCCCCTCAGTATGAATGATAACGTGACGTGAATCTTGAGAGCTTTGCATGGAGAAGACTTCCGCATGCTGCTTCCAAGGGCAGAGCTTCCAAGCAACTTGGCATCGGTTGAGGCCAACTTTGAGCAACGTCCACATCCAAGTCGCAGGTAGTTGTGTCCCTTAGACACTAGTTGCGGTTGGCTTCGTTTACTTGGGGCGTGAAACCGGTAAAGTTGTTTGAGACTGTCAAAGAATCCAAGATGTGAAGCAGAGGAGGAAGCGGGAGGCTAGCCTGGAGGCGCATGGCCCGCTGGCGTTGCGGGAGATCCCAGAGTCCAAGTTGACGGCACAAGAACGGGCTCGCGTACTCTTTTCCCCGAGACGACAGCGGCTCGTCGACGGAGGCAGAGGCACTCAGGGCATACACCGTGAACACATCTTGCATGCATTCAAAGCGTCAGTTTTGGCAACTGAAACTCTGATCAACCAGGCCTAGACTTGGACAGCTGCGCCCAGTGACGCACTAGTTACATGCTGAACGTAGGTAATATGAAGGCAAAGTTGTTTGTAACCATGATTCGGGCAGAGTGTGCCTTGTGTCTTTCTCGCGTGCAGTGTGGCTTGTCCATCTCCGGACATTGGCGAGTCCATCGGTGTTGGAGGACGTCTCCGCTGACGATCTTTTGGACTGCGTTACCAACAGCCCAGGCAGTCAACCACACCTGAGCAACGGCATCCAAGGCGATAGCGTCAGGTGGCAAAGGCACACCATTCTGGCCGGTCAAAGGCAAGAGGAAGCAACATAAGCGACGGTATGCGTCGGGGAGCACAATAATGACGGGGTGGGCGGCGTTCCGCCAGAGGCAGGAGAACCCACCCGACATGCCCAGAGCAGAAGCCCGCATGGCGCCCGATGGAGGAGGGGAGGGGGCAGCTGACCGTCCCGAATCGCAATGGCGGCCCCCTAGCACGGCGTGAGGGAGACGGAGACGAAACCGGGCCCAGGACTGACCGTCTGACTGATATCCTGGTCAACAGCTGGACTCTATCAGGTTCCAGCGGCTTGCCAGCCAGCGCAAGGTCCAGCGAGCGAATCTAATATAAGAGACGGACGATGGCGAGGTGAGGAACCGTTGGCTGAGAGAAGCGCAGCGCAGTAGGCCGGGCCGGAAAGGAAATCATTTTGGTCGGGTTCGCAATGTTCCAACGCCGCCTCAGCCAACTTCAGGCCAGGCAGACCGTCCGTCTCAGCGGACGAGTCCTGTGATTAGTGGTCACTAGGAGGGGCCTGTATCTGGTCAGAAGGTGGGGGGGAGGGAAGCCCCAGGCGTGCGGTCATGATGTCCGGCTCAGGAGCGGATTATTGGGAGGACGTTTCGCTGGGGTGTACGATTAGTGTGGAGCGAGATGGAAGAGGCACAAGGAGGACAACAAGGACAAGGAGTGCCAGAGGGGGAGGGGGGAGTGACCAGGGTACAGGGTGTGGTGCTATCATCAACTAACTTGTGGTAAGATAGATCGTAGTGGTGGTGGTGGTAGCTGTGGTCGCAATCCGTCGATGGTTGTAGCACGTCTCCAAACGGACGCGAGAGCTTGAATGGCACGGCGTTTGGTTTTTGGTCCGATGTTCTGCCTGTCGTTTCCCATCTGCTCTGGCCGTGGTCTTTTACGGACTGGAACAGCAGCTGCTGTGCCTGAATTGACGAAGAATTGAACCTATGCCTGGTCCGCGCTCGGTGCATAGGTACTACGTCACTGGCTGAGATACGGATGGACTGGAACTTTCCCCAGGAACGTGACTGACCGGGGCTGTCCCCACTGTGTGTTTGTCACAGAATTGTGCAGGCCCCTGAACAGTGTGCGAAGAAGTATCACTGTGGGAGGACATCCAGTTACGTTCCTCAGGCTGAACTGGATGAGGCTTACCTAATGTAAGTCGATTTTGCACTGTGTACCTGCGTTATTTCTGAGCACCCACCAGAGGGAAGGTGTACTTGCGTCGCACCCGATGACTTGTCAACCCAACAACGCCGTCGAAGAGCTGTCTCCTGCTTGGCTTCCGTGTGATCAACGATCAGCAGAACGGTCCGTCGGGGATTTTTTATTCTATTCTTCATCGTTTCTTTTGCCCCGTCTTTGTGCCTGCTATCCCTCGAGGTTCAATTCTTGTCGCCGTTCTCTACACCGACTGGCATGCAGATCCAATGAAGAAACAACAGGTCCATGGTACCATCCACTTTTCGAAGAAAGAAGAAAACGAAACGACGGTTGTGAAGCACAGAGTACGTAGTAAGTACTCAAACTTCCATCAACCACCAAATGGCTGTCAAGGCACACAGGTCGGCAATTGCAGATATACTGGGAGGCATCCACCCAAGTTTCAATAAGACATCTTTCCCATGCCTTTTTGCGCAATACCTATTTGCTTCTTCCCATTTTTGGGACTTGCCATGGAGTCTAGACTCTACTAAGGTTCCTGCGCAGTGTTCCCCAACCTTGGGTTTCTGCGGTTGCGGTTGATAACCCCCTCACGGCCTACTTCATTCGATCAACGCACAGCGCATTGCGCACAGCTCACACAGCTCACAACCTTGAAGCTCGCACAACGCAACTTTGGCATGACCTGGAAGAGCAATGCGAAGCTACTGCGTTCTCCCCCCGCGCGTGAACTTCCGTTCCTGATCCGAAGCAAACCACTTTCTCCAATTTTATGAGAGCAAAAGCGGCCAATGCTCTGCCCTACGTCCCAACGCCCCAACCTGATGCTCGCGGCTCCAGCTCTATGGCCCGGGAGCAGTCGCCTATCCTGCCGCCTGCCTCTATGGAGCCTCCACGTTAGGGGAGCAGAGCTGTCGTGACTCTGAACCTGGCAATCCGCCGAAACATGCCACTTGCAGTCGATAGGCCTCTCGCTTCCGAACAAGACACGACATTCTTTACAACTCATTGGAGCCTGCTGTCTCAATCATTCCACATCGTTACCTCGCGAACAGAAAACACCAAGAAAGAGGACCAAAATAATTTTGGCGGTCACCAGGCTAGCGAGGTCCTGGCAAGTCTTCAGGAGACAACATGATCAAGCCCAGGGAAGCAGACACCCAAAGAGAATAATTAGGCACTCGAGCCAAAGTAAGCCACCCTGGTCCGGCTAGGGACCATGGCACGAGTCCACCTGTTGGTGGGCGAGGCGTTTATCAACAAAGGCCGCGTTTCTTTGAGCGTCTCTCTTGTTGGCTTAGTCGTCTGGCATAGATTCTGGAGCAGAATTACTCCCACATAACACACCTCCATCGTGTGCCGTCATTTATTAAGCGCTTCAGGATTTGGATCGATCAATTTCAGAGTCACGAGAACAACCGACGAGGGACACGAGCATCTGCAAGCATTTGAGGAAAAAAAGGTGCCATACATAAAATTGCTATTTATGATGTGCAACTCAAGCACGCTATCGGCCCTGGCCATCAATGGGTCTGGGCTCTGGAACGAAAGACGAGGGTTATGGGTTACTGGGATGGATCCATGGGATCCATTCACCCCTCCCCCAGTGACCTTTCCCCGCCGCACCGGCGCCTTACGGACACGTCCATCGCTCGGGAGGCCGACCATCGCTCGCCCATTGCCAAAGGACGACCACGGGCCATGCTCCATGCTCCTTGTTCCTGGTGCCCGTCCGCTGCGCCCATGGTCATGTCCACTTCCACTTCCCACCACCGGAGAGGTACATGCCAGCGTATCTTGGCCTGGCGGCACACTGTGGGACACCGGGAAGGGGAAGTGAGAGAGAAAGAAAGAAGGACAGAGAGAGAAACAGAGAGAGAGAAAGACAGTGTGTGTGTGTCGAGGAACCTCACGCTCGCTTCCAATGCCAAAGCCTACGCCCCCCTTTCCCAGCACACACCCTGCCCCGCACACCCGCCCTCCCTTTCTCTCTCTCCTCTGCCGCTTTCTCCTTCTTTCCCGCCCAGCGTCGTGGCTCCGCGAGTTGAGGGTGGGAGGGGGAGTGTGTGAGTCTCGTCCTGCTGCAGTACGGTCTCCTGCCCCTCCCCTCCCTCCCTCCCTCCTCCTGGCTCCTTCATCCTAGCGATCTGGTGGTGCAATACAACCAATGAAGGCCAATGCTCGTCCCCGACCAGCGCTTCTCTTTCTTTCTGGCAACTTGTTGGATAGGGCCGTCTCGACTGTTTCGCCCATCGCTGGACTTTTCGGGTCCCCTTCCAAACATACTCTGTCTCGAGCCCACAACTTTTCCCTCTCACTTCAGCTACCTCGATTCAAAGCACAGCAAACAAGCGGAAGGGTAGAAAAAGTTGAATCCGGCCTGGACCTCGACAGCCCTGTTGATCATCAGTCGACTAACCCCAAGGCATCTTAACCGTTCAACACCACCACCACCACACTCACCATCTGCTATCGGCTGGTCCAGCTCGGAGCTACTAGGTACACCCGCCCACAGACACACCCCTGCCGAATTGCTGCTCCTCCCCAAAATAATATTATTTCTCGCCCAGAGGCTTGTCTTTGCGACTCACTTTCTACCTGTCCATCTGCCTACCACCGTCGAACAACACCACAAAATACCACCGCGTCTACGAATCACTACACTTTCACGATACTCTAGCAAGGGACAAAGTGTTCGACACTCGTTGTCGAACCTGATCAGCATCGGTAGTTGGCAATGGCCTCTTCAAAGGTATGCCTTGGACCTGGATTACAACCTATACCCTGCCCTGCCTGGCTTGCTCCCATCACGCATCTCCAACCAGTCTTGCTAAACACTTCGTTCTCGTTCAGGAAATGCAGCAGACCACAAGGCCATTGACCCAACACCGTCCATCTCTATCATCTGCTTCCTCTTCCGGACTTACAACACGACAATCCCACTCCCGTACCAACTCCCACTCCATCCTCAGCGGCGCTCTCAATGCCAACCACCGTGTGACTCGCCGCAAGTCCATGACAAACACCGCTGCGAATGCGGCGGCCATGGCAGCGGCGATCAAGGAGGTGGGCGGCGACAAGGTCACGCCCATTGCCGTCAGCTCTCGTCGGAACACTGCCTCGAAGGGTGCTGCCGCCCGCGCCGCGATCATTGGAAGTCTCCCCTCACCTCCAGCGAGTCTGCCGACGCACAAGTTCCACTTGGATGGCAAGACAGACATCCATGAGAGCGCCATCGAGGATGACCCTGTCAATGGGTCGGCCGACGAAGGCGATGACGATGCTCAAAAGGCTCGTATTCGTCGCGCTAGCGATGGCCAGCCTCTCGTGAAAGAGGGCAGGAAGTTCAACCGCGTCGAGCTCAAGTGCGAGACATGCGGAAAGGGGTACAAGCACAGCAGTTGCCTGACCAAGCATTTGTTCGTTTCCCTTCCCATTCCCCGATCCCCAAATTCAATCCCAAAAAAAATGGTAGCCTGGGCTTTGGAGACCTGCATGCTGGTTCCCCATATCAGAACTAGTCGGGCAGTTTGTTGACTCATTTCTGGTCAGGTGGGAACATACTCCCGAGTGGTCCTTGACTTCCAAGCTGCTTATTTCTAAGCACCAGCAAGTCCAGCTTCTCGAGGCTGCCTCCGTTTTGTTGACCATGAACCACAAGGAAGAGGGTGATGCGGCGACTCCCCCGGATTCCGCCAAGGACTTCCCTAGTGACCAAGAAGGGTCGACTTCTCCCGCTGCCTCTGGGTACTCGGACGAGCGACACAGCTCTGCCGATACCACCCCACCTCCTCAATTGGAGGCATTTTCGTTGTCGGATCGTTCGTTCTCGAAGCGGTATGGATCTGGAAGTGGTTTCGGTCGTTCGTATCAGTCGGCACCGTCCATCAATCCTCTCGTGACAGGCAGCATGCCCCGTGGATCAGGATTCTCCTCACACTTCCGTCATACCAGCCAGGACCAACGCCCGCCATCATCAGGAAGGAATGCCACGGGACAAGAAGATCAGGATTTGGCAGCTGCAGTTGAGCTTCTGAGTTGCAGTTTCAATAGCAACAACGGAAGAACAGTGCAGCTTCCAGCAGACGCCCCTCCTGTACCCCCGCTACCGGCGCAATATCTCGACCAAGCGGCATCGTTCTCGAGCGCTGGGTTCAGCGCAGGTTTCAGTGCCGGGTTCCTGAACAGCTTCCCTAGCAGGCAGCCTGAGAGCTTCACCCGAGGCGAGGTTCGCGGCGCTGACGTCAAGATGGAAGACAGCGACAGCGTGATGGACGATGATGACTTTGACCGCCGATCTCGATCTCGAAGCGATGAGGATGACGACGGCGTCTTCGGACGTATGGAGGAATAGCGGGACTCCGTTCCACGTTTGATGCCGATGATATCTGAGGACATGAGTACATAATGAAGAGGGATAGTGAGGGGAGGATGTGTTTCTTTTGTACCACCATATACTAAACCCTGTAAAGGAGGTGGTTCTGTCTCCGCCGCCGATCTCTCAGCACCAAGGAGTGGAGGGCCCGATCTTGCATCATGATCTGGCCAAGCAAGGCAGGTCGATAGGATGGGATCGAGATTGCATCTCCACGAGGTTAAAGTGAGAGACGGAGAGGGCGTCGAGCGAACGCCCAAAGCTTTCACACTGATGGTTCTTACGAGACAGATGAGTGCGATGCCCAAGAATGGCCGCTACGCTCAGTCTTCGGTATGAAGCCAGCATATCGAAATAAAAATGAAGAAAAAGATGAAAATTCCAAGAATTGGCATTTTTCGCTGGTGACTTGCATCACTTCTGGTCTGATTGACTGAGAAGACTATTGATAGTGACGGGGACGTGGGCTTGAAGCGTGGCTAATGTTTACCATCGACGATGGCTGGATTGACGATGCAGGCGGGCTGATGGTTGGTGTGTTGGAACGCCAGCAGCAACCTTAACCAGGCACACCCGGAGCTTTGCTCCCGAAAGGCGAAGATTTGCATGTGAGCTCATCAAGCTTTGAAGATCACACAGACAAGACAGACACCAAGCAAACGGGGGAGGAGGCTAGTTGGCTAGGTTGGAGCAAGGCCATTCTTTTTGACAGGTATAAATTGTAGCCTCCCAAGCTTGACTTGAAGAAGGACGGGGGGCTTCATGCATTAAATATCTCCGGAGCGGAAGGACAGAATGGAGAAAATTTGCTTGAAGAGAAACGAAAACAAACAGAGAGAGAGAGTGGGAGAGAAAGGATAGAGGAAAAAGTCTGCAATTACGGATCACGGACGGAGCCAGTAGAAAATATCCATCCTTGGGAGCCCGCTCACGGTGGAGTTTTCCCCTTCAATGGGCGGGCTGCTAAGGCACGGCGGTCGTTCGGTGGCCGGTAGTGTGGGGAAGGAAGAGACCTCTTGGTGGCTTCTCGATAGATTTCGCCCGCTGTCGGACCACCAGCTTACCTCACCACCTTCCTCGAGCTGCTGTTACCCCAGCGACGTCACCTTTACCCGTCCGGACAGCTTCTTTCTCCACTCGGCATCATAGGCCACAGCAGCTACCCGGGACCGAAAAACGTAGAGGTCTCACATTTTCTTTCCTCTTTGCCCTGGTTGATCTCACCGTGTCGCAAACCGCAAATCGCAAACGGCTTCTGCGGCTCATTTCTCCTACAGCCTCGCCACCTTCATTTTTCCTGCCTTACCCCTCTCGCACTTCTGCAGCTGGCGCATCGCCAATCCCGACTTGTTTCTCCCGAACAACACAACACGTTGCTTCTCCAATCAATTAGTCCTCACACGCGCAAGCACAGCACACGAGATGCCCACTCTGAGACGCAGAAGAGAGGCCTCGCGCCCCGTCGAGGAGCCCGAGGTCGATGAGACGACGTCCAACGCGATCGAGCCTATCGCGAGCCATCTCGAGCGGCTTGACACTGCACCCGACGGCACGGTTGAGGCACTCGCTGTTGTCAACGACGCGACGGAGGTAGCGGCAGCAAAACAGGTGGAGGCCCTTCAGATCAGTGACAGAGATCGCGATCACCAGAACCCGCGGAAGCAGCGATCGCACCTGCCTACAGCGGTGCAGTTCCCACTCGTTACCGTGTTGAGCTTTAGCATCTCGAGTCTGTGCTACAGCTTTCTCAGCGAGTGGAGCCGTGGGGAGCTGGCGGGGATCTCGAAAAGCTTGGATACCTGGGGCGAGGTTGCGACTTTGGCTGGATGGCGCGTGTGAGTTGCCTTGTGATTCCCAGAAAGACATTGTTGGGAGGATCGCTCGGGGACTGTGCCTGGAAATGCATCTTGCTGACAACCGCGGCCTCGTGTAGATTCGAGCTCGCCTTGGGCTGGTTCGGCAACTTTGACAGCTACGATCTCGCTGCGCTCAACCTGCTCGCGCATGGCCCGCCCGTACGTTATGCTCCGACGAGAAGAATCATGAAGACTCTTGGCTGGGGTCAGTCGACCATAGCTATGCTAACGTGCACTTCGCGCACAGGTTTACCTTATTGCTACCTTTTACAACATCAGCACGGCCACCGCCATCTCGGCTCTAGGCATTGAGATACTTTCCACCTTCCTGCCATTCCAACTCCTGAGACCCTTGTCGGGCGCGCATGCCGGCGCTAAGAACGTTGCCAACCGCGAAATTCTCACCGACATCCCGATCCAGATCTACACTACTATCCTGTCGGCAGCCATCTACAGCCTCACTCTCTTCACTGCTTACAAGACCTACCTGCCAACTACCCTCGTACTCTACTTCCAGGGGCTGCCGAGCCTTGCACCTGCCTACACAACCAACTTTTTGGCTACATTGCCCGTAACAGTTGCATTTGGTGTCGCAGCGAAATCCTTCATCTTCACACCCTTTGTCGCGACCGGCGAGACTTCCGAGGACGAGAAACTGGCCGCATTCGATCCCGCGACGGCCACGCTTGGCGAGACTCTTGCGTGGAACATTTGGGGCTACACGACGAGGGAAAAGGTTGTCATCCTGCGAACCGCTGTCGCCATGGTCGTCACGGGTGTCAACACGTACTTGCAGACTTTCATGACTGTCAACGGTGTCGAGTCGTACGGTGCATCCGTTTATGCCGGCGCCTGGGTTGCCGCGGCATTCTTCACCGGCATCGGTCTTGGATTCGTCGGTGGTGGAGACTCATGAGCGGGGAGGGGGAGTGTATACCTTACTTTGCCTTCTGTACAAGGAAAATTCCACCTTGGCGAGGCGGATGGTAGATGCTGACGGTCCAAGAAGAGGAGTTTTTGGGGCTTTTCGAGGCCAGGAGCGGGTTTTTTTTTTTTTTTTTGTACCGGGAACTTTGCGTAGCCTTGGAAACAAGGGGAAGCTGCGTGCTTGGAGGGGCGATAACGCACATCAAAAGGTTGTTGCTACAGCTGCCTTGCCCGGTGATCAAGTCCAGGTCGATGTATACCAATCTTTTCTTGCGTCCTTTGTTTTTTTCCTCTCTGTTTCGAGTAGTGTACAGCTTCGGTCTTCCCGTACTCTCGTGCGTTTACCTCTTCTCTGGCAAAACTTCATAGTCCTGATAATGAAGTTTCCAGCAAGACATTTAAAGACATGTTAAAGCCTTCCAAAGCCTCTTTGATACCGCAGGGGGGGGAAGCCCAGAAGACCCAGTGACGTGATGCTTTGTGATGTTGCTTCAGTGTGTATGCCGAAATACGGTATACACCCATGACTCCCTCACCTAAAGCGCCCCCCTCCCCCTCCCCAGAAAGTCAGCCTCGCCTGGACAATAGAATCGACGGACTAGTCCCAATTAATCGGCCTTATGCAGGAAGCTAGCGGAAAATGATTGTGTTTCGTTTCTTGTCTTGGGTTTCTGGTTGAGTGGAGGCTGTCTGATGTCTCCGGTGAGTGGTCAGGTTAGCCGACATAGGGCTGAAAAGGTTGGAAGTTGGGGAGGGGGTGACAGAGGAATGACGGAGGTTCCTCAGAAAGCAGGATATATCTATCCCATTGGATTACCAATGCGATCGGCTAGCAACACAGGCCCGGGGTATGGTTTCTGCGGTTCTGGAGCCTGGAGTACCGTATGGTACTCTCTAGCTCGTTCGGGGTTATTCTGTTTTGCGTGCGCGGCGGATGAATTTTTTTTGGGTACGGGTACCTATACGTACAGGCAATCGCTGTAATTGTCTCAAGTGAGGCGGACAAATAATATGCAAGCCCCGAGGAAAGCGATGCCTAGGCACAGGTGAAGGCGTGCAGGTAGATCAAGAGATTTCCCAGGTTCCTGGATTGAGCGGTCGCCGGTGGGTTGAACATCTCCTCCCCGCCCTCAGACTCCAAAGGCCCCCCCCCCCCCAGGTGCTCAGCCGGGGCCCCATCCGCCGCCCCCTGCCGACCCCATCTCCCCCCCGCCGACGCACCGCAATCCCCCCCCCCCCCCCGGGTCATCATCCGTGACCCTATCACCGCCTTCTCTCCGCGCGAATTTTTCCCAATTGGGATGATTTGCGCCAAGGCTGTGGGCTGGCGAACCATACCGAGAGGATCGATCGACTGGGGTTCGTCGCCTCTTTTGCTTGGGTCGGGAAATAGTCCCAAGGCAGTTTTTGGCCATTTCTTGCTTTTTCCCCCGGTTCTCGGGGTGGAGGAGAGGGCGAACGGGTGGACTCACTTCACCTGAGACACTGAGCGTGACTTGCCTTTTTTTTTTCTCCCTCCCCTCTCGACTACCTTGCTTGCCTGCGGCACATATCTGCACGAATTGTGGATCGGAATGTATTTGTACGGGTATGTATGTGCCATTGAGGCGTCCGATGCAGCTGCCGCCGCGCCTAGGTATCGTCAATCCCTAGGTGAAGGTAGATCAGGGCTGCGTCTTGCGTTCGGATTGCTTGTGCCCGGACGCAGGGTTAAAGGGCGGCAGGCAGATCAGGTCTTTGTCGTGCGGTGTGGTAAGGTACCGTAGCATTGCGGCTGGAGCTGGGGCAGTGATTCATCGACACCGTACTCCGTACCCAGGCTGCCACCAAACCACGACGTCAAGAGATGAGATATTGCCCATACTACCTTGACGCGGCTGTTCGGGCCCGGGTGTGGTGTGGGGGGGTTGGGTTTTGGGGATTTACCGGGAACGACGATCAGTAGATCAGCTCGTGGGTTTTATCACTTTTGGACAGGGGGGGCATTCAAGGAAGGCGTTTGCCGAACTATCCAGGGCGAAAGGGAGGGGTTCAGACCCGCGGGACTTACCGTACCGTATTATTATTTTTCTTGCGTGACGGTGGTGGACCGGGGGAAGTTTACTTTTGCAGTTCACTTCAGCTTCCGGTCGGACTCTTGGTTGGGAAGATGTTTTTTCGATGTCATGGAGCGGCTGAGGCTGTTTGTTTTATCTCCGGTGGTGGTGGTGCTGGTGGAATCTGCCCAGCGGTCGGGCGGGCTTCTTCAGTCAGGGGCGGGCATGGTGATGACCCAATCGAGGCAAAGAGAAATCGGGCAGCTTGGCTGTTGTCGATATATGATCGTCAAAGAACGCCAGTTTTGGAGTGCCTATGGTTTCAGTATGTCCACTGTCGAGCTATAGAGTTGGTCATATCCCCCGCGGAAACCAATCACAGCCAGTTCCATGCTTGTAAATAGTCTCTTTTTCCTTTAATCACCATGTCTCCAAGGTCAAAACAGTCGTCAAGAAAGGGCAAGGAAGCCGCCGCTACCACCCAGTACGAATACTACGATGAGGTTTCTCCGGCTGGCACGACGGGCAGCTATTACGCCTCCTCATCGACTACAGCCACCACGGGGCCCAGCCCGTTGACGGAGTACGACGAGATTCCCGGCGCGGCGGCGACGACGACGACGACGACGACAACTGCGACGGTCGTCAAGTCCAAGTCGATCCGGAGTGAGGGCGAGATCACTTTGCATGGCCCACTCGAAGTCGCGGGCTCCGTGAAGGCTGGGGGAAACATCACGCTGAACGGCGACTTTGACGTTAGGGATAAGGTTGAGGCGTATGGTACTATCGATATTAATGGGAATTTAGTTTGCGAGTAAGGTCTTTTCTCAATTCGAGGTACGAGTCTAGACGCAGAGGTGAACCGTATACTGATTCCATGTTCTGAACAGTGGGAAGATGAAAGCGTATGGGAATATTTCAGTGATGGGATACATGTCTATAGGGTAAGTGTGCCCTTCATGCCCCAATAACAGACGGAAGACGACACTGACGTCTGTCTGAATGAGGATAGTGATAAGGTTAAAGGCTTCGGCAAGTTGAGGGTCACCGGGACGTGTGAGGTCAACGACCTTGAAATATACGGGAATACGACGATACATGGATTCTTGTAAGTTGCCGCGGGCTACCCTTTTCCCTCTGAGATTGAGGTTCTGACTGCGTTTATAGAAAATGCAAGAAAATGCTTTTATACGGGTCCCTCACAATTGTGGGTCAAAACTCGGGATATCACGTTGAAGAAGAGGAGAAGATTTGGGGGGCAATTATTAGTCGCGAGGAAGATGCGAGCTGGTGAGGCTAGGGCGGCAATGAGGTGGTCTTGTTGCGGAAACGTCACGGTTTTGCTTCACCCTCGGCTGCCCTCCAAGACACCTCTACGCTGGCGGCAGTCACAGAGACGAACGGAAATGAGGCCAGCTTGGAGGCTGAAAGTGAGGTCTTGGAAGCCTCGAGACGGTGGTTCGGATGTTACGGCGATGGCTTTGTCATTGGGGGCGTGTGCAAGACGGCGTTTGGTACTGGCGTTGACATGGGAATGGTGGTACTGTTGTGGAGTAGGGACGCTGCTTGGAAGGCTTCTATTAATAGAATTGCACATTCGTCGTAGTGGAGCTTGTCGATTAAACTTTCTTATCAACGCTTCCGCGCCAATTAAGAGACATTGAGCTTCTTTGACCGTTGTATCAAGCCATCTCAACTCGTGGTCCACGAGGCGGGCCACGGGTAATGTCCATGGCTATGAGATGGGAGATATTGTCAGTCATAATCGCACTCAAATCACCACATGTTCTGGGCCTGAGTTGATGTGCAGATCAACAAGTCATGGCTGAGGACGTCTCATCTATCGGCGTGGAATGAGACGAAGCGGGGCTGGCGTGATATTGCGCCGAAAGTGAAAGGTTGACCCGGAACTTCAATATTCCGACCAGAATATGACCTGTCGTGCACGGAGCGCACCAATCTGGCCAGCGCATCTGTCAGTGGATTTTGGGGCCCCGCCACATTGCAGCTGCCCCTACGGTTCCTAGCGCCAGGGAGCTCCTAGAGCTAAAGCAAACATCATGTCAGGTCGCGCGACCCTTGCATACGCGATCCCCGACTTCATCCCAAGCATGCGCAACAGCATTTCGCAACCCGCCCAACAGCCACCATCGATTCCCCAGTGTCAAATGAATCCATAGCGATTTAAGCGCCGTTTTTCAGGCTGACGAAATCCACTGCCATTGCACCGCTCCCGACAAGATGGTCTCTACCGACGAGCGCGCAGATGCCATGGACATCGAGGTGTCGCCCAAAAACAGGACGTCGGTCGAACACGACATACACCAGTCGCTCGGTTCCATCAGCAACTCCGTCGAGTCTCTCGAAATGCGCGCCGATCCGGATGCGCAAGCCACCGTCACTGACTTCCTCGACTTTACCGAATACCTGCCTTCCGATATGACGCGATCTTTGACCCTGATCGGCAAGCTCGATCAAACGTACAGTGAAGCGTCACTCAACATCCACAACCTCACCTCGACCTGGGGCAAGCTACCTAGTATTCCCGCCGAGGAGCGCCCTTCTCCCGTACAGCTACGCGCAGATATTTCAGACAGTCTGAACCATGCAGTCAGCTCGCGTGTTTACGCACATGCCGAAGCAGTCCGCATGTCTGAAAACGTCAATAGACACTATAATCGGGCAAACACGATATTGGCCAAGTTGAAGAACTTGCTGGAAAATTATCCGGCAGAGGAACAAAAGAGCCCTGTGGCGACTTCCAAGTCCCAGCTTGTCAGAGCGCCGCGGGTGATACGAAATGGAGACGGCGAGAAGGTGCGCAGGCCACAGATACCCAGGATTACTGTGCCTGGCGAAGTGCTGCCGCCGTATGATCAGTTTGTGGCGTACTCGGACGACAGCGACGAGAGCTCCGAAGAGGACGATGACGAGTCTCTGGGCCGGACGCCAGCTCGGACGACACCTGCACCGCGAATCAAAGTTGTCAAGACCCCCAAAGCCAGGCCACCAAAGACTCCAAAGGCTGCGTCTTCGGCGCGACCTCCCAAATCTGCTGCGAATCTGGCTGCTGCTGCAACCCCTGCGGTTGTGCTGCAGCCCCCACCAGAAAACGCCGTGATCGGGAGCGCCGATGCCCCCTGGTTGCAGTTGACGCCATGGGAATTGGCGAGGCTTAGAAAGCGCATGAAGAAGAACGCAACCTGGAGCCCAAGTGATACCATGATTTTACGAGAACTGAAGACGCTCGGCCGTGGAATTGACGCCTATAAGGAGGCGAAAAAGAAGGCCGAGGACGAGGGCAGAGTCTTTGACCAAGTACCTGTGGCTCTGGCCCCTGATGCTGAGGCTGGGAACAAACCCATCCCTGAGGGCGCTATTAGCGCCGCTGCGCTTGCATCTGATGATATTCAGCTAAGCAATCGGGGCATGAAGCTTAACGAGGCCAAGAAGCTCAAGCGAGAGTCCCTTGCTAAGCAGGCTGCTGAAGAGGCGGAAGAATCAGCCAGACAGTTTAGGGAAGCTGCGAGGCTTTTGATGTCTCACGAAGCGTCGTCATCATCAGTCGCGAACAACAATAGCAACAACAGCAACAGCAACAACAACAACAACAGCAACAATAACAATAACAATAGCAACAACAACAACACTACTTCCTCCACCTCGAATAACAATGCGAGCAACCCCCCTGCCGATCAGTCGAAAGGCGCAGGCAAAGCGAAGCCTCCAGCTAAGCCGAAATCGAACGGCAACAAGCGGAAAAGAGACTCTGTTCCAGAAGCCGAGGCCGAGAAGCCTGAGCAGCCGCCAGCTGAGACACCAGCGGCCCGTCCCGCTCCAAAACGCACCAAGACGGAAACTCCGGTTCCGCTTCCTCATCTCAGAGCCAGTCTCATCGCACAACCGCTAGCAGAGTCTCCTATACCGCCTCCAGTCCTTACTCCGGGCGGCACTGCGGTCACTCCTAAGATGACGACCCCAGTGCCAATTCCTATTCCCGGACTGGACGGTTCGGCCATAGGCCCTGGCACAGCAGCTACGAAGCCGGCAAACACATCTGCGCCGGCCTCTTCACCGACAGGTTCGGTTGGGCCGCCAGCGTCAATTGCGAGCACTATACCGGCAAGTATAATTACCAAACCACCGGCGGAGACGCCAGTACCGCCACCGGTCTTGTCTCCCAAGAAGTCCACCACACCCATTCTTCCTCCAGTGCGTGATCCTGCAGCTCGGAGGGAGACGAGGGGCGAGATGGCAAAGAAAAATCAGCAACAACTGGACAATCCGACGCCAGTGTCGGCGCCGCAGATTCCACAAGCACAGCGCTCGTCATCCGCTGCGCCTTCCATCAAGCAATCGAGCTCTCGTGCGGCGACACCAGGCACAACACCCGTGCCGGACGGCCAAGGGCGACGTCCCGGCTCGCGAGGAAAAGCTATGAGTCAAGAGCCACAGCCTTCGCTAGCAACTGACCGACCCCGTCGCGCTAGTACCGCGCGGAACACGCCAGCTCCCGAGCAGCGACAACCGAGTAAGAGGACTAGAAAGCCTGTGCCCGGTATCGTCAGTAAGACCAACGCTGGAGGCAGCAGTGCCGTGGGTAAGCGAAAAGCGGCTCCCAAGAAGAAACGCGCTCAGAAAAAGGAAAAGGGCCAGCCGATCGAGATCGAGTTGGAAGAAGACGACGAGGGTAACCCAATTGACCCTAAAGAACCACGGTACTGCGATTGCAATAGAGTCAGCTTTGGCGAGATGATTGCGTGCGACAATGAGGTAAGTACTTTACGTTCAGCTCGAGGCGTAGGACTGCACTGACAATTATTCTTTTGCGTCTGAAGAATTGTGACAAGGAATGGTTCCATCTAGAGTGCATGGGTATGACGCATATTCCTGCGCGCACGACGAAGTGGTATTGCCCCGACTGTCGCCATCGTTTGAATATCGGGGAGAAGGGCGAGATTAATGCAAGGGGGGTCAAGGCCTGAGGTGAGGTCCCGGATGTGAGGTATTGTATTGAATAGTGGGCAGTGCAATTCCAACGGCATTGAGGGAGACGTCTGAAGCGAGGCGTGAGGTGGCCAGGGCTGATGATGGGCAAACAACCGTTACTGTACAATATTAGTCGTGTATCAACAGTAAATGAATGCTGCACCACGGTGTGGCTGTTACGGCATCTGCAAATGTTTCAGCGACGCACAAGTAACACTTACGAGGGGATGAATACCTTACCTTACTGTTGAACGGAGGGAGGTAGCGGTCATGCATTGCAAAGGCGGTTCGTTGCGCCCCTGTAGACTCGATTTACGAGATTCCAAATGTAGTGCCGCCAGCAGCAGCAGCTCCGTAATCGCGCGCAACAACTCCTGGGGAGCACACTTGCTGGTGACGGCACGGACTGCCCCGAAATCTGCTGAGAACTTCCTTATCGTTGCTGGTTGTCGAGATATCCAGGGTTGGTATCCTGAACTCAAAGTACTGGGCGGTGGCCTGTGCTCATGCACCTTCCTGGGTGAAGTTGGTGATGTGTATATGAACTGCCCTCCCTCCCCGGTCCCTCTTCTTTCCTTTTCTAATCCATTCCATCTCCTCTGTTTGCTCTTTTACTCCTTGACGATTCTATGAGTCAATGTAATACTTGATTTCCCAAACAATCCAGCTTGCAAGCCGCTGTCCTTTGATTCTCGGTGATCGACGCGTCCACACTTGTTGACTTTCACGCGCCTACCTCAGCGTTGTATTCCACGCTGTCGTGCCGCCAAGCCTTTTCACGGGCGACTTCTGCCATCCCAAGCTGGTCCTGGAAATGGGTATCAAGTAGTGCGTTCAAATTGGTTTGGTTTTGTTGAAATTAAACTTGAATCATCACCTCGACCTAGGTGTACTAATCACACCTTGTTAGCCTCTGGAAGCTCGTTGACCCGGCAGGTATTGAGAGGTCGTTGGCACAATGGGCTACTGATCATTTGAAGCAGCATGGCCGGCCGCTGCGCATCGCTATCGACGAGGCACACTGGCGGTACAAGAATGTCACCGATGCCCAGGAAGCTATTATTCAAAAACGTTAGTCATCCAAATCAATCATCTTCCCCGTTCTCTACATCAAATTGGTCTTCCGATCTCGTCCCTTTTCGTGCTTTCTATACAATATATGCACCCGAATGTTTGATGCCTTTTCCGTCTTTGTTATTCTTGAAAGAATGGGAGAATTACAGGCCTGACAATTCCGATCAGAAACACCAGGTTCCCACCCAAAAGAGAGGGCCATCCTGGAACGTACCCTATCGCTCATGCGTCTCGGCATCCATGTGGTCTTTGTTTTCGACGGCGAACACCGTCCTCACATTAAGAGAGGCTCCAAGCGATACCGTCAACGCGAATCCACCACGGCTCTTCTGAAGAATACATTGGATCACATCCTCGTACCCTGGCTCGAGGCGCCAGGAGAGGCAGAGGCTGAGTGCGCTCTACTCCAGCAAAGGGGTCTCGTCGACGCAGTCTGGTCCGACGATGGCGATTGCCTCATGTTCGGCTGCACAGTCCTCATCCGGGATCTGCGAGATAATAAAAACCAGAAACGCAAGGAACATGCGAGAGTATTCGACATGACAAGTATCCGTCGCTTAAAGGTTGGGCTTTACAACAAGAAGAGCATCACCTTTTACGCTATGCTTACAGGATGCGACTACGCCCCCGACGGGCTTCCGGGCTGCGGAACACGTCTAGCTCAAGAGCTTGTCAAGGACGGTGCCCTTGTGGAGAGTTTCTGGCGGATTCAGACGCAGGAACAGGCGACGCAATGGCGAACGCGTCTACAGGAATCGATCCATAGCATTACGAGACGTACAAACCTGCACTTCAACGAGGACCAGCCCAAAATCAAGAATTTTCCCGATCTTCAAGCCCTGAAGAATTGTCGTTCGCCAGTCGTATCCGACTTGGCCACTCTCTCTAGACTCCCGTTCTTGCAGCGTGAGTGGTACGGCACCCACACAACAGAAAGCCTGGCAACCACGATTCCTTGGATGCAGCGATACTACTACTCTAAAATGAGCACTATATGGTGGGTCAGGCAATTCACGCCTTTGGTGTTGAGCCAGAGGCTTCTCAGAGGCGAAGTTGGCACTCGGGACCTCGTCGCCAAGGTTGCGCAAAAGCGCAAGCAAGGCCCGACGAGCTCCGTCGAACTTGACCCTTGCAGAGTGTTTCCCGGTATCGAGCGCGTCTTCATCGAGTGCGAAGGCACCCTTCTCTTGAACAGATGGCCCGGCGACTGTGAGCTTGCGGGGAGTCCGATTGAGAACGGTAAATTCGCCTTGCTCGACGCAATTCTGGGTCTTGGTATGTCAGATACGGAATGCCAATCGTGGAGGAAGAAGAAAAGGTCGCCTATGGCAGGCACCATCCACCCGGCACATTCACCAAAGGCACCCCCACCTTCTCGGATGAGTCCTGGAAGCAGATTTCCCTTCACGGGCAATTTATTTCCGGCGAATGGCGATATCCTTGAAGACCCTCTGGTACGCTCGCATGGAGCTCGGGGTATCGGCAGCGGTGGTGGTACCGAATGCAGTCCGCAAGACCTTTGTAAGCTTCAAGAAAAGATCCTTGCAGACTGCCAGGCCAACATTAGGCGGACTCCCGCAAAGGGGCCTCAAGACGATAGTCGAGTCGGTCAAGACAAGTCTCCGCCTAAGAACAGACACCGTGAATGGTTGGGCACGCCCTCGCTTGTTCACAAGCAAACCAAACCAGGAACTACAAGCCTTTCAGGCCGTCCCTCCCTATCCGAGACTGCGATGGGTGCAACGCCAGCGAATCCTGCCGATCTCAGAAAGAAACGGCTTGCAAAGTTCGATGCTGGCCCAAGCAGCAAGGAAAGACCAGGATGCACGGTATCCCCAAGCTTTCGCCTCCAATATGGCAATATATACAGTCTTGATGAGGATACTCCCGAGTACGAGTTGAGTTCTGCCAAAAGAAGAAGGCTGGAGGAGCCTATGGCGAAGGATGTACAGGCCGAAGCTCCAGGGGCAAGAGGGAGACGGATGCTTCTTGAGATGGAGCTGGAGTCCTCGCAGGATTTCATCCAGACTGCACCGACCAAAGCCAAAGGAGCTGGGCGATGTCAGACTGCTATCAGGGAGTCCGTGACAGGTGCCGCCGGTGCGCGGGTAGGTGGTGGCGATACGGCTGACGATCCATTTGAGATCTTGTAACACCATTTTTCTTTTACCTTTTTCTATCTTTTTCTCCGATTTCCCCAATTTGTCAGAGAATCATTGCTAGTTAATCCATGGGAAATTGCTATGGTCATCAGGAGGGATTTATTTCAAATGGTAGTTGACAGTACCTGTATCAAGTAGAGCCGAGCAATCTTGCACAAAAGGATGCCTGTCCTGAGTGTTATGGCGATTGTGATCCACTGTCAACTGGCGAAAAGGCGACAAGGAGCATACCTATTGCGCGCATTCTTTACGATTGAGCGATGGAACCCGGTTAAATTGTATTCAGTTCCCTTTCCGACGGAAATTCCGAGAGTGCGTCGGTGCTACGTGGTACTACAGCGCAACGAGTCGAACCATGCCGTGGCCAACAGGTGCTTATGTGTGGAAAAAAAAAAAAGACGATGGGCATGGACTCATACAACAGATTAGGCAATGATGTTGCGGCGCCTTCCCGAGGTAGATTCCGAACGTCTTCGGGTGCCGCCAGGGCTTCCGGGCCGAAGACTTGTGGGGTCCCGCATTTGGACGGGATGGATATAAACGTCACTGTTCCACGTGCTTGCCTATGGCGTACACACATTACACACGCCATTACGGATACTTTTTCTCAATTTACACAGCTGATTGAAACAAGAAAGGGGTTCATTAACCGCCCAAAATCGAAAGAGAAAAAATAAAGGATAAATAAAGAGATAAGGAGAAGAAGATGGCTTCTTTTGCAGCTACGGAGGGCGTGGAGCCCCACGACAGCTACTCCCGGATGGAGCCGTTCTCGGCCAGCGAGACGGCGATGGAGCGGGACCTCCGGCTCCGGATACGTGACTTTTACCGCACTAGCGACAACAAGGATTTGAACGAGCGCTGGATCGAATTCTACACGCCTGATGCCAAGGTGAAGATTGGTCCGCAGGCGGCCGAGAAGCACGAGAGTGAGTTGCTGCCTGCCGTGTGCTTCAGATACACGAGAGGTTTCGCAGACAGCTGACGGATTGTACAATCCAGACCTTCGGCAGCTACGGGCGGAGATGTGGAGCTCTGTCGCGGCGAGGAAGCATTGGATCACGAGCGCGATCGGCTCAGCTACCGGAAAGGGGGTGCACGTCATGCTGAAGGGGGGAGTTCGGAGGAAGGGGTTGGATGGTGCTGAGAACGTGTTCAGCTGGGCGGGTAGCGCAGACTGGGTGAAGCAGGATGGGGCGTGGCGGATGGATGCATATCGAGTCTGGCTCGACCAGTGGGCTCCCATTGAAGGGGAGCTGCCTGCAGTGTCAGAGTTTTGAAGTGTGACCTATGACGGCGCTGGCTGGGCGGGATATCCAGCATTGTGAGATCCGTCGAATAGCAACATGAATCAATGTAAAGCGAGGCAGTCCGGCCATTGAGGAGTGGCACTCAGTCATTGAGCGTTAGACGCTTATCAATTGGCGGCGCAATGCTATTTGTCGCAGCCACCGTGTTTCGGCGATGGCATTGCCCTCCCGTCTTGAGCAGCGGGCAGATTGGTCTTGAATTCATCGATGACGGCAGATTCATCCGGTGATGACCTTGACCTCAGACCGCCCCATGCGCTTGCTTGCGCTTCGACGGCGTTGCGGACGCGGCTGGCCCCGTGCCTTGCATCGTGTCGCGCCGCCTCATCCAGGCTTCGTCTCGCGTCGCTTTGCCTCATCTCATCCGATTGGGGAGGTGCTTAGGTAATTAGACCGAGGGTAGCCAGAGACTCAACGATTCCCTCCAACAGAATCATTATATTTGCCGGCATCTCGATTCTTGAAACAGCGATGATGGAGGTTTGCAATCCACCGTGAGGAGGGGTATCAGGAGAGCCCCTCCGTACGTCAGCGATTGTGTGTTGTTCTCGTGGTCCACGGGAGAGCTGTGACTGGCTCATTCACCTGACGTGGTCCCCCCCGGTTCCTCCACCGAGGGGGGTCAGGTGTCTTTGTCAGTCGGACGGTCTGGCCCTGAGCCGCCGAGTGTGTGGCAGTTCCATGGGGAAGCGGTGCGATAGGACGGACGGATGACCGACAACGGGAGGATGCGGGATAGCCACGGCATACCGTAGATGGAAGCCAGGGTGCAGGACTGCAATCTTGGAAGTGTTTGGCGGCAAATGAACTCGACACCGTTATTTTAGTCTGCAATCAGTCCATAATTTCACCCCAGGCGGAAGCTTGGTCCAGTCAGCGTCGGTTAAGCCTGCGCCGCTTGTCATCAGGCCAAAGCGGAATGATGGCATCGGTCACCAGCCGCCCTCATCTGTCTGTCGTCCGTCGTCCGTCTTTTCGTCTTCAAGCTCGCGGGCGCAGGCAACGCATGCACGACCCAGGTGTCGGCAGCTGGACCCCGCTCCAGGGATGGGCTTGTTGGGGTTGTGATGGGATTTTGTGATGTTGCGATAGCAGTGGCATCTAGCTTGGACACTGTAGCTTTGGCTGGGCCTCGCGCGGTTGCCGCCTGCATCTCCGGCCTCGGCAAGAGACTCTGTATGCGTATGCAGAGCTGAGCTTAGGTAGGCGTTTGAATGGCTATGTGAGTGTGTGTACGAGATACAGAGTGTGTGTGGCAGACCCTTCGGAGATTCGGTAGAAAGCAATGGAAGAGAATGCATCAATGGTGGATGGAGGAGATGGGTCTTAGACAATATTGAATTCGTAGTTGAATCATTGTTCCATTCCTCTGGCACGAAGAGAATGTGACTTGGTCGGTTCCGTCACGAATATTGAGGACAGATGAACCGATAACGCGACTAACTGTGTGCGTACGTGCTTGGTGCCTGCAATCCACTGATTAGTGAGATAGAAGAGGCCGGAAGGCGCAACTAAAGGAGGTAATAAATTAAGTTGCTGAAGCTGATCAGCCGGGCTGGGCCGGGCTGGACTCGACTCAACTCCGGTGGATGAGATTGAGATGCAATGTACGAAGAGCAGTCCAGGAGGAGTGAACGAGAGTGAGGGCGTGTAAAGTGTCGGGAGTGCCTTTGAAAGTACCTATTAGCCCCGGTATCCGCGCCCGCTGCAGCCCAGCCAGTCTTCCACTGTCACTTCGCACCTACCATGCAGTTGTTGGTCAAAGGTGCCTGTTCGTAAGGTTCCTAGGCAATCGGGACTATGTATCTTCCGTCAGTTGGTGCGGTAATGTCCGAGTTCTCCAACAAGCAAGAGCTGCGGCGGAGGTACGGGAAGGGACATGACCGGGTACACAGCACCGGGGCCCCAGACCATCTCAGTCCCCAACCCCAACCACCCCCTTGTCCGCTGCAAGCTGGTCCTAGATTGGTGCGCTGTATCTGCACCTGTATCCCGCCGTGCGTATTGCCTGTGATGCACATCGCAGGTACCGGCGTGGTTCTAGACGAGAGTTACCTCTGGCCTGGAACCTCCCAGCTCGCAGATGCAGTCGCAGAACAGTGCCAATCTAGTCGCAGAATCCCCCCCTCTGCCTTCCCCTCCCCCTCTCTCAATTGCATTCTAACCCCTGCCCCCCTGGTTCTGGTTCCTCCAACAGACTCAATGTCGAATGAGACGGAGGGCATGGAGGGGTGGCTTGGAGGGGATACTGGATTGGGGGGCACCGCGCCGTACTCGGGGGTGAGGGAGCGGGCAATGGAACCTCCGAACCTGAATGACTGAGGTGTAGAGAGCGAAAGCACTCGAATGCCCCGCTCCCATCCCGCGGGCAGCCAGCAGCTGAAGGTGTCTTGCCTTGCCTGGCTTTACCAGGGCATCCGCCTAGCAAGCCATATCTGAGATAGCGCAAGCAAGGTTCCGATGTGCCTGGATACATCGTCATGACTGAGGGTTGTTGAGTGAAAGAGTTGGCTGGCCTCTCACATACCAAACGAAGGAACCGTCAGAGAGCCACCCTGTTACGAGCCCAGGTGGTGTAATGGGGGCTGGAAGGAAGAGGAAGGTCTCCCATCCGTATCTTATCTTGGACACCGCCGCCGTAGAGGGGGTGGAGGCGGACAGACCACACCCCGGCCTGACTTGGACCTGCTGCTGCTTTCCGTGGCTGATGGCGGGGGGAGGGGGAAAGCACGTACCAAATCAGGCGCATGCCGCAGCCCACCTACCCGCGCGCACCTCACTGCAACTGGAACTGGAACTGGACCGGACCTAGGACCTGCCTACCTGACCTCACTGTCAGTGACTCTTCCCCGTGCCCTCTCCTCCGACTCATCAACACCAACAACTCAAACAACAATCCACGATAGCAGCATTCCCGTGAACACAACTGTCACGTCACGTCCGTCACGACCTGTCACGTCTTTCCTCTTCTGTCTCCTTCTATAGATTTTCCTTTGGCCATCCTAGTAATCTCTCTCTTGCTCTCCGCTTTGGCAGTGCCTGGAAAGAAAGCCGCTCTTTTTCGTCTCTTTACTGTTTCTTCCCTACACCTTCAACCCGACGTCCATCTTGCCTACCGAACGGTAACCGACTTGTTCTGGCTTGCTTTGCCTACTTCCATTTGCCACGCAAAATTGTCCATATTCACAGCATTTACAAAAAAAAAAAATAGCCTGCGGCAATCTCGTAATCCGAAGCCATCTGCCGCCTTTGTCGACCATACCGTGTGCGACTCTCTAATAGACTGACAACTCAACTCTTGTACTTTGCAACCTACCAACATCCCTCATACGAACGGTATCGAGCCTCTTACCACGGAATTTGAAAACCTTTTTCGCGTCAACTCCATCGATTTCCCAATAAGCGGTACAGCTGGCTTGCGGAAACGCAAGTCCTTGGAGCAGGAGACTGCTCCAACTGCCGCGCAATACCACTTGAATGCCGAGTAAGTTCGGGTCTCCCTCCCGCGCTCCTGAGCTTCCACACGCGCCTGAACCCATGGATCGTTGGCATACTCATCATCTCCTTCTCTTCAGGTTCGAAGAAGGATAGAAAGAACGCGAAAGATGGTGCAGTTAGCGCCGCGGTGACGAAACTCGCCGCGGGCAAGTTCGCGTATGTTCCCCTCCCCCCTGCTTGTTATCTTAGAACCCCGCGATAGTCGGCGTTGAGTCACTGCCGCTTCCCCTTTAGCCCTTCTGGCTTTGTCGCGACAACGATCGCTAACAACCTCAAAGAAACGGCAGTCCTTCCAAGACCCCCCCGTCCGATACGTCGTCGCCTCCTGTTCAATCTCCCGACATTAGACCCATAGCTCAAGACCCGTCCCCATACGATGGGCACCCCACTGTCTCGCCCTCTCTGGATGCACTTTCCACCACCTCCGTTTCGGCTGCGAGCACAAACCACGACTGGGCAAGAGGAGGGCTTGCTGGCTCTCCGGGAAACTTGATAAGTCTCATGGGCGAGTCGCCTCCCACTCAACCTTCCTCGTACGAGGACTCTGGTCGCCTCCATCACGGATGGGCAGTCCAGCGCCAGTCCCTGACGCCCCAGACTGCCTCGCCTTCTCCTCCCAACAGCATGCCAAACCACATGAAGCGGCCTCTCAGCTTCCAAATGGACGCTCAGTTTCCGCTTGAGGCCTACCATCAGCCTGCTGCAGCTGCAGCATACCGTCGCAGCTCCATGCAGTCACAAATGTCCCATGCCCGAGTCGGCTCGCAACCCCCGCTCCCTCATCAAGCTCAACCCCATTTTTATGGCGCTCCCGACATCGACTTCGATATGGCTTCCAAGGCTGGCATGAAGGCCGGCGACAAGGGCTACCACTTTGGCTTTGATACACTTCCTGCTCCTCACACCGAATTTGCACCAGGATCAGACAGCGTCGCGCTGGCGGGCTACGAGGGTGGCCTTGAAGTCTACTCGGTCAATAAACGCGGCTTAGACCGGGTTGCCGGCCTGAAAGGGCTGCGAGGAGGCGTATACAATGCCAAGATCCTTCCTTGGTCAACTCTTGGAAACAAGGTCGACGATTCTCCGCTCGTAGCCGTTGTCATCCACGGGCCTGTGTTACCGCAGACGTCGCCAGAGATCGCAATTCAAACGGCGAACGACACCATTGCCGAAGACAGAGCCGACACACCTGGCAGCCCTCGAGCAGATGGCAGCCAGAAGGGAGGCCCTTCCGGCCGATTCACACCGGCTATCGAATTTTACCAGACGTCGGTCGAGCTGTATTCTCTCAAGACCGGCAAACTCGTCGACGTGCTTCTGCAAGCTCCAAAAGTGCCGCTGTCAACGCCCGTCACAAGTCCAATCTTCAAGGCACCGCCGCCGACCGGCGCATTCACGATCAAAGCTGACGCTGGAAACATTGCAGTCGCCTCCGGGACTAGTGGGGAATGCTGGGTTTACCGTTCCATCCTCGATTCTAACGAAGGCACCGTTCGCTTCGGTTGTGTCGGTAAACTCTGGACTAGCCTTCAACAGCCCCCTAGGGGAGAGGTTGCAGAGGATTCGGAACGCCGCCACTCACCCGCGCCTCCTCGTCCCAACCCACAGACTCCAATCTTGTCGCTCAACGGGAAATGGATTTCCTATTGTCCTCCGGCGGCATCTTCGCAAATCGCTCTGCGCGCTCACGTGCCGGTGGTCATTCTCGGCAAAGCTCCGGGCATCTCTTCAGTTACCTCCCCCGTGCTACCCGCAGTCACCGGATCGGTTGACTCTCCCATGGCAGAGAGCATGGTCAACAAGATTATGCGTGAGACAACACAAGAGTTGATCTCCGGAGCAAAATGGGTTGGTCAGCAAGGACTGTCAGCCTGGAATTCGTACTGGAATAAGAATGCGAATCAGGCGCCGCCGTTGCAGTCCAGATCCCCTCCCGTAACAGCCCAGCAGTGGACTGGCTCGTATCCTCCTCGGCACGATGCGAATCAGTTCCCGCCGACACATGGTACACCAGGCCAGGCAGTGACCAAAGACCCTGGTCTTGTCTCTATCCTGGACATGGACGGTTTGCCAACTTCTGCCACCTTGCACCCTCTCATCACCTTTGCATCTCCACTTGGCTGCAGCTTCTTGTCCTTTTCCCCGACTGGGTTATCTCTGTTCACGGCAAGCGGCAAGGGCGACGTTCAGACTGTCTGGGATCTCATGTGCATCCAGTACACCAAGTCGTCGCCTCTTCAGGCAGTGGCCGCCAATAACGCAGTCGGTCCACGAGTGCGCCAAGTCGCGCAATTCTCACGGATGACCGTGGCTCGGATCGTCGACGTAGCTTGGTCGAAACCCAACGGGGAGCGGATTGCAATGGTCACTGAAAGAGGAACCGTCCATCTACTCGAAATGCCGTTCAGCGCTTTTACTTGGCCTCCGCCTCGTCGGCGCAAGGCCACGGAAGAAAATGGCGCTCCCGCGTCGGATGCACCAAACTCGGCTGTTTCGATTGCATCCAGTGCCTTTGGCGCTGCTTATCATGCCGCCAGGCCTTTGATCACTCGGCCGCGTAGGAGCAGTGTGAACGCTCAAGGCCTGGCCGGCGGCAACTTTGTCGATTCAGCCAGTGTTGGAGGAAGAGCCATCGCTGCCAGCATCAGTCATTCCTTGGGCAAAACAGGCGTTGCCATAAACCAGCTGCGTCACACGGGAGACAATCGTGTATCTTTGCCGCACAGCTCGCTTCTGCCAACTTCGTCATGCGTCGTATGGATCACTGGTAGAAAGTACCATACTCTGTATGTGGTCGGCGACGGCCTGATCCGAACATTCCCGTCCAAGACTCGCCGCCCGTCAGCGGCTCCCAGCAAGCAGCGCACACCTCGAGGAGTCCGATACAAGGACTTCAAAGTCCCTGCACTACCCGACGATGGCTTTTCGCCAGCAGTCCGGCAATTTATTGATTCTGATGAGTATCTGGACCTATCGGACCGAGAAATGGACGTGGGCAAGACGTTAACGCTTGACCCGCGCGCCAGACCGCTCCAGGTCGACTTAAGTGCGGAAGCATCCATCCCGCAAGCCGAGATAGAATCCAGCGCACCATACCAGCCGTTCCATACGGACAGGCGAGTGGCTCTGTATGAGTATGCAGGTCAACCTGCGGCTTTCCCACCATCGCTAGCTGCACTCATGGCCGATGCTACACTGGAAGATCACGCAACGCCGAAGCAAAGGAAGCGCCAGCAGCGTGCGCGTGCTCAAGATACAGCTGCTGAGACAAACTCGTCGCAACCTTGGGCGTTCGGTCAGCCACTCAACCTGGTGAAGCTCGACACTGGTCACCACTCAGTTTCAGAAGACGAATTCAACATTTCGGATGATCACCGCGCGCTCCCGCTGTCTTCGATGGAGAGAGTCATGCATCGTGGAGAGAATGGCGACGAGATTGTTGTTACAACCCGTCGACGACGTGGGGCGCGGCACACGGAGGATGAGGATGGTTTCTTCGAGGATGACTGTGAAGTTCTTGACTTTGCAGATCAGAGAGTTTGAAAAAGGAATCTCGAGGCGTTTGGAGCTAGATTAGACCAGGAGTCATTCTCGCCATGATTTTGTCTACGGGCGTCAGGCATCGGTCCAAAGAGACATGCGCGGGCCGAGGCTTGAGATCATGGGGTAGGATATGTACTTGGCTGGTCGTGCCACTCACTCCTTTATTGGTGATTTTTGGGGGTTCTCTCTGGCCTAGGGTAATACCTCCTCGAGTAGTATCAGAGTTGGTAGCCGTGCTCTCGAGGTGAGCCGCGCGCTCATTCTCCAATAAATCCAGCTTAGATACCCATTCCGGTGCTTCGGCAAGCGCAGTGACCCATCCCCCTTGGCCCTCGTATTCTGTACCTGTAACATCGTGGACATCCAACAGTAAACAGGGTCTTCGGAGCTTCGACATGCGCACCATTGAAGATAAGTTTCCACTCTCATATCCTTTACGCCTTCTTCTTCGCTGCAGCCTTGGCCTTGGCAGCCTTCTTCCTGTTGCTGCGGATCATGACGGTGCCCAAAAAGGAACCGACTACGGCGGAACCGAGGAGGATGAGGATGACGGGAATACGGATGGCCCAGACGCGCGCAGGGAAGAAGCTCTGGAGAGGGTGGCCCTCGTCGACGAAGGGCTGTAGCAGGGGGCGTTAATCAACCTTGTTGGCCTGCCGCAGAAAAGAACGAAAGGTCAAGAGGGTAGGGGCTTGGGGGATATCTACCATAAGCAGGGTCCAGATGGAGTAGTATGTGAAGATGACAGAGGCAGCCACGAGCATGGCGAAGCCGACAAGAGTTCCGCTCTATAAAGAAAAGAAGCACCGGTTAGCTAATGGTTGGCGATGTCGCTTTTGCCTGCCCTCCCTTGTTGCGCTCGAGGGGTGGGATGTGCTATGTGCGGGTCCCGCCCCCGAGAGAGAGAGAGAGAAAGGCATGTCAACGTACCATTGTCGTTTTTATTGACTGGGTAATAAAGAATGTGAAGAAGGAATCGACAGGATGGGCGCGCGCAAGTGGTGACCAGTTACTGTGGTAATGGAAAGGCCGATGTAAAGAAGGGTCGTGGGGATGTGCGAAGGAGGTCGAGATGAGGTAAGGCCAGTTAATAGGTGGTAGTTACTGTACCTTATTGGATCCGATCGGGAAAATTGTCGTCGCGATTTCAGGGGACGAGGGCGCGCCTGCACTGGACCAAGGTATCTGGCTGCGCTAAATGGAGCTGCCACGGTTGACCGAATGACTTTGGACCTACCAGATGGTTTCCCACGCGCTTGGAGAGCTCCAGCCGCATGGCCTATGCTTCCTCACACAAATAGTGGATCCGTCAGGTTCCCCAGCCACAGTTGGGTTTTTAGGTAACTCTTGCCCGGCGATCCTGTTGCGTCAAAGCTGTAACTCTTCCAAGGAAAAAAAAAAAAAAAAAGGGATTTCAGCACCCAGCGCATCTCTGACTGAGCTGCCGCCATTCCTCTGTTTCGCAAGATTCCCTGGCTTGATTCTAGATCATCCACAGGTATCTGGGGACGTGAGAACAGAGGCACGATGGCATCGGCAGACGGTGGCTCCCCGAGCTTCGAGCGCCGCGAACGCGATGGCGAAATTGAAAACGACCGCGACGGCGGCGACCGTCGACACCACCGCGACAACGACCGCCCCCGCAATCGAGACCGCGATCGCACCGATAGCTACCGCCCGGCCCCCAAAGGACAACGACGCCCGACGCCGCCGATGAAGACCGAGGAGGAGAAACAGGCCATCGCAAAGGCCGAGTACGAGAAGCTGCTGTCCATGCGATCCGGAGGCACCTACATACCGCCGGCGCGACTGAGGGCGCTGCAAGCCCAGATCACAGACAAGAGCTCGAAAGAGTACCAGAGGCTGATGTGGGAGGCGCTCAAGAAGAGTATCAACGGTTTGATCAACAAGGTCAACTACTCCAACATCAAGCACATCGTTCCCGAGCTCTTTGGCGAAAACCTGATCAAAGGCCGCGGCTTGTTCTGTCGGTCCATCATGAAGGCGCAAGCGGCTTCTCTACCCTTCACACCCGTCTTCGCCGCAATGGTAGCCATCGTCAACACGAAGCTGCCTGCCGTTGGTGAGCTTCTGGTTAAGCGCCTCATCATGTCCTTCCGTAAGGGCGTCAAGCGTAGCGACAAGGCTGTTTGCGTCTCATCCACGACGTTCTTAGCGCATCTTGTCAACCATCAGGTCGCCCACGAGAGACTAGCCGGTCAGATGCTCCTTCTTCTCCTACACAAGCCCACGGACGACAGTGTCGAGATCGCCGTCAACTTCATGCGCGAAGTTGGACAGCACTTGCAGGACATGCAGCCCGCAATCGCCCTGGTGGTTTGGGATCAACTGAGGAACGTGTTGCACGAGGCGGATATCGACAAGCGTGTGCAGTACATGATTGAAGTGTTATTCCAGGTTCGCAAAGATAACTTCAAGGATAACCCGCCAATCAAGGAGGAATTGGACTTGGTTGAAGAGGAGGACCAAATCACGCACATGGTCGATCTCGACGGTGAAATCGACGTGCAGGATGGCCTCAATATCTTCAAATATGACGCGGAGTGGGAGGAGCACGAGGAGGCATACAAGAAGCTCAAGGCCGAGATCTTGGGAGAGGGCAGCGACTATGATGACGACGACGACGATGAGGACGAGAGTTCCGAGGAGGAGGACGACGAAGAGGAGAAAGCAATGGAGATCAAGGACCAGTCCAATACTGATCTGGTCAATCTGCGCCGCACCATCTACCTGACGGTCATGTCGTCCATCGACCCCGAGGAAGCAGTGCACAAGCTCTTGCGTGTTAACCTCCCGGCTGGCCAAGAAGCAGAGCTGCCCTCGATGATTGTTGAGATTTGCTCCCAGGAAAAGACATTCTCCAAGTTTCACGGTCTGATTGGTGAGCGTTTCGCCAAGCTGAACAGATTATGGACAGGGCTCTTTGAAGAATCCTTTGCCGACTACTACAGCAAAATCCACCGATACGAAACAAATAGGCTCCGCAATGTTGCGCGCTTCTTTGCGCATCTGCTCGCAACTGATGCCATTGGTTGGCATGTTCTCTCCGTCATTCACCTTAATGAAGAAGAGACGACCAGCAGCTCCAGAATCTTCATCAAGATTCTCTTCCAGGACATCTCTGAGGAGCTTGGCATGGCAAAGCTGCAGGCGCGTATGAAGGACGAGATTCTCCAACCCAGTTTCACCGGACTCTTCCCCCGTGACAACCCACGAAACATTCGCTTTTCCATCAACTACTTTACCAGTATTGGCATGGGCGCTCTCACGGAAGCTTCCCGAGAATATCTTCTCAACATGCCCAAGCCGGCCTTACCTGCGGCCCCAGCTGATGATTCCGACTCGGAGTCGGTGTCTAGCTACTCTTCGTACACGGGCTCGTCATACTCTCGCTCTCGATCAAGGTCGCGGACGCCTCAACGCGCTATTGATCGCAAGCACGCCGACTCTAGATCTCCTTCGCCCCGTGGACGAGGACGCTCTTACAGCCGAGGCCGCAGCTCTACCAGATCTCGCTCCTATAGTCGTTCAGTCTCGCCTCCCAGAAAGGGACGCCGCAACGACTCATACTCGGCGAGCCCTCCGAGAAGACGCGGTCGCTCGGTCAGCTACTCTAGATCCCCCTCTCCGGCCAGGAATGGCCCTCGGGATCGTAGCCTCAGCGTCACACCTCCGCCTCGCCGGGCAACCCGAAGGAACAGCTCAAGCGTCAGCAGATCTCCTCCTCCAAGGAGAGGACATTCTATTTCGCGCTCTGCCAGCCCTCCGCCTGCACGAGGCGTTCCTGTTCGTGGTCGTAGTCCAGGGCAAGACGCGCGCCGCCCAGTCCGGCGAAACAGTTCATCTGTGAGCAGCGCGCCGCGGAAACGCGCCCGCTACGACAGTCGCTCTCCCAGTCGGTCGCCGAGTCGAGCGTCGTCGTACGATTCGCGGTCTCGCTCCCCCGTCGGCCGTCGTGGGCCGAGAGATAGCCGCTCACCTGTTGCGTCGAGGGCAAGGGATGGTGACAGCGTCTCAGCGCCCCCGCCGAGAGCGAGGAATGGTGGTCGCGATGGGTCAGACTCGCGCTCACCGAGTCCCCCACCCAAGCGGTCACTCAAGCGAGGTTCTCCGGATCGAGGTCGGGATTCGAGGAGCCCCATGAGCGCTAAGCGGAGGAGGTACAGCGACTCGGTTTCGAGGTCGAGAAGCCCGCCGCCGCTGAAGAAGGGACGGAGATGAGTGAGGCTGGCTGGCTGGAGATGACGATGGGAGCAGGCGTGGGACCGTGGGTATAATGGATTCAGAAGGATGGATATCCAATGTCCAAAGCATGGCATGGGTCAGATTGATATTTGTATAGCTATTCAAATCAGGAACGGGGATGGTGCCAATATGTATCGGTGAATTTGCTGCCTTGAGGCTGCTCCTTGAATTACTTGCTCTCCTGCTGTTTGTTGAGTATTATGCAGCCCTGAAGTGTTCCGATAGCGAGAGTATAAACCACAATTAGTTAGTACTTGACACGCTGAGCAGGAAAAGATTCCGATGGTTCAACCGCATCTGCATGACTACATCCGACATTGATATCAGAGCCAGCGATCAAGAAGTAAAGACAAGAGGCCAAAAAGCAACACACTCTCTCTACATACAGATTACGCCAAAGAATGTATACTGTCATGCCTTTTTCTTTTTTTGTGGCTTACTTGTTTGTCTGTGTTATATGACGTGTTAAGAAAAAAGAAAAATGACAAAAGGAAACGATCGCAAGCGCGACCTATCGGAGTGGTGGACGATCAGGGGATTGAACCCTGGGCCTCCCGCAGACACTGATGAAGGTAATGCAAAGCGGGCGCTCTACCACTGAGCTAAACGCCCCGAGGTGTGGATAGAAGTTTGTCCCAGTTTGGGGCCTAAGTTTAGTGGAGGTAGCTGAGTGACCATTTTCGGGTTTCTTCATGAGTGAAAATTGTTTTTTTTTTTTTTTTTTTTTTTTTGGGGGGAAGAGCCGTAGAGAGAAGAGGATGCCAGATTTTCAAATGAACCCCATCTCCCTTCCCTCTGAATTCTGCAAGTGGCTCGGCTTTGTGCTGTCGAGTGGGTGGAGTGGGCGGGATGCTGTATGCTTTGGTGCATCCTGAATTTCTGCACCGCATGGGTGTGTAAGTTGGTCATGAGTCCTGGAAGAAGAAGAGTTGGTATGCCCCTCATCATTGTTGCAGGACAAAAATGAGGCGAGATTGAAGTGCTTCTTCGTTCATTCATGCTGCGTTTTAGTTCAAGGAGGAAGTTGTCTGTACTTTTTGCCCGTCGTCTGTTCGTGCCTCGCTCCCTCCCCCTTTACTTATTGTTTGTTGTAATTAGAGGGGCGCTTGTATAAGGAACACAAAATGGCAGTCTTCTCCGTTCCATGTAGGAGAAGCACTGGGACAGAATCACTTCATGGCCGAGAGGAACCAAAATCAATGTTGTGCAAAGTGTTTTCCGCAGCATCAATTGCGCCCTGCATCGAGGTTCTTCCAGTATGCAATCGCTATGAAGCTTGAGTAAACAAACATGGCATATCCGGTCCTCGAGTGGACACTCATCTCGTACACAGAATATCCAGACACGAATCGTCTTCATCCACCACAATGCGTGGTGACCCAACCCCCTCTTTCCCTACCAAATACATACCGCAGTTTGGCCCAGGTTCACCAAATCTCTTGATACATTTCTTCCCAACAGAGACTTTTGTCCGCATGGAATCCCGCGTCCCACCAACCTTCTCGTTTCTGCTCCTATCCAAGGAGAATCTCGACCCGGTCCCTCGCAACCGCATCCCACACCCTCTGCACTACATGCCCGAGCCCCCTCCGGTAACACACCCCGCCCACCCTCTCTACCCAAAGCACATTAACAAAGTCGACAATCTCGTCCTCGTCCATATTATCCCGGAATGCTTCCACATCAAAGACGTGGCTGCCCCCCCTCTCACTCGCCATCGACACGGCCACGAACTCGAGCTTCTCCTCCCCCGTATGGTTCGCCCCCTGCAGTCCCAGCCAGGCATCGTGCGCCGTCACCACACCGCACCACTTGCCCGTCCTCGACCAGATGTTCCCCACCGCCAGGGCCACGCCGATGCCCCTCCCGGGAGCCGCCAGACCCGGCCCGGGCCCCGCGGTGTTCCCCGAGTTCACGGCGTTGGCCGCCTTGGCATCGAGGGGGGCCCCGTTCCGCGCCATGGCGAAGTCGACGTCCAGGTACGCGATCGTCGTGCTGAATGACAGCAGCGTCGCACTCAGCGAGAAATCCCCAAACGGCGACGGGACCGCGTCCACTCCGCCGGCCATCTCCGCCACAGGCACCGGGTACCGAAACACAACCTCCGGGTCCCCGGCATACCGGAATCCTCCACCGCTCCTCGACCACCCAGCAGGCAACGGCACCGTCCTCCGATGCCTACGATCACGGTACGCCATCCCGTCATTCGGCAACGGCGTATACGTCGCCCGGTCCGTGAGCTCGTAACTCACCAGCGACCGTAGCCGAAACGCATAGGGGCTCTTGAACCGCCTCTCCGCCCCCCTTTTGCCGTGGTGCGGCGCGTCCTGCACATAATCCGCCGCCGCCCGCCAGAGCGTCAGGTCCGCCGGCACGCCGTCGTAGTGCCAACCGAGCCAGCTCCACGACGGCAGCGGATTCATCCCCGTCACGGGCTGCACCATCAGCCGCCTCCGCACCATCGCCCGCGGCTGCCACAGCATCGCCACGTCGAGAAAACTCACGGGCATGCCAAACACGAAGCCGCCCGCAAAAGACCGCGACAGCACCGTCGTGATGCCCCGTAGCGCCCTCGTCGTGTCCGACATGAGCGTCACCCGCCGCGCGCTAAACTCCATTGCGATCCGCGCAAACTCGTCCATGTCCGGCCACACGGGGTGCAGGAACCCCGTCGCCGCGGGAAACGTCCTCTGCAGGCAGGAACCGTGCTTGCCCATCCCGCCCTTGAGGATCTTGCTGAACCGGCCGACACCACCGCCCGCGCCCGGCGACCCTTGCCACGCGTCGCAGTGGCACTCCCACGTTACCGTGTCCTCAAAGACGTAGACCTTCCTCCGCGAGTACATGCCCTCCTGCACCGTCCACGCCCGCCCCGCCCACCGCGACGAGAGCACCAGGTCTTCGTGCTTCCGTCCCGCGGCCCCGCGCGGCGGCGGCGTCCTCCTCAGCAGGCCCTTCAACCCGGACTCGGCGTCCCCCGCGGCCGCCACAATGGTCATGTACGCGTTCGCGTACACATACGCCATGTTCTTGACGTACTCTTCCCTCTCCACGTCGTCGTCCTGCACGATGCAGAACCGGTCGACCCAGAGGTACTTTATCCCCAACTTCCTCGCCAGCCACATGGCGTCCAATATCGTCTGTGGGATATCCGCATCGTCCAGGCTCGCCGTCAGCACCTCCAGGTTCTCCCTCAACGTCTCCACGGGACCCCGTGAAGAAGGCAGCGGCGCTTCGTAAACGTAGCTCAGCGCGATATACCGATCCGTCGCCCTCGCGCGGACGAGGCACCGGTTCACGGAATCGATGAGCCATATCGGCCGCCACGTGTCCCCCGGTGGTCCGGAGCAGTGGTCGCCGTGCTCAGCGTTGCACGTATCGAGCCACTCGCGCACCTTGCCGACGGGGTTAGACGTCTTGCTCGCCGTCGAGGCGGAGGACGCGCGGCGGGAGGGGAGCGTCGTCGACGCGGTGCCTCCCACCGGCGGCTCCCCTCCGCGCGACCCCGTCCGCGCCGCCGTCCAGGTGCTCATGAGCCGCTCCGTGATGCTCTGCCGTTTGGCGCCGTTGTTGGCGCTGTTGGGGGGCACGCTCTGCTGCCTTCTGCCGTGGCCGTTGACGTTGCTGTGTCCTCCTCCGCCGTGATACTTTTCGTCAGGCGCGAAGCTCTGCCGCTTCCTTTCCCTTAAGCGAGGGCTGTCCCTCAAGGGAGGGCTGTCAAGCAAGCTTCCGTCGCTGTCTCTGTCCCTGTCCCTGTCCCTGTCCCTATCCCTGTCTCTGTCTCTGTCCCGATCTCTGTCCCGGTCTCTCTCCCGGTCCCTGTCCCTGTCCAGTGGTGGCGGCGGTCCTCCTCCTCTCTTCGGTTCCGGGCCACGAGATCGGTCCCTGTCGCGATCTCTATCCCGATCGCGCAAGTCGCGATGCCGTTCCGTACGGATATCTCTCTCCCTGCTACCCCTGGGCGGCGGCGGTACGTGTTGCTGCAACCGTCGCTGAGGCGGTGGCGTGGGCGTCTGGGGTCTATATCCGCCGCCTCCGCCGGTGGTGTCGTGATGGTTTCTGTCACCCGGATCCTCCTCATCCGACATTGAACTAGCCGAGCTTTCGTCGGATATAACCTCTACGCCAGCTGGTCCTCCTCCCTCTCGTCTGGTCGTTGCCGCACCGCTGCTGCGGTCGGCGGACGGACTCGGGTGGTCCATTGCTTATAATCTGAAAACCGCAAACCGAAATTTGCCCTTCCCTCTTTTTTACCTTTTTTTTTTCTCTCCTTTCCTTCAAAGCGCAAGGTGCCTTGCCGTTTGTATGAGATTGTGCGCTGCAGATGCAAGCTGTAATGCGCGGCAATGCGCTGCGCTCGCCTGCTGCGGACTTGAACGTTGTCCCTTTTATTACTTGAGTGTGTTCCGCAGCAACCGGAATCCAATTTTGGGGGCCTGCTTCTCTCACTCACTCCCCTCTCGAAGGTCTGTTTCTCTTGGTTTTGCTGTTGCGCCCTTTTGCGCCGTGACACTAGTGAAAGTGTGGCTCGGTGAGACCGTGCGACGGAGGTTTCTGATGGGGGCGGGAATGGTTATGCAAGGCAAAAACCAAAAGATAAATCACGGGCGTTGTTGAGAGATCTTGTGCTAATGTTATGCGATCAGAATGCGATGGACATGAGGGATGTTGCAATTCAAATTTCGATGATGGCGATGATGATGATGACGGCGTGTCCAATTGTGCGATGCATTGGATGATGATGTGTATGCGTATTGCGACGAGAAAGAAGAATGGACTGCGACAGCGACGCGCAACGCCACGCAAGGTTAGTGAGACTGAGGCAGTGTGCGCGAGAGCGCGATATGAGAGGGCGGCGAGATGGTGAGTGTGAGAGAGGTGAGAGGTGAGAGGTCGGAGGCACCGCCACCCCCGGCCCGCCCGTCGACCAACCTCGATCGTTCCCCCCAGCCCCCTCTATTAACCAAAATTAACAAAAAAACACATTGGGCATTAAATCGATGCTCTTCTTCGCAATCAACAATTTCCCGCCCTACTCATGGTTGGGCTGTCGTATTACAGGGCCATTCCCTACCCGATCTCCCATTATCTAATTAGCCGAGCACGTCAATATCCAAAAGTAACTGACCCATGCAAATGTTGATGGATAACAGTCGATCGACTGACTGCCGGTCCTCGTCGTAAACATCACGATAGTCGCTGCGCAGCTGTCATCTGACACTTTCAGACGTTTAGGAGACAATTTGTTTGCTCAAGTCCATCGTACTCACATCTATTAAAATACATTTGCTTGCTAGTCTAACAAACTCGCAACGGGTCTCTGCCACAGTGAACAGGAACAGAACCTCCCCCTGTCGTCACCATCCACCATTCAACTCACTGCCTCTGCGACCTGATTTCTGGCCCGTGGTATTTGTATCGAGTGCCATTCCCGCCGTTACCTTTACACGTTCCAATAGCCTCCCAATCCTTTTACGCCTGTAAATGTGCAACATTCTTTGATGATTTCGCAGTCGTTGAGTTGGCCATCGCTTTGCCTTTGGCCGCTTCTCGACTGTATGCCATCGCCATTTTCTTTTTAGCATCAACCTCCGAAAAAAAAACCTCACAAACGTCATTAAACGTCAACTGTGATCACTGAAACGTCGAAACCAATAAACCTGAACCGGTTACTCCTGGTCGCTTTGGGCACCGTTGCTTGCCCCATTTGCCTCCTTCGCTCCGTTGGAGGCGGACGAAATCAACTTAATCCTCGTTGTGGATGTTGCTGGCTGAGGCGTTCCGGCGCTCGCACTCGCACTAGGTGCTACTGAGCCCTCCTTGCCGCCGTCGCTTTCTAGTTCCTGCAACTCTTGGTGCTTCTCAAGAGCTTTCTGGAGTTCTTCGTGGAAGAATTTCTGTGCCATTGTTAGCCGAATGGTCAAATCAAGTCAAGAATGTCACCAACCTGAAGGGTAAGAGAGTCCTGGTACAGAAGCGACGCCTCCTCGTTGTAAGTCTGGCAATTGCGGAACATGAGGTCGACGTCCTTGCGCATGTCGCCCAGGCTGTGATACTGTTGCTTCTTGATCTTGGTCTCAATCTGCTTCATCGAGATAGGAGACTGGATAATCAAGTAGTAGTCGGCGTAATCGCGCTTGGGAGGTAGTGCAAGGAAGGGCCCAATGATGATTCGCTTGCCCGCAACCGACTCGTCGTCGTCCTCCTCTGGTGGCTCCGGGTCATCCACTTCGAGGTTCATGAGTCCATCAAACAGAGCCCGCGTATTTGCCTGGAGGAGTTGGCGTTGCTGAGCCGAGACCCGCGGCGTTTCGGACCCAACAGAGACAGAGACTGCCTTGGCTCTGCCTTGCGGGCCCCGACGCTTCTTGGCCGGAGGCTCGTCGTCCCCTTCTTCTGCCTTGCGCTTCTCCTGGTTCTTGGCGCCACCTTTGCGACCTCTCTTCTTAGGAGTTTCCACCTCCTCAGTGCTAGCACGACTTGCAGGGGGAGAGTCGTCAGCGGCGTTTGACATGGCAGACCTCTTGAGTCTGTTTGTCTCCCGCTTGTCTTTGCGGGCTTGCTTTCGTGCTGCCGCAGCCTCTGGTGAATCGTCATCATCGTCCACAGCCATGAGCCACTGCTCTTCCGTCAAGCCGTCATCGTAGCGAACCTTGGTTCGCTCACGAGCGCCACGTCCAAGACTTGTCTCAATCTCTTCCTCGATCGGGTTGCCATCGCCAAGATAGATGTCAGGAAGTTCTTCCTCCGCCAAGAGACGAGGCTTAAGGTTTGCTCCGGCTGCCTCGCCATAGACTGGGTCCCTCTTCCGCTCGTCGTCGAGCTTCTGGAAAACGGTGACTTCGTCGTCGCTACGAGCGAGGAGCAAGTTCAGCTCCTCATCGTCCATCTCGTCCTGATCTCCCGTCTCTGCCATATCGGCGCTTTCCAGGAGCGTACGCAGCATGGCATCACGATCTGTTTCCGTTGACTTGTTGTCGAAGCGACCGGCTTGAATAACCTTGCCGTCCATGTCAAGCTTGAATCTGGCTCTTTCCAGGATCTTCTCCTCAACCGAGTTTGAACTGATGAGACGAAGAATTCGCACTTCATTCTTTTGTCCGATACGATGAGCACGATCCTGGGCCTGCAAATCTTGATGAGGATTCCAATCGGAGTCGTAGATGATAACAGTGTCAGCAGTCTGCAAGTTCAGGCCGAGACCACCTGCACGCGTCGACAACAAGAACATGAAATAGTCCGAGTTGGGAGCGTTAAACTCGCGCAGCAAATCGGAACGCTCGTCTGACTTGGTCGTACCATCCAGACGAAGATACTTCAGGTTGCGGTATCTGAGATAATCCTCCATGATGTCCATGATAGCCGTCATTTGGAAGAACATGAGAACACGATGGCCCGTTGCCTTGTACTTGGGCAGAATTCTGTCGAGAAGCTCAAATTTACCAGCCGTTCTCCACAACAAGTCATTGCTGATGCTCATGGGATTCATGAGGTTCTCCACCTCATCAAACACGAACGGATGGTTGCAGAGCTTGCGCAGCTGCATGATCATGTTGCTCAAGCCACGAGCACCAGCCTTGCCGCCCTGTCCGTCGCTGACGAGAATCCTGTTGTGCGTAACCATCTGCTTGTATAGCTTGGCTTGCAGAGCAGAGAACTTGCACTTGATGACCTTTTCGGTCTTGTCCGGGAGATCCTTCTCGACATCCTTCTTCAGACGGCGAAGCAAGAAAGGACGCAGAACCTTGTGCAGACGACGAATAACAAGAATCTGTTCTTCTTCTGTGAGTTCCATCTTGTCTTGTCCACCAGTGTTGGCAAAAGGTGTGTTGAACCACTCGTCGAAGGTTGTTGCAGATTTGAAAATAGTAGGGAGCGTAAAGTTGAGCATGGCCCACAGTTCCGTGAGGTTGTTCTGCAGCGGCGTACCAGTCAAAATGAGGCGGAATCGCGTGTTGTAGTATTGTTGGATAGTTGTTGTCAACTTGGAGTTCTGATTCTTCATGCGGTGGCCTTCGTCGATAATCATGTGGAACCATTTGATCTTACTGAGAATTGGCCGATCCTTGATGATGTACTCGTACGTTGTGAGCAGTACTTGAAAACGTCCTTGGCGGATCTTATCCTGATGCACTTTTCTGGCCAGGGGAGGACCCTTGTAGACGATCTTGCTTACAGAAGGCGCCCACTTCTCGAACTCGAGGGTCCAGTTGGTCAGAGTACTGAGAGGTACAATGACCAGGTAGGGGCCGTCCTGTTTCTTGCGCTCAATGAGATAGGTGATCAAACTGATGGTCTGGATAGTCTTGCCAAGACCCATCTCGTCTGCAAGAATGCCGTTCAGGTTGTTGTTGTACAAGGATATCATCCACTGGAGACCCTTGACCTGGTACTCCTTGAGCTTGCCACCCACCAGGATATCGGCCTGCTCTGTGACCTCTTCCTTGATGCGATGGGCAACGGCGTAGTAGTCAATCTTTCGTCCACTTGTGTCGTCGTCGTCCTCGTCTGGTTCGCTCTCCTCTTCTTCCTCTGGTAGCTCCTCCTCTTCGCCAGTCTGCTCCGCAAGGGCCTTCCTTTGCTGAGACTTGACGGATGCAGCAAGTTGACGCAGGAAACCATCAGTCTGTCTAAGAAGGTGGGTAATGCGAGTATCCTTGGCTTCGTCAAGCAACTTGAGGTAAGCCTCCTCATCGTTAGCCTTAAGAGCCTGCAGACGCTGCTTGGCGGTACGCTCAATCCTCTTCTGCTCTTCCTTTTCAATGTTGTAGTGCTGGGCAAACATGAGCTTGTTGAGCTTGGTGGACTTGTTGCGCTGGCTCGATGCAGTTTGTTGAATCTCGTTCCTGTGTTGCGTGATGGCGGCCAGGAAGTCGATGTGCCTCTTCTTCTCGCGATTCTCCCGAATATCACGCTGTTGCTTCTCAAGCTTCTCGGTGATTCTGGCTTCGCGAACCGTCATCTTCTTCGTGCGGCGGTACCCTGAGCGGTTGGTCGTCATTGCAAGGTTGTCGTAAAACATCATGGAACGGCCAATCTTGTCGCGCAGTGCCTTTTGCTTTGCGTATAGGCCTAGGCTCTTCATCTCAATGATGGCCTTAACCTTTGCACTGTCGTCCAGTTCTACATCGTCCTTGGTGGTATCCCAATGAGCAATGTTTGCTGGAGTATTTCTGAGCTCAGCAAAACGATCTCTCATTCGGTTGAACACAATCAATTCTCTCTCGTATCGCAGCTGGTCGAAGTCGACACCAGTCGGAAACAGTCCCGGAATAAGCTTGCGGTTTTTACGCTGAGTATGGTCGAAGTGGCTAATTGACTTGCGAATCAAATTGTTGTCACCATAAGGAGACTTAACGGTTTTGAAAGTCGGTCCTTGAACCTCTGGAGGAGGTTCAGACTTAGTTTCAGATCCGTTGGGACCAGGCTGTGCAGAATCTCGACCAGTCGTTGCGGGTGTCGATGAAGCTGCCAGCGCAGCGGCTTCGGCGGCGATGGCTTTTCTTCGCTCACGCTGGGCAAAGATGGCTTGCTGCATCTGCAAGGGGACTCCAGCATTCTTTGTCAACAGCTTGAACGCATGGATCTGTTGGCGGAGCAGACTCAGTTGCTGAGGGTTAAATTGACCAGCACCTGGGCCACTGGGAGCAGCCGTCGAAGGAGAGCCAGCTGCCGCAGCGGCGGCGGCATTATTTGAGGTCGCCGCAGGAAGCGCTGAGGCACTGAGCGCACTCGATGTGGGAGGTTGTGTCGACTGAGGATGCTGCTGTGCGGACTGCGCGCCATTAACGGCGCCGTTGGGTCCGCCAGCCTGCTGCATTTGTCGCTGTTGTTGCATCTGTTGCTGTTGCTGGTGCTGGAGGAATTGCTGTTGCTTCTGTCGCAGACGTGCTTGTTGTTGGAAGGCCAAGACGAATTGCTCCGCCTTGATGTATTCGGGATCCGTGTTAGGGACTCCGCTGTCTCTCATCTGCTTGAATTTCTGGGGCACATTAGCGTCATTAATCCACACGAAGCTTTCAAGGAATCATTGGGTTATAGTAAGAATGGCAATTATGTTGAAGAAAAGAGTCTTACATTGAAAATCTCTTGAGCCTGATGAGAAGTGGTAGGCGCCATGCCGGCGCCAGGTAGCTGGACGGCAGGCGCAGCCTGTACAGAAGCCATGTTGGGCGATAAATTCCTGCAAATCTAATGACTGCGGGAATCTCTAGAGATGCGACGATAATCTCGCGCGCATTATCATGCAAAGGCGTCGTCGTTGTAGACAAGTGGAGCCTTGATGAAGGTTTGTCGCGCTCGGCTCGTCGCGAAATGAGAGACTAGAAGGCTAATGGTGATAAGGACGATAAAAGCAGCGCGTCGGTATCGGAAACACACAAGGTATGGGGACGGCGACGTGGTTCGGGGACGGCAAGCGCGATGCCGTGGTCGGAACGGGGACACGTCGGTCGCGTGGAATCGAATTCACCGAGATGGCGGATGGAGTTCGGCGGCAGAGGCGATGGATGGGGGACGCGAATGCGGTGCCGCGAAGCGTGGGGGGGAAATGGGTGGAAGAGTGAACAGGACGTGATGCGAAAAAAACGGGAGACGGGCGGATGGGCGCGGCGTCGGGGCGTAGCCTCGAGCAAGATGCGCGAGGAAATCGCGTGGAATAGGTTGCTGGACACTTTCCGAGATGGGTGTCGATGCCTGTAGAGGGGGGATGGCGATTTTTCGATGCGCGCGGTGCCGGTTGAGATGGAGAGGTGAGGACAACGACAAGATTCATTGATGGTTGGTGCGGACTCTGTGAAACTGAGTCCCCGTAATTTTCAGCACCGCAAGAAATTAATGCCTGAGGCTGCTACGCTAATCTGCTTATGTACAAGCGAGGGCGCATGGGCCAACTTTTTCCCTGGTTTACTGCAGGCAGGCAGCGGCTGGCCTGGTCGGCCACTGGCTGGCTTCGGGTACTATCCGGGCCACACGCGCCTCAAACCGTGGCCTGTCAGGTTTATCGGCCACCAAGGAATGCCAGATCCACGCCGCTTGGCATCTGTCGTCTTTCGTTTGCAGCGAGGTAAAATGTTTAGGTGGCCGGCGCATCGAAGGCGCGTCACTCTCCCGTACTCCTCCGGACGCGCGTTGGCTAGAGCGTCCCGGGCCTGGCCTGATGAGGTTGCCGTGGCGGGGATGTCCGCACACTCCTGCAAGTGTTAGCTGCTTTGAGTGTGTGTTTGGGGGTTGCTCCCAGCGAAGCTAATATGATGGAAAGATGAACAAGTGGAGAGATCCTTGAGGAATGCAGGCCGGATCGTAGGCTTGCCATTTCCTGGGGATTCCTGCTGCAGACCGGATTGATTAGCCAGCACTGCTCCAAACCGACCCTCGTCCAAATTTAAACTCATGCTCCCGCCATAGTTCCCCACGAAATCACACAACCGAGGCCTGGCAGCAGCACCGAAAATGCTCACCGCTTGACCTTTTTCTTGTCCGGCTCCCCTTCGTCATCGCTCACATCCGCGTACTGAGTAACAGGTTGTGTTTTCTGCCACGCAGCAGTAAACATTGGGTCTTTTTGCGCAGCATCGGCATATTTCAGCAGTGCCTCTCTGGGATCTTCGTGAAGCATTTTTGCCAGAGGGATATTCTCTGCAATATGCTTTTCGTCCGGCTGGCTCCTCATAAATGGTGTTTGCTCCAAGACCGCCGGTCTTCTGGGATCTTTGGACTTGCCCGAAGCCGTAACTCCCGCATTTCTCCGGCCAGCCATTGCGCTCCCTGGAGTGATGATGGCATCTCCAGACATGCCTGCCGTCATGTCCGTCGTTCGAGATGGGTCGTCGTCAATGTGCCGCTTCTTCGGCGCTCGGGACATGACCTCCACGGCACCCCGCATCGACATTGTTGGGCTGTAAAGCACATGTGTCTCACCATTCGCAGATCCCGTGATAATCTGGTTAATCTTGGGATGCCAATCAACAGTGATGAGAGGTGCTCCTGGAGTGATTTGTGTCACATGCTCGGCTCTCAGATTTCCAGGATTCAGAATGTGCAGGTCGCCCGTTGCGGAACCTGTCAAAATGCTTGTCGAGTTTGGCGAGTATCTGATACTGCTCATCGGAAAGTGATCTGATGTCGAGAGATGGTCCACCGTGACAAGAGGCGTCTTGAACTTTCGCGTGTCCCACAGTTTGATCGTATTGTCGCCTCCGCGGGTGACGACCATGCGACCGTCGGATGAGATGTCCACCCCTCCAGTCCAGGTATCGGCTTTGTGGGCATCTCTGATTTCAGCTGTGGGCCGAGAAAACGGACTGTTGCCGCTATACATGACCAGCGAGCCGTCTAAAGCCGCCGCGACCAACACGTTGCTGCCACCTTGCGCCGGCGCGCCCCAGGCAACCGCAGTCATTCTCGTTCGACCAGCAGAACCTGCCGCCTTGGACTTGAAGACAATCACGTCCCTCTGACTGCGCTTATTGTTGATATCCCAGATTCTCAGCGTGCTGTCGGTACCCGCAGTCACACACAGGTTCTTGTCGGCCGGGTGCCAAGTTCCCGTGGTTACTTCTGAGATGTGGCCCTTGGTGTTGTTCATGTCCCGTAGGTACATGTCGCCTTTGACAAACTCCGTCACAACGTCGCCGTCCCTCGACATAATCTTTGCCTGTGGATGGGCCGATACGCAGAGAAACACGCTGCCAGCTAGGGGGTTGAATTCGACGTGGTGAATCGGGTGGGACTCGGCGTTCGCGGAAGAGGATTTCGTTTCCCATGGATCAACGCTTCGAAATGCTCTGAGAGTACTCGGTGTCATGGACGCGAAGTCGTGCAGGTTGATTTTGCAGTCAAGCGACGCTGACACGAGTCTTCCGCCTGCTGGGTCCAGCGTGACTGTGGTGACCGCTCTTTCATGGGTTTTCAAAACCAATTCGTGCGAAACTGGGTAGTCGTCGCCATCTTCGGAGTCGTCCGAGTCCGAGTCGTCGCTGTCACTGTCATTGTTTGAGTCGGACTTCTTGTCTTGGTGATCACCTTTTGGCGGACCTGCGGATCCCTCAAAGGAAGTTCCTGCCGAGGGCTTTTCTGCCACTCTCCGGCTCCGATCGATCTGGGCGGCGATGTTGGCTTCCTTAGTCTTTTTCCCAAATGACGCTGGTAGGAACGCGCGCATCGGGTCGTCCGCTGCCAACTCGGGGCCTTCGACCACAAATTCCTCGTCTTCGCTGCTCATCGTTGCGGGCAGCTCGGCGATGGGGAGAGCTGTGTCAGGAGGGAAAATTGGGAAAAGGCAATTGAGGTAGGGTCCTTAATTCTAGGCTCGGAGGGACCGAGAATCGCACGCCGGATGGGGTGATGTCAGGCAGGAGCACTTGGGCAAGGGTCCTGCTTAACCGAAGGTGTGCTGGCGCCATTCAAGGGCGGTGGTCATAGCGTCCAACGGTGTTGGTCCTTGGTCCTCCGTTTCCATGTAACCGTATCAACCTCAGGTGAGTTTTCACTGGTTTCTCAAAGCATTTCGTACAAGAACTGAGCCCGGCATTCAAATCCGGGACTACAACTCTGGCAGATACACATTTACAGACTGCCTTACGGACACAAGATTCCTCGTTTCTGTACCGCTTGTTTGGAATGAGTGGCCATGCTTTTAATTCTCGAATGAAGGCACATTTTGATCCACATCGTTATGGAGCATCAGCTGAATTCAATCTTCACTTTGTCTTACTGCTCCTGTTGTCTGTGGAGGCTTATATACTTGTTGTGGGTCTCCGACCGTTGTTCTAAACTTCTCGGAACCATAGTAAACCAGCGGACTGGTTGTGACTAATAAAGGTGCTTGGTGAGCTGTGTAGAGAAAGGATCGAGGATACCTAGGGCTCCGAAGCAGGCCTTGGAGCTTGCTTGTTTCTGACCATCACGTTGATTACGCGCCGCCCTTCCCTGAACCGATGAAACAACTCATCTCCACACCGCATCCCGAGCAGTGATCTACCACTCGCGAATCTCGCCTCCAGGGCCATTAAAGCCAGGAGTGACCCAGATGTCACATTTCTTCGAGAGCTCCCGCACCTTTTCCTCGTCAACCTCGATTCCCAGGCCCGGACCCCTCAGAATATCAATATAGCCGTCAACCGGGCTCCAGATCTCCGGGTTTTTTATGTAGCTCGTGAGGTCCTCGTTGCCGACCATGGCGTTATAATGAATGCCGAGGCTCATCTCCTGGATGCAGAAGTTGGGCATGGCCGTGTCGACCTGCACGCTGGCAGCCAGGGAGATGGGACCCAGGGGGCAGTGAGGAGCGACGGAGACGTCGTACGTCTCGCACATGGCGGCGATGCGACGAATCTCCGAGATGCCTCCCACGTGGGAGATGTCGGGCTGGAGGATGTCGATGCACTGCGCCTCCAGGAAGGGGCGGACGTCCCAGCGGTGATAGAGGCGCTCGCCAAGAGCAATAGGTATGGTCGTCTTTTGCGAAAGGGCCGCGACACCTCCGATGTTCTCCGAGAGGAGCGGCTCTTCGATGAAATAGGGCTTATGGGGCTCCATGAGCTTGGCAAGCTGGCCTGCCATGGCCTTGTGGACTCGACCATGGTAGTCGACAGCGACATCAAGGCCCATTTTCTTGACTGTCTCTAATCTATCCACGGAAGTCTGGAGAGCAGCTGGGGAGTCAAGCCAGCCGAGGTCGGCAGTGGCGTTCATCTTAACACAGGTAAAGCCGGCGTCGAGGCGCTTCTGCCTTTTTTGGTCGTCAGCTTTTGGATCATGGTTTCTCAAAAAGGAACGGTTCGTTTACGCTTGCATGGCAACATCATCAGGGCGGTCCCCGCCGATCCAAGCGTATACCTTGATCTTGTCTCGGACCTTACCGCCAAGAAGCTCGTAGATGGGAACACCCAATTTGCGTCCTGTTCACCAGTCAAAAAAAGCCTTTGCCGCGCTGGCTTCAGTTGCGTGTGCTCACCCTTCAGGTCCCAGAGGGCAATGTCGATGCCAGACAAAGCACTCATGAAGACTGCCCCACCGCGGTAAAAGTGCTTGCGCCAGGCTGTCTGCCAGATGTTCTCAATCTCACTCAAAAACACGTTGCAATCAGTACTAGTGGTCCAAGTAAGCAGTAAGGGGCTCTCGACTTACTCGGCATCCATGCCAGCAAACTGGCTCTTGTAGAACTCGAGACATCCCTCGACTGCCTGCGTATGACCCTCGAGGGTTGCTTCACCCCAGCCGTAGTTGCCATCTTGGTCTGTGATCTTGACGAAGAGCCAACGAGGAGGTACTCTGAAGTACTCGATACTCTTGATGGGGGCCATTGTGACTTGTGTATGTGCGAGTAAGTTGAAGGGTTGTTCTCGAGATGTGTAAACTGAGAATGCAGTGGTTTCTGTTGCCTCGGGAAGTAGGAGTTGGAAAGTATGGGATTTAAGTAGTTGACTAGGTGGCGCTGGCAGTATTCACCAAAGCCCGAATACTGCACCAAAGCATCAAGCCGACGTAGTGACTGCAATTGGGTGCCTTCTTGTGGGAGCGCTTCACTGAATACGGCGTTCAGAAAATGGGGTTGTCAAGCCGAATACGGCGTTTCGAGTGTATTCCCAAGTGTCTGATGCCAGTCGAATGAGGCTGGATGGTTTGAAAGGAGGTTTATGTCCAACAACAACAATGCCAGGTTGAGGAGAGCTATTTGAAATTAAATCAGATTATCTATGGTTGCAAGTGAGTTCAGGTATTACTCAAAGGGACTTACTCGACATGCAAAATCCCAACACTGATAATTGGGGGCCTCGATTGAAGAGGCAGATGTGTAATACCGGTATGCAAATATCAACATAGACACCCCGAGGGTTCCATCAAGCTAGTTTGATTCGCGTCCTCAACGACACTAAGTAACTATGGCCTTGGCATGAATGCAACACAAAAACAGCAAAAAACACATCGTCGAACTACGCTGGGTGCTCACGAGTACTTTAGTCCCAGAGGCATCTGGTCCAAACCGCATGTCTGCCATCGATGAATCTCGAAGAGGGGCAGCAACCGGCGCACCTCATATCCCCCTCACTTTAGGCGCCTTTCAAACACCTTTCAACATGGTGATTATCAGATCGCGGCATCCTGGAGGTTGCGGCTCCATGAGACGGAACCCTTACTGGCTTAGCGCTCATGCACCTCAAGGCGGAATCCACGCCAGTCATGCGGCTGTCCCATATCATTAAAATATCTCGGTTCCACCTCTGTCCTGCAAAGAGGGGTCCTTTGAACTTCCACATGTGATAACTGTCACCACTAACATTGGTCAGAAGAGACCCTGTTCTTCCAGTAGATCAGCCAAGTAATCGGTAGCGGGTACTTTCAAAGCAAAGGAGGTCCAATTCCTGTTCCCATTGACTCGGCATTTCGCTCAGTATCCCTGTAGAATGAGAGGCGCTTGCTGCAGTGCACCTGCAGCCTGCAAGACGGAAGTATCCTCGTGAAATTTTCTCCGTATGGGTGTTGGCCGTATCGTGACAATTTGCTTCTGATAATGTGCGCACTGGCGTGAGTTGGCATCTGAAAGTCAAGATGCCCGTTGCTGACTAGAGTTCACGTAAGGTAAGGTGCAGTATCGGAACAGCAAGATGCTACGGGTGGCTCTGTTATCATATGTCCGTCATAGAGGTCTACAACGTGTGATTGAAGCTAGGAATGTTCCTCAACTTGCTGTGACTGAAGAGTTCGTCTTGTGGACGAGCCCATTAATCGGCACCCGGGCTCACATCGGCTCCCACTTATCACCCTGGAGCTGCATTCAAAGTCGCCCTGCCAATGTGGCAACTCTGCACAACTCTACGAAGCGGTAGCTGCAAGACGCTTGATCTCTTCCTGCTTCATCTGCTCCTGTATCTTCAGCCTCTCAGGGACGACCGGCTCCCGTGGCGCCGTGATCTTCCACCCGGGCAACGACTCAGCGCCCAAAACCCTCAGGGTCGCCTGCTCAACAAGACTGTACGACCCATCCGATCTGTCGAAGACGTGAGGTTCGTTCAAGGATACCGGCGGATTCGTAATGATACGGAGCCGCCGCAGCGGGTTCCGCGAGGCGCTGTGCAGCATCAGGGGGTGCAGCAGGTACACGTCGCCGACCTCCCCGTGGGCCTCGACAAAGTCACCACAGCTTCTCGCGAGATCGTTGAACCAGTCGAGGTTCTTCTCCTTTGAGAAATCGGGATCGTCTCTCGGGGTCATTCGCGGCGAGACCCCGTCGGTGTGCTCGTACAGGTGCCGCGCGACCTTGGCCATCGCCTCGGGACAGATGAAAGTCCCGCCGCCGCCGGGGACGATGTCTGTGAAGAGCGGGATCACGAGCAGGCCTTGCTCCGGGGAGTCGAGGTAGTGAACGAAAAAGTCTCCGTCCACGTGCCAGATGCCCAGCTCCTTGGGATCGGGTTCCGTTCCCTCGTATTCCTCGCTGCCCAGGTTGACAATGAGAGAGTCCCTCCACTCCTTTGACTCTGGCGCCACCTGATCCTCGCCGCCACACAGCTCGCAGATGGCGGCCCATGCCTTGGGCGCGTATTCGGAGGCGTCAAAGGTACGGTGATGGGGCATGTTCGTTACTTGCCTCCAGGTTGACCTGTCGTTAGGATCCATTCCCAACCGAGTCCATACGTCCTTGGTGACAAGTTCAGCTTGTTCCTTTGTGAAACATTTGCTCAACTTCAACCAGCCGGTTGTTTTAAAGTGCTCTTTCTGGGCTTCCGTGAGCGGCTCTATGGAGGAAGACATGGTCATTGACGACAATGGGACGAGTTTAATCTCTTCGGTGAGCCTGGACAGAGTGAATGTGGTCTTAAAATGGAGAATAGATAGCAAGGTTGAGTGTATAAAGATGCGGTAGTTACTACTAGAGTCAGGTCAATGCAGACAGATTAAGCATGGATTGAATCAAAATTTCAAGTTGGGATAAATATTGTATATATAGGTAGAGAGAGCCTGGGGGAGGGGCTAAAGTTCCGGGTGTCTGCAACCACCAGCAACGAAATGTCTATTGTGCGGGGGAGCTCAAGATCAAATACATGTAAGAGAGGATGCAGAGTAGATCGCAGACTCGGAAAGCATGCTGGGAAGGGAACTGACATGGTGTTGAACTACAATCCACCGCGCCGGTTAAATGGGTTTTATGGAGCTTGTGTCGACCTCCCCCTCTTGAAACGTACCTAACGATGCCTTCAACCGGATAAAATCAAACTGAAGGGCATCAAGGGAATTCCTTCGAGTTTCGATAGTGGACGGTACCTTCGTTGGTGGGGGTAAAGACCTGTGATTGGACACAGACCTAGACTCACCGAGCGCCTTCGGTCAATGTTGTGCCGACAGCAGCCGACCGAACTTTCACAGAAAGTCCTGTCTGGAACGCGACTTTCCACTTTGCTCAATTCCAAAGCCCCACCACAATCTCGAAAATGCCTCCCGACCCAACCGTAGACGATGAAGAGTACGAGTCGTCCCAGGACTCAGACTTTGCTCCCGAAGACGCTGCCGCAGCCGACGATGGCGCTTCCGAAGCGTCCGATTCCGAAGCCGACGACGGCGAAAATGAAGCAAAGACCACCACCAAGCGCAAGCGCGACGCTGGCGGCGATGAGACTGCAGATTTCGAAAACTCGGGCGACGAGGCCTTGATCAAGAAGGCGGCGAAGAAGAAGCTCAAGAAGGCCGCCAGGGATGCAGCTGCCGCCCTGGCGCTGGGCGAGGAGGACGAGGGAGGCGAAGGAGGATTGGTGAAGACGCGAAGCATGCGCGCTGCAGAGTGAGTGGACGTTTCTTGTCCGATTGTACTAGGCTTTACTGACACTGCCACTACAGAAAAGAAGAGCGCAAAGTCGCGGCCGCATCCGGCCCGGTAACGGTAGACGTCGATGCAATCTGGGCACAAATGCTAGCCGGCCAGACGGCGACAGCACCGAGCGGCGAGAAAGAGGCCGGAGGGGAAGCCGAGCCCGAGGCCGCAGCAGCCGACACGAGCAAGCCGGACGAAGCCCAGGGAGGCGACCCATCAGACAAGATCCGCATCAAACGGACCTACAACTTCGCAGGCAAAGTGCACACGGAAGAAAAGGTCGTGGCGCGCTCCTCAGCCGAGGCAAAGCTCTACCTCGCCTCCCTCGGCAAGGACGCGGCCGCCGCGGAAACCGCGGGCGCGGACGCGGACGCGGAGAACGGGGACGGGGAGCCGAAACGCGTCCTCAAGAAGGCGTTCCGCTCGGCGTTTGAGCCCGTCATCGAGATCGTCAGCCAGCGCTCGGATCTGAACCTCGGCATGACGGTGCGGATCAAGGCGAGGGAGAAGGAGGCGCAGGCCAAAAAGCTCAATACGGTCCAGAAGAGCAAGATGGACTGGGCCGGGTTCGTGGACAAGGAGGGCCTCAAGGACGAGCTCGAGCTGGCGGGCAGGGCCAAGGGGTCGTACGCCGAGAGGCAGGATTTCCTGGCGCGCAGCGAGGCCAAGAGGGAAGACGATGCGCGGCGGGCGAGGATGACTGGCCGCGTGCCGTAAGTTTTGCGCTGTCTTGTTGTTCTTCTCTTTCATTGATCCGCGAGGTCTTGGGTATAGGATACGATTCGGCGTTTGTTTATCGAGATAGCAAGAGATACCCCTAAATAGATTACAACAATAACCCGTACACGACAGACTACAGCTTCGTTTCCGTCTTGCCTCTTGGCGGTAAGATGGCAATGTCCTGGTAAGGGACGCTCAGATACTCATAGATGAAGTGAAACCTGTCGCTTCCGAAAAACGGCTCGCCCTTGCCTTGGTCGTTCACGGCCCAGAACCAGGGCGCGCCGAACGCACCATGGTCAATCGCCTCCTGTGTCTTTGCCTTGACCGAGTCCTTGATCTCCTGGGACCCGGCTCCCTGTAGGATCTTCTTCACGTCTGCCTCGCTAAACAACCTGTCCTGGGCGGTTCCGTTGGCGGGTGGCGGGTACTGCTTGGGCGCGTCCACGAGCGCCTTGGCCAGCACGTCGGGCTTCGTGAGGTTGTGGTTGGGGGGTTCCCAGAAGCAGTGGAGGAACCAGTGCCAGGCTGTCTGGTACGTGGCGTCCGGGTAGTTCGCTTTGATAAAATGCAGGGCGCGAAGGGGGCCGACTGTCATGCTTCGCTCCATGAAGCTCTCCGGCGTGGTGATGCCGGGCTTGCCCGCTCGAGCGGAGGAGCGACGGGCATCAAAGTTGCCGTACACTGCCTTGGCTGGGAGGGTCCATGGTGGTTTATTTCCTGCGTGATGTGTGAGACTGGTAATCGAAACCTTGGATATCTGAAGATTCATACCTGAAGCGGCATTGATGGCCCCGAGGAGGACCGGGTGAATACTTTTGGAGAATATCGGTGAGTGACAGTGAACAAGAGATTCATTGATTGGGTCAAGAAAACGAACTCTACTTGTACTCCATGAGCTGCAAGAAGTGCTTGGTTATTGATTATGTGAGTAAAGGCGATATAGCTATACAGCGATGCTTATGCCCAGTATCAGTAAAGCCCTTCGGTCCTCAAAGTGAAGAGCGAAACTCACCAATGTCTATGTAAGCATCGATCCTGCCTCCCATCTTGGCGGTGCTCGGGACCAGAAAATTCAGAGACGCTTGACTTATGGGCTTGTTTACGGGGAAAACGTGATTATCTCCGTTGCAGATTCGATGGCGCAATCTTTGTAGTCAGGGTTGAATAGTAGAGCAAGATATGGAAGTTAGAGAGGTGAGCTTGAAGTGGATGGTGTGGGGAACCTCGGCATAAACCAGTGAGCTTGTGGGGTACAGGTAAAGCTCCAGCTTGGGAGTAAGTACCTAGGAGCTTCAAGCTCCGTCGGGAGGATCACTAATATACATTCATACCGAGTCCCGAAGGCATGTGGTCTCAATTCGCTGCTCAAGATTCGTATGTCTAGGTCAATAGCCGAAGTCATTTGACTTGGAATCTGCGACTTTGTTGACTTTGGCATCCATTACGATTCCTTCCCATCACATGCTTGAGCATCCTCTGGAAACCCCACTCCACGATACTTTGCACAGGAACGCTTGCCTCGACCATTCTGAATCGACGCAATGGGCGAAACCAGACAGGTGGCTCTCGTAGTCGGTGCCTCGAGAGGCATCGGTAGACAAATCGCCATTGACCTCGCGAAGAACGGCTATGCTGGTATTGCAACTCGCCTGTCTTCACACAATCCAAAGAATCCAATAGCTAAAACCGGTCACCAGTCGTCGTCGCAGCAAAGACAACCAGCGACGCATCCAAGGCTGATCCCTTTCCCCCGAATCCCAATTCACCGCAATCGACCATCAGCACGGTGGCCCGCGAGATTCACGAGGCCGGCGGCGACGCAACGCCCATCGCAGTCGACGTTCGAGACCAAGACAGCGTCGCTCGGTTGGTTGAAAAGACAATCAAGGTATCTATCCAAACGTCCTCTGATATCTCACATTACCAACTCCCGAAACATCCCAACCTTTCCCGCTTGAATACGTAGCTACTGACCACGAATCCTCCAGATTTACGCCCGCCTCGATGTCTTAGTCTACAACTCAGGCGCAATCTGGTGGGCCTCTGTCGAAGACACGCCCCCCAAACGCTTCCAGCTCATGCAGCGCGTGAACCCAGAGGGCCTCTACCTGACCCTCCACGCCGCGCTCCCCCACCTGAAGCGCCAGCGGCGCGGCCGCGTCGTCGTCGTGAGCCCTCCCATCTACAGCCGCTTCTTCCGGGGCAAGACGGCCTACGCCATGGGCAAGGTCGGCATGAGCGTGTTGACCAAGGGATTGGCCATGGACCTCGTTCGCCAGGGCTTGGACGAGATGGCGATTACAAGTATCTGGCCCGCCGCTGTATGTCATGTTTTGCTTTTCTATTCTTTTTTCCCTCTTCCTTGAAGAAAAAAGGCTTCTTGGGCTCAAATAAACATCAGAACATGAGCCAAGTCAAATGTCGCCGGGTACCAGTATTCAAGACGCTCCAAACAAGTTGAACTAATCAGCGGTTGTGTAGGCGATTGAATCCGCGGCAACGCAAACGTTCCAAGCCACCAACGCCGAAGAGTCAAAGGACCTGAGAAAGCCGACCATCTTTTCCGACGCCATCCTCGAGATCCTACGCGCGCCTGCCGGAAAAGTAAACGGCGAGCTCGTCTTGGACGAAGACTTCTTGAGGGACCACGCCGGGGTCACAGACTTTTCAAAGTACTCTCTTGTACCGGGATCTGAGCCGCGGAGAATCATGCCCGCAGAGCTGCCTGATCTGAAAGTCAAAGAACAGGACGATGAGGGGAAGAGGTATGATAGTAACAAAGCCAAGCTATAATATAGCAGCCATGTTGGAATGCATGATTAAAGAAAAAATTTGCTTGTATGCATATGTTGGGTAGTCTACGTCAAAGGCAAAATAGCGCTATGTAAATCCTTGGGGACGACCGAGATTGCGTCCAGAGCTGTTGTTCCCCGCCCAGCGTCGCAGTTCCCGAAGTAAACGCGCCATGGAGGAGCTGTCCAAATACGGATGGGGGGGATAGTTTTGGGAATCCTCACCATGACTCACTAGAGCTTTCGTTAGAAGACTAGTATGTAATAGCCTCCCTCGAAAGACATGTAGTCTGAGGGATAGACCGGACGCTTCATGGGCGGAATTTTCGACTGGCCAGCAACCAGCAACCAGCAACCAGGCCATGACTTAGGCTTATCACGCAAGGATCGGTATACGCCAAATCTTCGCAGAAATTAACTGGATACTGCAATGCAATGAGAGTTGTATACTTGCCACTCGCCCATGCAACAGCCACTGACTTGGCCAGGTCAACCAACAATCAAGCAGAAGAGTGCAGCTCGGGTGATCCAGGAAAATCCAGACAACCCAACCTCTCTACGCTGATCTGTGAAACGTGTCCATATAGTCGTGAGGGGCTTTTCGAACCCGGGGTTTGGAAACGAGGGGGCAGATCGAGCCATGCCATTCTCTTCACGATAGGAACAATGCACCAAAAAAAGGGGTTAGCAGGGAACATGCTGCGATGCAATTTTGTCTATTGCCTACCCCATGCTACGCAGAGTAGGATGCGGTTATTCTCGATATGATGCACTTTATCACAAGAAAAGGTCGTCCCGTCGCTCACAAACTAGGTCATTTCCGATTTCTCCCCACGTCCAACCCACCCCTCCATCGCCGACCTGTATCTCCGTCATGTTTGCCGGGAATGGTCTCAAGACACAGGGAAAGAAGTAATTCAAGGAAAAGTGTTATGTTACAATTCGTGGAGAGCATTTGCTATACGGCTTTGAATGTCCCCTTTTTCGCTTCATGTATGCTGGCTCTGCTGGAACAAGCCTTGGATGCTCTCAATATCGCTGATGGTCTCGTTGAATACGTTGGTCAGATCGCCAAGCACCTTCATGCGGTTCCACTCGTGCCTCGTGTTCCAGATCTCGTCCATGAGCTCGCGGTTGATCTGCTCCAACTGCTCAATGGTGCAGCCCGAGGTTCTCTCCGTCAATTCGTCGAGGAATTGTGCAACCTGACCCTCATGAATGACAGGCTGCTGCTGCGAGGACGATGAACCAGAGTTTCTGATGTCTTCGCTGGTCGAGTCATTAAGAATGTTGACCAAGGGCATAGCGTGCTTCGAGTCTCCTGAGCTCCTGGACTTATTGGGAGACGACGTCTGACTGCCAGGCGGGTGAATGATCCCACGCGCCATACCATGGGCTTGGGAATGTGGCCAAGCCGCGTCGCTGGAAGTAGCCTGGCTCACGGGATCCATACCAGCAGGAATCTGGGTATCTTGCAGCTGCGAGTTGTCCCCCTGGCTGGATTGATCTGGATGGAACCCATTTGTCGGTCCGGTCGCTTGCGTGCTCCACTTGTCTGTCGATCTGTCCGATGGATCTGACGTCTTCGTGGTGGAAGCATCGTTCACAATCGCAGAAGGCGACATACCTCGGGGAACTGTGGTGATGACAGATCGCTGGGATACTTGTGTAGTCCCCATTGTCGCGTTCCCTTGCGACGGCCATTGAGCCGGCGGCTGCATGGAGCTGTCTTGCGTCGTGTCGTCGTCCACACCACTCATGTGTATGTCGCTCTGCCGAGAGGGATTCGATGTGCCGTTGCTCTGCTGATGCGACCCCACGCCGCCGCTCGGTCCCGGGCTCATAACCTGGAAACGAGCCATGGCATGACCAGACCCAGGAATCTGCTCGCCCAGAGTAACCGGCCCTTGTGAGTCGCTGTCATTACCGCCTCCCAGATCGCCTTGAACTCGATCGAGAACAGACTGGAGCGCGTTTCTCTTCCGTGCCTTCTCAGCTGCAACTTTGGCGCGTTGGAGCTGTCTCTGATGCAACGCCTCCCAGTCCACAGTGCTGGTGTTGCCCTCAATCGTGGCGACGTCGACTTCGACATTGCTAACAAGTTCATTTGCCTTGAGCGTCCGCTCTTTATCGCCAATGTTTTTGGAATCTTTGGCGAGAGATTTTATGTCGCGAAGGAAGTCCTTTGGTCGACAGTAAAAGCCGTTCGACAACCGCTCCTCAATGGTTGTGGTTTCCAGATTGTAAAAAGTCTTGCCCGTAGTTGTTTCGCGTAGTACGTCGTCCCCATATTTGTCCTTGACGATCTCAAAGGGCCGGTGCTCCATACCCGCTACGTCGGGGCGGACATAGTTGGGATCCTTTTCGAGGAAGAGGTACTCCAGCTGGGCGGGGGTAATCACGGGTTGTCTAAACTTCTTGTACTTTCTGTTGATTTGGTCCATAATGGGCTGCAATTGCACCTTCAAGATGTTGAGCAACTGATGATCGCGTTTCTGCATAGCTTTGATCTCTTCTTTGGTGGGGACTTTTGGTGGCGGCGGCGGAGCAACGGGTAGCTCCTCCAAGACTCTCTTCTTTCGGTTGGCAGGATCGGGAAAGTCGGCCGGACTCTTGCGAATGTGTTCGACAATGGCAACAAAGTATTCCCGCCGATTTGACTGATTAAGTTAGCTGCAAAATTCTTGCAGAGTTCTCCTACTGCACTTACATGCTTCGGCCGCTGGATCTGCAATCGATTCTTGCGCGAGAAGGCAAAAAGCTCCCGGACGAGGTCAGACGCGAGGTCCTCCCCAGCGTCATATTCTGCTGTGGCAAGCACCAGAATGGGATCCGTAGGCGGTATGGACTTGAGCATGTTCTTGAATGTGATGAATGGTAGTGTGTCTCTCATAGCGGCATACCACGATTCGATGCTTGGGATGTAAATAACGCTTGGCTTGTGTCTCTTGACTTCGGTGAATAAACTGACAATCACCTGCTCCATGGGCTGCGAAACATTAGCTATGCAAGCATCAATGGGGGTATCCATGGACCTACTCGTCCGTCGGCTAACAAGTTGGGAAGCCCAAAGTTCTGAACGTGCACGCCTTCGAAATAGTGCAGTAGGGCAGAGGACAAGTAGCTCTGGCCCATGCCCGAAAAGCCATGGATCAGGAATCGCGGGCGGAAGATTCTAGACCGCTCAAACTCTTGGTGCAGAGCTTCTCTGCCGAAGCCGTGGTCTTCGTCCTCGAATTGCTCGTACATAGCTTCCTCTAGCGCTGTCAACTTCTTCTTGCGAGGAAGCACTTCGTCCAAAGCCTTCTTGATCGATCCGAACTGATCCCTAAGCAGCGGCTCAATTCCCTTTGGCAAGGGAGCAGCGCCTGTGCCCGCGGACCTCTCAGACGACGGAATCATCTTCTTGATCGACAGCATGAAATCCGTCGCGTGGATACTGATCTTGTCGGGGTTGACAATGAGCTTGTCTTTTGACGAGTAAACCTGCGGGTACGTCCTTTGGATGGAGTTGAGAGCAGCCTCCGTGCAAAGGGCCCGAAGATCAGCACCACCATAGCCCTTGGTGTTTTCGGCGAGCTGTTGCTTGAATGGCTCCGAAAGACCCCAATCCTTAGTGTGGATATCGAGGATTGACCGCCGACCGGCCACGTCTGGAAGTGGAAAGTAAAACTCTCTGTCGAAACGTCCGGGTCGCCTGAGAGCTGGGTCGATGTTGTCTGGACGATTGGTGGCGCCGATTACAATAACCTGTCCGCGGCCGTCCATACCGTCCATCAGGGCCAGAAGCGTTGAGACGATGGAAGCATGAATCTGCTCCTGCTTGCTGGAGCGCACCGGAGCCAAGCCATCAATCTCGTCGAAGAAGATGATGCTAGGCTGTGTCCTTCTGGCTTCCTCAAAGAGCAGACGCAGCTGCTTCTCGGCTTCACCGACCCATTTGCTCAGAGCATCGGCTCCCTTTCTCATGTAAAAAGTGATCTTGCGCCCGCCAATGCCGACGGAATTGGCTAGGGCTCGAGCAAGAAGAGTCTTACCAGTACCGGGTGGACCGTGAAAAAGAACACCCCGAGGTGGCGTGACGTGGAATTTCTGGAAGAGCTCGGGGTAGAGAAGAGGTAGCTGGACCATTTCCTTCAGCTGATCGATGTGGCCCTGGAGACCGCCGACATGATTGAAGTCCACGGTAAGATCGACTCCGAGAGGGTCGGCATCTGCCAAAGCCTTTTGATTCTTGATCTTGCCAACGTTGGGAGCTGCTCCCACGCCCTCCCCGCCCAAAGGCTGTGCAAGACCAGGAAGAAGTCCGGCCGGAGCGGCGGCTGATGTAGGCGTCATGCCGACATTGCCAGCGGCAGGCCCTGAGCGTTGGCCCATCTCGTCGTCGCTACTGTCAGAATCGACACCTCCAGCAGCCATTCCGGTCCCCCAGGGCCCGGCGAGGAGCGATCCGGCGCCCCCTCCGCCTCCGAAAGGTCCAAATGTCGTGTTGAGGGCGCGATCCCAAGCTTGGCTTGCACCCCCACGGCCACCGCGACGACGTGCAGGAGTCGGAGCTGGATCTTCGCCGTCATCTTCCTCAATATTCACGGCAGAGAGAGGCGGCATGAAATAGTTCATCGGCTTTGCGGCGGCTCTGCGTCGCTTCGATGCTGTTTCTTGGTAGATGATTGCGGGTGAAGGTCGTCGAGGACGACGTGAGCGCGAGTCTTGTCTTAGTTCGTGGAGCTCTTCAGCCAATTCGTCTTGGTCTAGCTCGGCTTCCTCGGCTGACTCGGCGCCACGGCGCGAGCTCCGGGTGGATCGACCCTTGGGCTTTGCGGCCCTACCGCGCGGGGCTGGGCTGTCGAAATCACCGTCATCACCGTCGCCGGAATCTTTCTTCGGTGACTCGGACATGTGGGCTTCCTCCTCTGCCGACTCTTCGCCGGGCTCGAAATCACTACTTGGCTCTTGAACAGATTTTGATTTCCGAAGGCCGTTCCGGCGAGTCAGCCGCCCAGATCGTTTGGGAACGTCGTCATCGGCTTCGCCTTCGGCATCGGCCTCCGGCTCCCCAGCCCCAGCAGCTCCAGAGCCACTGCCTCTCTTCGCCCTGGTTCGTCGCGTGATGATTGGACCTTCATCTTCGTCGTCATCATCGTCGTCCACAAGAACGTCTGTTTTCACATGCTCTGTCGATTCTTTGACATCCTCCATCTCGGTATCCTTTGTTTCTTCAACAGCTACTTCATCATCGCCGGCCAGTTCATCAACATCGACATCCTGCTCCCGGGGGCCGCTGCTTTCCTGGGTCGCCTCTTCAATCGTCTCGGGTCCCTTCTTCAAGCCCTTAATCGACCGGGATGAACGAGTACGGGCCAAGGCCTCGGGGCTCCTAGAACGCGAGGCAGGGCGTCCATGTTTGCCGGAATTGGTGAGTTCAACGTGCTCCTCGGGGAACTCCTCGGTGTGAGCACGAGTTGATCGCCGAGTGATAGGCGCGGGCGTCGGAGCAGTCTTTGGCACTTTGAGCTTGATCATCAAGCTGTCCTTTTTCTTAGGCTTAGGCAAATCCTCCGAGAGCACATCGTCTGATTCTTCAGCCGGGTCGGATTCGTCATCCTCGCTTTCTTTATAGCTATTGTGCTTGGTCGCGGCCTTTCTTGATCTACGTCCGGCTGCATTGACGGGCATGACCTCTTCTTCTTCTTCATCTTCAGAAACGAAGGAGCCCTCGTCTTGACTATCAGACACGTCGTCATCGTCTTCGTCTTCGATGTCGGATCCTCGATATCGGTTGGTACGGCGCCGTCCACCGCCACCGGTATTCCTTTGACTCTTGGATCCGCGCGATCGCTTCTTGGTGCGAACAGGGGGGCCGTCCGCGCCGGGCTCGAAGTTCTCGTCATCGGAATCCGACTTGTTAGGATCGAAATCCTCGATATCGCGCTTTCGTTTCGACGGCATTGTGTCTCGAATGAAGAATTAGAAGATGTGTCGAGGGTGAACGGTACGGGATCGCGTTCTATGAATGTTGTGCACGCCGGAGCTGCTGCTGCTTGATGCCTGGATACCGCGAGGCAAGGTCTGGATGCGTGCTATTAGCATCTACAGCACGTGAAAAAAAATCCCGTTTAATAGGAGCGTTCCGATGGGAGAAAAAGATATCAACATCTGGTCGTATTGTAGCGACTGAGAAAATGAAGGAAAGTAGGAAGGCCATACCAGTCAGTGTCTTAGCGCTCAGGGAGAAAGGTGTTCAAGAACAATGAAGGCGTCAGGCGATAGTGTTTGCGCGGCACAACGCCATTGGCTTTTTTAGCAATCCGATCGCAAAAAGTCGAGTCGACTTGGATGGCGACGACAGTTGTCGCTGGCGATATTGCACGGCGAGGAATGAAAACGCCGCCTGCTGATGATTAACTCGGATTCGCTGAAAAATCACCACAGCGCGTAGTTGCGCGCCATTCACTCGGGTGAGGAAGGACGAGAGTCTGAAGAGTGGGTCTCACGTGCAGCTCGCCCACCAGCCACAAATGGTCCGAGCGTGTGACGCTCTCAGACTGCAAGACTTCCGCTTTTGGGATTGTGGACCCATCTTTCCTCAGTTCGACGGACTTCGTGGAGGGGCCGCAATCTGGATAGAATCTGCATCTTCGGAGTCTTTTCCATTGATTCGAGGGAATGTCATTGACCGTTTCATTTTCGACTACCCGAGCAGCGTTAGCGGTCCTGTCAACTGATATTCGTCTCTACGTGTCGAAAGTCTGAAGCATGCCAATCACCCTGCAAGGATTGACGGTGCTCCTCGGCCCAAGAGGTTAAAAAAGTCGGGCCCGGGGTAAGTGGGCGATGAGTGTCCACCACAAATTGTCGCATTGTCGCGAACGCATTACCGCTCTCTGAAAAAGATGTGTTGAGAGTCCTTGGACGAAGTGCAACAGCGGGCCATTGCGTCTTATCACTCAACGGGAACGCAAGTCAGACAGCCAAGGCCAGCCGGCTCGCTTTTTTGGGGACGTAAGAAGTCGCGGCGCAACGATGCGCCAGAAAATAATACATCAATGCCAATGATGTCATTTCTCAATTTGCGATCCCAGTCGGGCCTCAAAATGCCCGTCTCTAGAGTATCTTCTGTTGTTGTTGGCAACGGAGGAACGGCTTTGGAGCTTTCAAGTTTCGGCATATGGGTCGCCTGAGGAAACCCAACCACCTCATCAAATTTTCAGCAACACCGAACCGGAAAAAGAGCAACTTCTTCATGATCGCTCTTTTAACGAAGGCGCAATTTCGAGCTTCACCAAGTCGACCCTTCCATCAGCCCTATGGCTCCGAATCTGGGGTACCTAACCGGCAGGCTTAAGCTTCCCGGCGCCAAGGTCAGGAACGTGGCCGGGGAACGTGGCTGGTGCCCCTGGCTTGGCACGTCAGGCAAGTCACTCTGGTTGGGTGGAGACAGGTGTATGCCTTGCGGCCTGAGTATCGTCGGTGCGCCCAACTCAGCAGGCAGCGAGATAAACAAACATCACGTGCCGCGGCGCCGAGAACCACAAATGACGCTAAACCTTCGGCGTCGTCCGAACTTCGGGACGGGGTATGATTAAAGTCGCTAAACCAACGCAGCTGACGACGCTGCCGTGCCGAGATACCGTCTTATTTGCCAGCACCGAGAAGTTCAATCAGTGTCACGAGATCAAACCATGCAATGCGTGCATATGCGGCCGGTAGCTCACTCTCTTTTCTCGTGTTTTGAGCGAACGAGGCTCGAGCAACGTCAGAAAACCCGTGAGTTCTTATTCCGGTGCACATCGACGGGCCTCAAAATTTGCAGTTGAGCCTATCCCTTGCGCCAGCACGCCGGTTTTGAGGCCGTCGCGGAATGATCAGCCCAGTATGCAGATCCTCGCGTAAAGACAGCCATTGGCGTCGTACACTACGAATGCGGAGTAGGCATGGCGAACGAACACAGCGAAGCGCACACCTGCGTTAGCTGCTGCCTTACGAGGCCAGCTCCACGCCGCGGCTCGCATTCGGTCACGGCGTTGCATCAATGGGGTAAACTGTGTCCAGCCGACCGGCCCTCGTGTGGGTCCGCTATCGACCGGCAACCCGGCCAAGTCGGCAAGCGGCCACTCGGGGCACAGCATTCCTAGACCAGTCGTGGTGAATCCATGCCGACCAAGCGGTCGTCAGCAGAAGCCAAGAAAAGACAGCCGTGCAGCCGTATCCAGCAATGGCGAGCCCTTCAAGCATTTAAGGACGGGTTCCCCGCGGTCTGGACGAGTCCATTATTGTAGTCTACACCCACTTCATCAACCCATCTTCGATTGAACTCTTGTCTCAAAGTCAAAATCCAACCATCGAAGACACACACACTTGAAAGCAAAGCAACAGAAGCTTCAAAAGACATAAAACATCTAGCACTATGTCTTCGCTCAACGCCCCCAACTTTGACGCCCCTCGTCCCAAGAGCAGCCGCGCCGGCTCCGACACAAGTTCCATCTCCGCAGACTCAGACTCATTCACCACCAGAAGAGCAGTCTCCACGGACTCCCCGCGCCCATCGAAGCGCAAGCCTTCCCACTCCCAGACGGTGAACGTCTACACACACTGCGGGCGCCACAGCTCGCAGTTCCTGTTCGGCGGTCGTTCTCTCACAGACATGGCTCGCAGCGTCTTCAAGCGGGACTAGGTTGTTGATCGAGTTGAAGTGTTTCATCATTCGAGAGGAAAACCGTAAAAGACACATACCAAAGGCTTTCCATAAATCGAGATAAAACACCGATACCAACCAACGCAACTTTGTCGGCAGCAACCCGCCGTACCCTCGCCGTCGCCGCACGCGATCGGACCGCGAGAGCCCCGCCAAGGACTCGGCGAGACCGGTGGGGCCCCACAAGACTTCTGGACCGGCACGCGGGTTCCGACGCCAAGCGGGACACCGCAGAAATCGGCCTCCAAACTCACCCCCTGTCATCCATGTCTTCCTCGCTCTGTGTGCTCCATTGCCTACCTACCTTAGTGCAAGAACAAACGTTCGCAGAGTGAAAGCAAGATGCAGCAGGCTGAGAATGAGATGGTGCGCGTCATGCCAAGGAAAAGTGCCCATTGTGAGAGTTACATTCATCATTCCTCCGACCTTCCACACTCGCCTCCGCGGTCACGTCACGCAAGACAAAACTCGGACTTAATCGTCCATCCAACTCCACTCTTCACTCCACAGGCACATGACACGTCTGCGTACCAATCCCTCTGGCCATTACTTTCCAATCTCCATCCTGGTGTCTTGGCAATGTTGGCGCCAACGAGTAGCAGAAAGAGCTTGAATTGTGCCAAGTAAAAACCGTTGAATTGAACGGGGTCCTTTTTAACGGGTCACCAATCAGGCGAATTCATCGCCAACCTCTTCAGTCGCTTCGCAATTGGACTTTCGCCAGATACACATCTCTCTGCGCCTATACGGCGTACGGATACTAGGTATAGCAGCCTTCCCCACCTGGGGATCCCTTCAACCTGTCCGGGGTTAGGATACCTTACGCTGCCGCCGCCTCCGCCTTGCGGAGAGAGGAACCAGACGAAAACCAAACGGCTCAAGAGCGTGACATCGCGCCGGTCAACGTCCGTCCATGTCATTCATTGCTTATTTCTCACGGCCTGCATACGGATACGATACGCTCTGATACGGCCCAGAAAGACGTCCCGCCGACGTTTGCACGTGTCTTGCTCATCATTCGACGGAGAATGCGGACAAAGCCGTGGCCGCAAATCCGGATTCTCCGCGAAGGAAATGAACTCGTCGGAAAAGGAAGGAGAGAGGAGTTTGGTTTCTGGTAAAATGCATTGCCCAGAGCATGACTCTCACGTGTGCGCAGAATCTGTGCCTATAATCACCGGTGCTTCAAAGGCGTTTGGGGAGAAATACCGTAGAGTCATGTTTTGCACGCTTGGATTTAATGTAATGCAATTAACTTTGACAATAATTGTTATTATCTTTCGGTCCCGTATTAGTCCGCGCCCAGAAATTGCAAACCCTGTCACGTATTCACTGTATATTGCAAAGCCCATACTCCGTCTCCAGGCTTCTATCACATTGATCCGTTTTTCTCCGTACGTGGATAGACCGACTGCCTGTATGCACAATATGTACGCTCATCAATCTCCCTCCTAAGTAATCTCCTACGTATATACTCTGTATGCAAATCCGTATCCGTACGTACCCCTCATAAACGCCAACAGCCAAAATCCCGTCTCCGTAAGATCCGCAAACTGAAAAGACCCAACCCCAAGAAACGGTACAATAGAAATGTACATAACCACAGAACCCACACGCACCCCAAGTATGGTGCTTCCTCCACATTTCTAAATCCCGCCTGAACCCCTCTGTTCCGAAGAGTCAGGTAATCCAAGGTCAGTCTAGCGTAGCCGGAGGTGTAACTGTCGCGCCCCTCCCTGTCTTATCTTGTCACTCAGGGGGACATGGCATTGAGCATGGCCCTCGAGTTATTCAACAGGTTCCTCTGCCCCGGGACGTTCTGCGTGTACCGCGAGTTGAACTTCATAATCTTCTTGGCGGCGCGGTACGTGACGTCGTCAACCCTCAACGGCTCCGCCACGACGTTCCACGCGATGCCCTCGGTGCACGGCGGCGTCGTGAGGGAACCGTCGTACTGGTAGACGTCTGACTTCTCTAGAAGTTCCCTCAGCTCGTCAAAGTCCAGACCCCGGGTCTCGGCTTGCGAGCCCGGCTCCTCGACCTCGTCGAGGTGGGCAAAGACGTTGGCCAGGAAGGGCGAGGGCGCGCTGTTGTCGACCTCGATGAGGAACCCCACAACGGAGTTGCTGGGTCCCGTGGAGTCTATGGGGGAAAAGGATGTCAGTGAGTCCATCGTCTCACCCCGTCTAATCCACAAGCCCCAATCTCTGAACCGTAAACAAGAAACCATAAAACCCAAATTTGTATAAGTGGGTTTCAGCTCGTAGGTTCGCAGCTATTTAATGAGAGCGAGCAACATGGAAAGGAAGGAAGAATGAGAAAGAAAATACATACTCTTCAACTGCTGCTCGTCGGCCTCAAAAACAAAATGCACCTCCATGGGGAAGTACTCGCTATCGACCCTATGCTCGCTAGGCGTGTGGAAATGGAACTGCCTCAGGTGGAACTTGCGCCCGCGCCTCGTCAGCGTGCCGTTCTCGGCCACGACCTCGAGCGTGCTGCCCAGGTTCTCGAACGCGGCACCGTCGGGCAGGTTGGGGACGTCGAAGCCCAGGCTCGCGCCGGCAACGAGCGTTGCCGAGGTGTCGTTGAGGTTGATGGGGCTCTGCCACGCGCCCATGGCGCACTTTGACGACTCGTTGTTCCGGCCATGCCAATTAAGGGGACCCGTGAGGTCGTCGTAGCCGAACTTTGCAATCTCGACGTGTCCGTCCTCATCGCGGGCGGCGATACCGCCGTGGCTCCGGCGGTAGAGTGAAGTGCGGTGGTGGCAGATGGCCGTGGCCAGGGTCACGAAGGGTAGGAGGAGGGATGACTTCATGGTGGTTGTGGGTGTAAGTCAGACCATAGGGTGAGATGGATCCGAAGTATAAGCAGTATTGGGGGTTTCCCAGATAGGCGGAGAGAGAGAAAGACTCAAGGGGGTGAATAGCAAGCCCGTGAAGGGGAAAAGAGGACCTCTTTATCCTACCCTTCGGTCTCCGGAGACAGATCTTGTCAGATCCCTCACAAGTGTCCGCCCCAGTCTGGGGCAAATTCAGGACCCCCTTCAGAGAATGAAGGTACCCCGAACAGCGCCGACGAGGTTGGGTGCAACAACAAATTTACCCAGCTGGGGCAGAGGAGCTCGCCTCCACCCGGCACCTTTGGCCTGCATGGCTTGGTTGCTTGGGTGCTTGGGTTCGAGCGATGGCCAGTCTACTCCGCGACTCCGCCAAAGAGGGAAGAACGAAGTCCCCACGCCTAGCGGACTGGGGTGTGGGCGTGTGTATGGTTGAAGAGAGTAGGAAAGAGAGTCAGATTCCGGGACCCTGTCGGATGAAGATCCCACCGAGCCAGGCCCCTTGAAAGGTGCCAAGACAACAATACGCGCTCAATTTTGAAAAAGACGGCGAGGCCGCGGATGAGGAGGTAAGCGACAAAGAGGAGAGAGAGAACTACACACGCAGCGGAAATTGTTTCTGGTAATCAGGACACTTGCATAGTGGAGTAATGCGGCGACTGACGGATTCCCAACGTCCAAGACATAAGATAGAAACGAACATGGATTCTCATTGGCAAAAAATGTTGACAATCAGCAGCCCAGGCTCGGTTACTGTAAGTCTCTCGCTTCGTGTTATTTTCGTGCTGCCGGACGCCAAGAGTCTTTCTCCCCCCTCGAAAGCACTTCATATTGTAAAATGTCCGTCAACTAAGCATGGAAAGAAAAAGAAATAGGACAGGGTAGTAAGCAAAATGGTGCAAAGCATAGCCGCGACACCCTCTCGGTATTGCTGACCGTGGCGGAAGGAACCCTACGCCGGACGGAGCGTATGGCATAGCCGAAATCTCACGCCCATTCCAGTCAGAAGTGCTCACTGGGCAAACTGTCAACCGCGGCTACTTGACCACCTGCAGAATGTTGCTTCGTAATAAGAGAATCCCACTTGGGCGAGGCAGTCAAGAGACCGAAGAGGTGGGAGGTCACCAGGGAATCCAAGGTTCCTTCGTCCCGGGTTCTCAAAACCTTCGGTCCTACCATGGACGACGGAACCTCATGTCAGGCGCGTGTACCGCCACCAAGGTGAGTCTCTGGGACGATCTGATTTCTTAATTTAGGACTCAAACGACCGCCGTCCATGAGCATAATACATACGTCTGCATCAGCATCCACCAATTCCTCGAGAATGGATGGCGCTTACTCCCAAAAACAGACGCCGTGACGAGTTCTCAAGCCACATATCAGTCAGCCGCCTACTCACTACCGACAAAGGTCGGGGGAATCCGTTTGTGTTTGTGCTTGGGCTCTCGTGCAACAAGCGATTCACGTAACATTGGACACCGGGAGACGGCCCGTTTGTGGCAGGTTCTCCGACGGACGGCAGAGACGGCGACAACCGACATGACGTTTGTTCTTACCGGTTAGGTGAGAATGAGGAAACATGCACACTATTTCACACGTCTTGGGGTTCTGGGCATCCCAATCGGCAAAATAGTTTAGGCCATGTTTCCTACGCCTAGTCAGTTGCTTTCAGGACACACCCAACCGTTGAACGCCAGCCGATTAGGCGCTTTCGCCATTTGCTAGTCGACGCAACCGGGAACTTCTCGACCGCTGCATCATCGATCCGGGGTTACCGGGCTGGGGTCGGTCGTGGGGAAGAAATGGGGCGGGGGTTGTCCATTAGTCAAAGACGTTCGATGATCGCCTAGCAAGTCGCGATTCCCCGGTGAGACATTTCCCCCCCAGTTTGCCTCTAGTTCACGGGGGATTTCGGTTTTGGTTGGCACGTTCGCATCTTTAGTGACTTGGTCTGGTCTTTAGACTTTGGAGGTTAATCCAACGTCGATCGGGACATGACCGACGCGGGTGGGGATTGAAGATGAAGATTGCCCCCTCTCATTGATTCAATTCAATTCTACTTACCTATCGCCTGATATTGATGTCATCGCGGAGTTATCTTTGCCAACAACGCAGCCAATGGTCAGGATATCACAAACGCATACTCACTGGCGCCTATGTTTCCGAGGATCGACTGCGTTCTCAACCGACTATGAGACTCGGCATCTCCTCAGTTGCTGAATGCGAACCCTGCTATGGAGTTATTGCGTCTCCCAACCCCTCCCATCATAATAACACTGGTAAAGTCCAGGCTCGAGCCGTGATCATCGCCTAATAGCCAGCAAGCTACGTTTTGAGGCGCATATTTCCCAAGAAAATGGTTTGCCTAGACCTCTGGCCTCCATGTCACGGACTTATCACGTTCTGAAGCTCACATAGACGGCCTGAGAATCATACGAGATATTTGCGCCGTTTATCGAACCATTCGTTCTGATTGCTTTTGATCTCGTTTTTTATTTCAACCTCGACCATGGCTCCTCCCATGTGAAAGACTACGGCCGGTGCACACAGATTCGTTAGAGAATACACCGCCGCCGACAATGACGTCTCATCAGAACAATAATGGTTGCTACAGGGAATTTGTCACACGTACAACTCCCAGCACAACGTCAAGTGCTGAAATTACCACTCATTCATGACATGGCTCAGTTCAGAGGTGACAGTTCAGAACACAAAGTAGGGCATACTCTATCAGATTTTGAGTAGTCTGCCAGAAATTGATATCAGTGGAAACTTCAGCAATAGATCTTCTGTGTTTGTTCGTGCTCTTCAACGCAGAAGCCGTGTCAAATTCCCGAGGTGCTCTTAAACCGGGTGACGAGCCCTCTTGTTCCTTCGTGATTTACTTTTGAAACAAGTCGGCCATGACCCGACGATCAAAATCGTTGCAGGATCTCGACATTTCGTAAGCGTCATCACGACCGGTGCCGGGCTCGATGAAATATATTTCCAATCAAGTGCGCAACATCGTCACAGAATTTTCAGAGAAGGCCAACACTACAATATAACCTCCCCTTCTGTTACTGACTGAAATCCTCAACAGATCCAATCAATCAATCTCGCCGTGGCCATAACATGTTCAACAGCCACAGTCAAACTCCAAGGCCCTTCCCAGACCATCCGCCGCACGCAGGCAGTTGGCACGAAAACAGTCGAGCAAACCCCATCGCCCACCTGCTTACCCGCCACCCGCAATCATTCTCGCAATCGACCCTCAGTCAAGTAGTGAGACGTCGTCAGTCCCAGCCATCCATATTAACAGTTCAGCCCCCCGGACCATGCTACACCCCAACACGCGCGCCAACCTGTAGAAGCGGCAACGTTGTTTGCTCGCGTATCATTTACCCAATCACGAAATCCCGCATGAGGCTCAAAACGATGGCAGACAGCTGTTTTGCATCGGCTACTGCCATGAACAGCTCTCAGTAGGGCACGGTGATCAATGATTCAATGCCAATGCTTCAAGTGAATCTCTACATTCCCAAAGGCAGCGTACATCAAAGGTCTTTTATTCATCCACGCCATTGTCAAGAATAGCACCGGCTTGGGACAGAAGCCGTTCGTGAAGGCAGGTATGGTCTTGAGCGCCGTCATTTTTAGATGTACCAGATCGGACGTCTCTCGCCGAGGTCGAGAAGCCATCTCGGACTCCCAGGTTAAAACACACCCAACAGGCACGGTACCAAACCCCAGGGCTCAGGAAATGTGCATAGGCTCCCTCCTAGACTAGCCATGAAGGAGTCGTATCCGTTTGGGAAATTTTGAATTCAAATCTCTACTTATAAAATCCAGCAAGCAAATTGATGCCATGAGAAAACCTGCACAACTTTCCATCCACCAGCAAGAAGTACATCCTAGCCAACTTCCCCTCCCTCGAAAGATCACTCAAGATCATTTTCCTATGCCCTACAAAAGGTAGAAGTATGTCGCTGTCGGATCGCCTTCCCGCCCGTGGAGGAGGCACGCACGCGCAAATGACAATGGAGCGAAGTGAAGTGCAAGTCACGTGTATTCCATCTTCACCTTCACCGCCCAAGACGAGTACCAAGAAGTATCTCTTACTTGGAGAGCGTATTCATCATCGGATTTCCATCAAGTGGTTTAAAGGAAGGTTGCCAAGGAAGTTTACGAGAAGCTGTATAGAAAGGACCTCGGAGTATCCGGTGGCGCTCGAAGAGCCGCGCTCAACCACCGCCTGCCCTTTTGTTCGATTCCCAATCGACAACCATCTTTTTCGTGTTCGTCCCTTTGGTTCTTTACTTTGTTTGCGTTGCTTTCCATAGCTACCTATTTACATACTATCTTATACATAGGTGTCGTCGGATGAGAGGAGGTGCAGCAAGCCACTGACTGTCATAACGTGGGAATTATTATTGCTTCCTCGCAAAAGCAGAACAAAACTTTTCCACATTTCTTGAACTAAGATGTATACATTATACAAAAAATATAAATCCCCAAAATCTTAATATGCTAGAGAAGGCGTTTTCCTCCCAATAATCTCTGGTATGTCGATAGTTAGGCAGCTTAAGAACTGACTCTGAAGTCAGTATGGGTTGAGCGCCTGGCCATGTCATGCTGGCACACAACATGCGCACTTCTTCTTGAACATAACTTCTGGAACATGACTTCTGTATTCGTCGATGGTAGCGTCGGCCAAACGAGGGAGATGAGCAGGCATCAACCCGACGTTGCCTCACCTGCCTCTGACCGTGATAGCCTTTGGTCAGTACTGTATGCTAGGTTCGGTGATAAGGAAGGTGACGAGTATGTGCGCCGTTGATGTCTTGTCCACCTGATATGATTCATTGCACCGGCAAAGATAATGTTCGTGCTAGAGGCTGAAGTCTCTTTAGGCCACCGACCCGCCTGCTCCGGTTGTACCGGAAACACGCCACAGCTTCGGGCCCGACGGTGGAGATACCTCTCAAGTTGAATGGCCGATGGTGGTGCACCCGCTCGCGTGTCGGCCCATCGGACGACGCGATCCCTTCGGGCCCCCCCGGACCACAGCCACATCCGGGACAGATCGCATGGCATCTCGCACGACATTGGCAAGCCAGGAGAGAAACCTCTCATCCGTTGCACAGCGTCCCGCAGTCCTGTGTGACGCCGCATCCCATCCATTGGGTCGGGCGGTCACACTTGTCCTCCATTCTCTTCACCGTAAGTAAAGAGTGAGCGGAACTTGCCAAAGGACCTTTTCGTGGAACAATGTCGGGGGAGCAGCTGAGGAAGAGCTTGTCAGTCTCTGGCAGTAGGTTCCGCGCCGGACCCGACGTCAAACGACGGCCACTCCACTCACAATGGGAAGCCCTTGACACTGTTGCACGGCGTGCTCAACCACTGCAGATGACCGCGTACGGGAGTGGACCGAAGGTCCGTATCTCGCGGCCGTCTGGAGTATGACAGTCACTACCCAGCTTAGCTCGGAACAGTGATGCTGCCGGAGTGAACATGGCGGCCCCGAAAACAGGGGTGGTTTCAAGAGGAGGACACCGCGTGGGCGATGATGCTCCATCTGCACAGTAACGCTGCGATATGAATGCCTTCGTCGAGCCTCGTTTGGTAACTTGGCCAGGAAGGTCGCCTCGGTAGTGGAAGCGGGTCGATACATCTAGCCATGGCGTCGCCTCGCTCACTAATGGACAGTCAACAGCCATAAGCGGGGAATAAGTGACATCTTAAGGCTCCATGTGTCCGGGAATGGCTTCCGTTCGCATGGGTGAAGGTGAGGACTTCCAAGTTGGCATTGAACATGTGCTGCCATATCGAGTGGGTTCGGTGAAGTCGAATTGCGGCATTGCCCAGAACGGCGGGCCATTGGACTAGGATACTTGTCTCCCTGGACCCTTTAAGGAATATGGCCGCCTCGAAGTGTCATGCCAACTGATGGAAGTGGATGGAGCGCGCGGCCGCTTCACCTGAGCCCGACGCTTTATTGAAATACTTCACTTGGCATCATCTACCTTTCAACTTTTCTCCGAAGATCGTGGCTTAAACCAACAATATTGTTAGCCTCCGAGCCTCGCTAATCGCTCGCGGAACGCGTCTTGGTCTCCCGGCACCGGCAGGATACCTTACACTAATTTTCCGTAGATTGGAGTGATCCGTGGCATGTAACTGATGAGTGCGGGGATGGAGGTTTGGTTCCGTTCATCTCACCGCAACTGATCCGTGACCCAGGATGGGGTGTCCCCGTCAATGGACAAACTCGGGGTCATGCCCGATCTTGGCCACGCCATTCGCAAGCCCACTCGGGATCGTACCCATGGGTGGAGGAGAATGGGTCCTGCAAGATATCACAGATGGGCCGGCCATTGTGGCCTCATCGGGAGTGCTTCGCGCCATTGCCTTTTGACTTGCATCGTCTGCATCGCTTGCAGCGCTCGTGGTGCGCCGTCTGCTGCAGCTAGACCTTGCTCGAAGCACTTGCGTTGCCTTTTTCACGATGAGTTGGTCCTACGATTCGTCGCCGTTGTCGCACGGGGCCCGCTAGAACGGACGACGAAATATCCGTACAGACGGACTGTCTCTGGTAAAATGATCATCGCCCGTCATCCTGCCGCTAGACTCCACGGGCGATGGCGTTGTGGATAACCGTGCTGCCGACTACTATGTAGAACAAGACGCCAGGAACCCACAAACCCTCGACCATGGGGCGACAGAAGATGCTGTGCAAGTCCCTTGACTCTCGAGTGCCACTAGTTTCGCTCCATGACCGAGAGCGGGCCTCCTGATCTGGCACTGTCGTTCGTGGCTCGCTTGCGCCAGTCTGTGGGTGAGAACAGGGGGCCGCGCAATTGGTGAGGCAATCGGCGAAGACTCTCGACAATTTCCACTTCCCGCCATGGAGAGAACGTTGGCCAAACACCCTGTGTTCGAGATTTCTGAAGCATAGGCTTTGCTGCGTTCATTAGAGATTTCGTGCGATTTCAACTTTGCAGACAATGGCGAAATCAGGGTGCGAGTTTGGAATCACCGGCTTTGCTGTAGTAGAGTCCTTATGCTCATATACTGGGCCGTGGTGGCCTTCATGGATCAGACCCTGAATATCCGCTGCTTGCTTGTTGCATATGCAGTGTGTTGGCAGAGTCACAACTGGGAGCCAAGCACAAGCAGCAACACGCCCCCACCCCCCTTCCCCCAGCCACTGTAGTTTGTTGATGGTTGCTCTCCAACCTCGAAGCGATCACTACTATGTACCAAGTTGGATCGGGGCCAAAAAGATCATGATAAGACAGTCTCCACAGAATGCGTCTGATCTCCAGCGATGCTGCCAGGACATTCGCAGAAATCATGGATTCGACCTTGGAGGAGGCGTCGAGTCCGCTGTCCTTCCTGCAGCCTGCAAGGTTGATCCAGATGGAAAGTTGCGATGGGCCGACATGCTCTCACACACTGACACTGGCTGTTGGGAAGAGCTTGCGTTGATAGCAAATCGTATTGCGTTGTGCTGCCAGATCCAGGTCCATATCGCCCGAATTGACACAGGTCTGCTGGGTCCGTGCCGCCAGACTGTCTGAATCCCGAGGGTACATTTCATTTTGAATTGCGCTGCTGCTTGTTAAAAAGGGTCGCGCACGTTGGTGTGGTCGATTCCCCGCAAGGCCTGAGAGCATGCAGCAGGACGAGCGCATGTGAAGCTACCCTACCGGAGCCAATAATGGCTCGCCATCGCTCCCCCGCACTGCACAAGAAGAAATGATGGATTGGAGCCATCCCAGTTGACCGAGATGAGGAAAAAGGAAGAACTCTCCTGCAGCCCGTCGCGCCACTGTGCTTGTTGTCATTGCCGGTGGCGGGTGGAACGGACGCGGCGGGCGCGCGACTGTCGAATGAGCATCCACGGACGGACTGCGCATCAATCTTGGAAATCGGGCTGGGCTGAAGCCTGGGGGCAAGGTGAGATTGAGATTGAAACAGCCGACAAAAGAAAAGACCCGAGGACTCGATACCCGCGTGGGCTAGTCCAGACGTTGAGCGCGCCCCCAGCCGAACAGTTCGAGAATACTCGGCACTAGACGCAGGGAAGTTGCTAGAACTTGGAAAGGCATCATGAGCCTAGACACCCGACTGAGGAGGGGGAGCCTGTGGTCCGCGGACGCTCATTGCACTCTGCTTTGACACGATAATGAGTGGATAGAACCCTCCATGACCCCTCCACCAGATACGATGTTGAGTGCCGAGACACGGCTCGGCGAGCAGCGACGCGGATGCAGTCTTGCTCGTGGTGTAACCAAGTCTCCCAACGAGCATCAGACCGGAGGTGGGTATCCTCGAGCTAATTCGCGCGGGCTCGCGACCCTGCATTTCCTGAGCGAGGAAAGCCGTCTGGTTTCCCACATATGGGCCATGGCCCGGCGGTGACTGGCCCGATACCCTGCCGAAGGCCGATATGCCCGCGTCATCGAGTGCTGAGGTCCCGAGGGGAGACGGCGGCCCCGTTCGGTGATGTCCTGCCAGATCGGGTTATACTCGCGGGAGAGGACGGCGACTACCTTGGATAAAGAATCTCTGCATCGAGACGGATGCTGACCCATCCTGTCGAGTTCATTGACGGCCCTGGATACAGTCACCGTCCATGGCCTGTTGACCAAGGTAGACTCGCATTGTGGGTGGGATTTCTGTCAGTGCAGGCTGCAGGTGCGCTTGTTTCTCTGTTGGTGTGCAGCATCAAGGTAGCGTCGTGATAGGGTCCAACAGCAGAGGGAGAAAGTTCAGGTCCGGCGACAGGAGAGGAGATCTGGCGACGGGAACCCAGCAAGTCTGCCCATGAGATGTCGGGGACAGGGACTAGGGTATATTCAGACATCTTCCATGATTACCGCGGAGGCTTTGCTCCAGCCAGATGGGCTGAAAGCATCACGTACCTAGTGTAGTCCAGTCATGGGGAAGATGTTGCTGGAAGCTGCCCAAAGTCTGTCGATGAAAGAAAATTGACGGACGGCCTGAACCTTTGGGCCGCGGAAGGATTCAAGACCGGACGAGCGAGACGACTTCGAGAGCCACGCATGACTGAACTCTCTTGTGCCGCCCCCGCGGATTCAGACCAAAGGAAAAAAAAAAAAAACCCTTCCCCCTCCAACCCCAGGTCCATGTCCGAGTAAATTCTGCTGGCAAGGAGGCACCTGTCACCGTCGAAATCACAGACGGCCAGCGTTGAAGCATCGGCGTTTGGGACTGTCGTTTCAAGCAGGCAGCGGCGCGTTTCCGTCAATATGATCGATCCCCTCCCCGCGCCAGCACCTGGTCTGAACTTTGCCTCGCGCCTGCATCAGGTGCGAGCCGTTGGCTCCGTCGCTTTCCCTTTCAGACATCTCCATTCAGGGTCATCGCCTGTAAGGCAAGAGTCTTTGCCCTGGGAAAGCTTGGTGTGAGTAGCAGATGCCAGCAATGCTCATCGGCGTACCTTGAGAAAAAAGAAGCGGCCGAGAAGCAGCGTTGGCTAAGGAAAGGGGATCCAGACACTGACTTGACTTCAAAGTTGACAGCCGGGCGTTCACTCAAGTCTGCCCTCCATCCTTGCCGTCGTCCTGCAATTTTGTTTGATGCCGCTCAAGACCTCCAGTCGGACATGATCTGATCAACCTTGACCCTGTCTGATTACTTCAGCATCAAGAAATTGAGCGATGACCTCGCGCGGGGTTCCTTGATGCAGCATCTGCGAACAGGCTGGCGCTGCAAAAGCCCTGTATAACAGCCCAGGACCGCGGGCATGGGCACGCGCATCATCCATAGTCAGTAGGTGCTCCCTGACTGTGCATGGCAAATCTCGGTGTCAATGCGTAGATGGAATGGAAAAGCAACGTGAGCTGAGAAGAATAGTTGTGCTCGGTGTACTTCATACAGAGAACAACTTCATGCTTTGATCCAGCGGCCCCATTTGTTCTCGAATACACTTAAATAGGCAGCACGACCACAGGGCTGAAGTGGCTGTCAAGCATCTGGAGGTTGTGCGCTGCATAGAACAGAGTATTCGCCGTGAGAAGCAGATTACTTGCGACGGGGCCACTCCTTGCTCGTCATGCTGGCGGGCTCTGGGTTGTTTCGATGGTTGCTGACGAGTGACGGGAAACCTTCCCTTCATTTCCAAAGCATGAGTTTCCAGCTCATGATGCGGAGTCATTAGCTGGAGCTGTCCGTGGGCGTTCCCCAGCCAGAGGCCTGTATCATCTCACCGCAATTCAACTCAATTCTTTGTGTCCAGATGGTACGTATCGCATGACACAGGCTGAGAGCCGCATGAAGACAGCCAACATCTGTATTTTGGCTTCCTTTATTATGGTCGTCCATGTGCCGACCTTGTGTTCTGTATCTGTATCCGTAGTCGCAGTCCCATCTAGCTCCCTCAACAAGCCGCCTGCTAGATTGCCAGTATGCGAGCACATCAAATCGCATCGGCAGGGGTGCCGGAAAGTTGAAGGGGCCGCAACGCCGCCGCCGCATCGCCGCGAAAAGCGATCATGGCCCGTTAGAACTTAGCAAGCATGCTAGTCTGCTAGCCTGCTAGTGTCGTTCCCACCTCACCACCCCGTTGTTGTTGTTGCTAACCCGGACCCTTCTGCAGCCTGTGAGAATCTCGTGTGTGCGTGTCGTGCTTGTTCTGCTTGCCGTCGCGCTTGAGTGTATGTGTGTCCGTAGGAGCTAGGAGCTAGGAGCTGTCGCCGCCACTTGCGATTCAAGAAGTACAGGTACCTACGAAGTGGGACCCCCCATGGCGTTGCCCCTTTGCATCATTGCATGTAAGTGTTCGTGCATCCTACAACATACCTCAAATGTCTCTCCATTGCCCGCCTCTTATGTGCCGCCACTGGCGACCCGTTGGTCGTTGGCCGCCAACTTGTCATGTGGACCCCTGACTAATCTCTCGCCGGAGACTATATATAGTGTTTGAAAGCGGGCCAAGACTCAAAGTCAAAGGAAGAGTGGGAAACCGAGCAAGGAGGAATGAAGGAGTAAAGAAAGGAAGAACAAAAAAAAAAGCGAGGTCATGAGCAATATAATGTCAACGCGAGCAGAGATCAGATCAGACCCGAGGCTGGGCTCTAGCCAACGTCACTGATGCTGTCAACAGCGGTCGGTCGAATGCATCACTCAGGCAGGTCGGGGTGCAGCCTACTCAGCGTGGGCGATTGTATTCGTACGTGTGTTGAGTGACCGGCTGATTGCCTGAGCGGCACGGGAGTGTATCTCTTGGTTCATACTCCGTATCTCCTGGCTGATATCTCCCGCAGACTGTGGGTAAGACAAAACCACAAGGCATACCCGCCTTCCTTCCGCAAGGTGGTGATGGCCGGATATAAAACGCATCTTGCAGGCTTGTTAGTAGGGTGCTGCTGATGCCACCAAGCTGCGGAGTCCATACCGGCTGGCCTCTCCTCCCCATCTCACTTCTCCCTGTCGGCGACCACCCTGACGCCCAGGCCTCCCGGATCAAGTGCGGCGCCGGCAATAACTCCAGTGCTCCAGTCCCCAAGATGCCCGCATAATTTGTACGGATTAGCCTTTTCTCTTTCAAGTTGCTCGTGGGGTGGGAGGCGGAGAGTGGACAGAGCAGGCTGGTGAAGTGGCCCTTCAATGTTTTTTCCCTGTCGGAAACAGGGGACGCCATCCCTTCCGATATGCACGTAGCATTACCTCACTACCTCTATCAAGGCGAAGCCACCGTGGTGGGGTACTTTGTAGGTCGAATACGGAGAAGCGTCACCTTTTCCCCCTTCGTATCCGCTGATTATCACACGCAACTGGTGACTGACGACTGACGACGCCTGGACCCGCGCCGCACACTGGCGACTGCACTGCAGAAGGGGGAGAGACAGCTCCAGAGACAAGATTGAGGCGACCCAGCTGGTGATTGGCCGGTAGTGTTGGTGAGGCATGTTGTACCGCCGTGGCGGTCGTTCGACCAGTCCGCCGAGAGATGCATCGACGAGCTAGACTCTCCAGCTGGTGAATGCAGACGGACCAGTGAAAGTACACTAGTACCTACCTACACATGCGTCCTTTGGTGGGATCAGCTGGTGGGCTGGCCGAGTCGAAGAATCTGCATTTCGTCCCATTGTGTAAAGATGTGAAGCGTGTGGGTGTATGCGTCAGTGTGCCTCGATCCCGAACAACTGGCTCCCCGTTGGATTTCAGCACTTGGCCCAAGGTAGCTTGTACATCGATCCATCCATACAGTGCTGTCGTGTAGCATGTGTAAGGGTCCTCTGGCTAGGGAGGCTGAGGAGGCACACTACTACTGCTATCCGTACTGCTCCTTGGCAGTGTGAGGTCAGATAGCACGGCCGGCTTTTGGAGCGCAAACGTTGAGGGAACGGCTTCAAGAGCTGAGCGTTTCGTTTCCACCTGGTCCTTGGACGTTGTTTAGTGCGCGATGGATCGACGTCGCCCGTGGAGCATGTCCCCAAGGCGGTGTTGCGTCTTTTGGTTGAAGCATCCCATCTCTCATCTGACAACGCCCGGGCCTATCCCAGGTGCCGGGTGGAGATGGCGGTTGCAGGTTGCGGTCGTGTTCTCTGCACGCGCAGGAGTTGAGAACTTGAGCGTGCTCTCGTCTATTGTATGCCTTTTTTCGTGTAGTCGTGTGTGTGGTTGTTTGTGTGTGCCCGTGTCGTCCGTCTGGCGATCCTCAAGCGCAAAGGGCAGGCTACCCGAGTACGTAAGTCAATGGATAGTAGCTGAGGTGTACATTGGTAGTGTTGGCACGGGATTGGCGCACCGGCACGGTAGATGATTGAATGTTGTGGTTGTGTTTTGTTGTTTCCCTTGGCCTCCGTGGCTTCCTCATTTGGGACACAGAGGAGGCACTCTGAGCGTGGCGGGCATTTCTGTTCACCCAGGAGCAAGGGGTAGCGTGGTCGTGATTCGCCGCTTTTCGCTCGCCCGCCCAATGACAGATTGCCAGAATTCTCCAAGCCGAGAGACGTCCTCCCCATGAGACCAAGGGACGCGTCCTGGCCATTCCTCTTTGGAATATTCTTGGGGAGGATTTGGGGGATCCGCCCTGTACGCGGGTGTGATGGAGAACGCAGCGAGCGACGAGGGATATGGAGCAGTCTCGCACAGGGCCGGTCAGGTCCACATCCTAAGGTACCTTACGCAGTACCTAGGTACGCAGCCGAGAGTACGGGTAGAGGTACATGAATGTATGGAAGGGGGTCTCTCTCTCCTGAGTGCCCATTTCATCAGCTAATTCCTCCCTGATACGCTGTTGATGGTTGGCGCCCCCATCACCAGGATATCTCACCCAAGAGGGTGGAGGAGCAAGTGACACCAAAAAGTTGCCCATGTGTTCGCAGTGTGCTCTGAGGACATGTTCTTGGTACCTGGATACAGTAGGTAATGTAGTCTGCAAAGGAACCTGGAAACTAAGGTACGGCAGCATGCTAAGGGGTCGAGTTGTAGATGAGAACGCGGCGAACAGGAAGGACGCTGAAATGTTCTCTCCTACCTACCTACCTTAGCCTCAAGGCAGGTAGGTACTGTGCAGACTGCACTTGCAGGACCAACTAATCTGGACCAGCCAGATACGATGGTGTCGGACCAGGGCGCCCTGTCAGCCGCAGGAAAACACAGGGTACATGGGATCAAGGGGACCTAGGGGACCT